CGGGTGCGAGACGATAAGCTATATCGGCCTAGGCTTACGACACCCGAAGGTTAATCGTAAGGATCGTCGTTAATTAGAAGGACAGAAGTCCGACTAGTTAACAGGGGCTTTGTTCGTCGACGAAGTCGATGAGCAAAGGTCGAGACTATAGGCTTATCCGCGAAGAGCAGATAAGAAGATAGAATATGGACTGCTGGCGAGGCAGAAGGATCACTCTGGTGAGAGTAGGAGGTCAAGAACCAAGTAGATTCAAGTTAGGGAATATGGTACATGGTAGCGAGTTTATATAGAGGACAGGAGACGTATTAGTGGATGATAACTCGTACTACCAGGAGAGGCAATCGGTAAAGGGTAAGACCATAATAGGAAGACACGTTCAATCTAGGTAGAACGTGCTGGATAAGAAAGTGAGTCAAAGATCAGAATGAGAAGTGAAACATGCAGGGGCACGATCGTGCGGCTGCGGATCTAAGTATAAGTCGCATGTGCGACTGCGCACCGAGTCAGAGATCAAGAAAGGAAAATAGGGCAAAGGGGATGCGTCATGCATCGTGTCATAGGTTACCATCCAGATGGTAAGGGCAAGGGGACTGTCCGCAGGATCAGTCAGGTGGTGAAACAGAGCATGGGTATGCTTCGTCAGCGAAAGGATCCGGCCAAATGTACTGGCTTTGCTGAAGCGACAGGTAGAGGGCGAAAGGGAATGCGAGGATAACGAGGATGACAAGGGTAAGGTCGGGGTAAGGGTATGATGCGAGGGCTGATACGAGGAGGATCAGGAGAAAAATAGTAGGGGCCCAAGCGTCTAGATGTTCTTGTAACACCCATCCCTAGTTAGGGGAGTGTCGAAGGTGAGGTTCTCAATCAGTCTGACCGAAGAACCATCGGTCGAGTATTCTATAAGAATCTCGTCGTCAGTCAAGGGGTAAGTCGCAACTTCCTTGACTTCGGGTAGGGGGTTGATCTTCCCTACCCAGACGTCTTCCATGACGTCGGTTTCTTGAGGCATTTCGAAATGCTCTTCTTTGGCGGGTACTTCCTTGGCAGGTTTTGCCTTCTTCGTCTTCTTTTTCTTCTTTTTGCGTCGAATTTCTTTGAGTACGTGTTCCGTACCCAGGGGGAGTGACTTGAGAGGCTTGAAAGGGGCCTCTTCCTCGTCCTCGATCATCAGTCGGAGACCTTCGAATTGGTAAGGGGTTGCCCCGTTCTTTCTTCAAATTTTGTTGAGTAGATTCTCAACGTGTCTGGATCTGGGTGTGGGGAGCATTGTGATTTTGTTGCGTCCCCAATCAATATCCGGTTTCATGGCGGATAGCCAGGGTTTCCCTAGCAGGATTTCATCTCGTTCAGAAAGTCTGGTGACGTTAAACTTTCCCCACATGGTTCGTCCGTCAAGTTGGACAAAGAGCATGCAGTATCGGGTGACCTTCCCAGCAGTGGATTGGCTTCCATCTACCGTAGTGATGCGGAAGGGTTTCTTCAGGAGGCGGGTTTTAATATTGTGCTTCTTTATGAAGGTGTCACAAATAAATGTTCCCCCAGCCCCTGAGTCGATGATGGCTGTTGTTGCAACGGTTTTCGTACTCGTGGAAGAGAAAAGTGTCACCGGGACACGGAATTCATTTTCTTTTCCTACAGTATGAGTACACAGGATATCTAAGGAGGGGACGCACATTGCTCTTGCGGTCCTCTGCTTTAAAAATCCTCTTCTTCTTGGAGCCGGTTGGTCTCCATGTCATCTCTGGAGCTTTCGTCGTCACGCTGGTCTCTACCAGTCGTTACCAGAGTCTTTCCTTTGGTATCTTTCTTCTCTCCATGTCGTATCTTCGGGTGGAATCTGGGGTCGTTGGCTCTGTGGCCATGCTCTTTGCATGAGAAGCAAAGGCCCTTTCTGTAGCAATCATCTTTCTCTGCCTGAGAGAGGGTGCGGTCTACGTCCATAGTGTTAGGGTCTCTGGACGATGAGACATTAGGCTTGGGGTAGTGCTTGGAACCGCGAGGGGCGTATCGGGAGTGTTGGTTTCATGAGTTGGCAGAGATGGCCTTGCTCCTGCGGTAGTTAGCATCGAGCTGAACCGCAGAAGTGTACCACTTTTCAATAGTGTCAGGAAGTGTCTCCTTCCTGTAGATTGCTTCGCGAAGGCTTGGGTTCAGGCCTTTCTCAAAGAAGTGAGAGTGTCACGCCTTCCTTGATATTGGCGATGGTAGCCAATGTTTTGAACTTCGAGATGTAGTCCGTAACGTTGTTTCCCATTCTGAGTTCGGCGATTTCAGTGAGGGCATTCACCTGCTCATCGACTGGTTGAAATGCAAGGTTGAACCCTTTCTTGAATTCGGCGAAGGTTCCGAATTTTGGGGGGTTGGTGCTGGAAGCTTCGCGATAGAAGTTGTCAGCCCATGCTTTAGCGCTGTTCTTTGTCATTAATGACAGGGCGACTGAGACCATGGTCTGCTCGCTGTTGTAGACAGTGATGTTGATGAGGAAATACGTCTTTAAGCTGTAGAGCCATCGTTGCGCGTTGTCGGTATCACCATCGAATTCCGTTGGTGCTCCTGCTTTGAGTTCAGGAGCGCGGACTACGATGGCGGTGGAGGAGGATGATGGGTTAGACATTCTTGTCTTCGGATTGGCGCTAGTGTTTCGGGGAGGTACTTCGTCTGGAAAGTCCTCTTCAGAAGTCAGAGTGTTTCCTAGATCTTCTTCGTCGTTCAGTCCCTCGTCTGAGTGGTACTGCTCTGTCGGTGAGGTGGGAGAGCTAAACTGTCCGTCTACCTCTTCTTCGTCAGGATCTTCCTGATTCGGGTCGCGCTCCCAAGAGAACTTGCGTGTCCAGGGAGTGGTCGTCTTGTATCTGTTTCTGTCCTCGATAGGTGTCGAGGGCTAGAAGGAAACTTGAATCTTTTGTTACGACTTGGATGGTGTCTGTTGGCGACGCTCAAACAGAGCGTGTGTCGTCAACGGTCGAGGACGTCCTTGGGCTAGCCCAAGGTTAGGGGTCTTACTTGGCGAGGCTTCGGCAAGTAAGATTTGACGCCTATGTCCAAATCGGGTAGCTTACGTCAAGCGGGTGCTAGACGATGAGCTGTATCTGCCAAGGCTTATGACACCCGAAGGTTAATCGTAAGATCGACGTTAATTAGAAGGACGGAAGTCTGACTAGTTAACAGGGGCTTTGCTTGTCGACGAAGTCGATGAGCAAAGATCAAGACTATAGGCTTATCCGCGAAGAGCAGATAAGAAGATAGAATATAGACTGCTGGCAAGGCAGAAAGGATCACTCTGGTGAGAGTAGGAGGTCAAGAACCAAGTAGATTCAAGTTAGGGAATATAGTACATGGTAGCGAGTTTATATAGAGGACAGGAGACATATTAGTGGGTGATAACTCGTACTACCAAGGGAGGCAATCGGTAAAGGGTATAACCATAAAAGGAAAGCACATTCGCGTTGAGACACGGGCAAGGCAGAACATGCTAGATAAGAAAGTGAGTCAAAGGTCGAAATAAGAAGTGAAACACGCAGGGGCACGATCGTGCAGCTGCGGAGCTATCTATAAGTCGCATGTGCGACTGCGCACCGAGTCAGAGATCAAGAAAGGGAACAGGGCAAAGGGGATGCGTCGTGCATCATATCATAGGTTACTGTCCGGACGGTAAGGGCAAGGGGACTGTCCACAGGATCAGTCAGGTGGTGGAACGGAGCATGGATATGCTTTGTCAGCGAAAGGATCCAGCCAGATGTACTGGCTCTGCTGAAGCGACAGATAGAGAGCGAAAGGGAATGTGAGAATGACAAGGATGACAAGGGTGAGGTCGGGGTAAGGGTATGATGCGAGGGCTGATACCAGAAGGATGAGGAGAAAAATGGTAGGGGCCCAAGCGTCTAGATGTTCTTGTAACAGAGCCCTGGCTTTCCCAAAGTGGAACATCCAGCGGCAGTTTGAAAACTGTACAGTTTCAATCTCTCAAAGAGGCAGGTAGGTACCTAGCACTGCTTGCCTACTACATTACGTCTTCTAAGTTCTCACAGACATGCCTGTTGTCCTATTGGATGATGAATCATCTGCACATGTGGTCTCTCGCGCACACCAGCCTATCACCTCCTCTTCTCAACTCACTGACGCCAACAACGATGCCACACCCAAGCTTTCCATCCACCAAAGCAAACCACAACCTCTGCCACCTGCAACCTTGCACTCTCACTCCGTTTCAAAACTAACACCAATCAGCAACACGTGGGGCGCTAACGAAGCGCTAAGTGTGCTATCAGATGGCATGGATGAGGGCCCAAGCCAGGCCTGAGCCAAGCCCAGGCCCTCTGATATGGCCTGGCTTGAGTTTTTGCAGGCCCAAGCCCTCAAAAGCCAAGCCCAAGCCCTGGCTTTCAGGCCAAGCCAGGCCCAGCACATCACTAGTAGTCTCATTGTAACACTTTGGATAGATTGATTTCATTCACAGCAGAGAATTCTGACAAGCATGTAGCCACGGAGAAATTTATTTTAGCATTCTATAATCATCATGTATAACCATCATATCGCATCCCAGATTTTTCCGTGGTGATCTGACCTTCAGAGGGAGTCATCTATGCACAAAATGAGCCTCGAACACTTATAACTCGATCATGGCACGAGATCCACTTCATTTCTTGCCAAAAAAAATTACATGGTCATGTGTATTATGTTGGGAGGAACCTATATACAACATACATAAGGATTCCGTGCAGAATTGCGTGTGCTAGAGCCAATGCGCGAACTCGTGGGACTATCTAGTATAGGTCGTGAAATGAGAAATGCAGTTGGAAGCCGAGGCACTGCAGCGGTCTGAGATGTGCCCACCACTATTTTTTGGCAGTGCTCATCACGGCAGTCACGAAGTCGCGCTGCGTGACATTGCAGGACTGCTATCATACAAAGTCAATGAGATAGATATGCTTGAAGGAAAAGTGATGTTACAGTAATTGTCCTGAAAAAGATGTCCGAGTCCTCCGATGCAATCGATGAACCTAAATGGTACCACTGCTCAGGTTGTCGAATTGACTGTCCTCATAGCTCAGCCAGTTAGGGCTCAAGTCCAATGGCCCCATGGCGTTCTTGACGACTTCAACCAAGCTCCTCCCGGGCACTGGATCCTTTCCAATCCCGCCTTCCATTCCCTCTCGCTCGCTTCCTTTGTCTCCGCTTAACTCCCAGAACATGCTTCCTTGAAGACCTTCACGGCAGATCCAATCACCCTTCCACTGGCCGACCTGCTCGTCGTCAAAGCTCACTATCTCTTGCTTCTGATCGTCGTAAGACCAGCTCGCCAGGGCATTCTCGTCTTCAAACACGTCTGCGCCTGGGAGTGGAAGAACGCGGTAGTCATAGACACCTTGCTCCCAGGTGCCTGGTCCAGTGCCGGAAAACGGTGCTCCGGGACCAGACGTGTTCAAGAAGCTTCTACCGTATAGCGGAATCCCGAGGACCATCTTGGAGCGAGGGACGCCGTTCGCACTGTACCACTCAATCGCCTGTGAGGCATTGATAGCTCCACCATAGATGTTGGCTTGGTGATTCGCAACAGAATCCCATGAACCAGCTGTGATATATTTCCATGTAAGTCAGTCGGTCGTGCAACAAAACATTTCAGAACATACAGAAGTCGTACGCCATCATATTCCAAAAATCGAGGTAGTGGTCCATTTCACGGACGTGTAACTTTTGATAGTGATCGGGTCCGCAAGGAGCAGCAATCTAGCAAAAAGAAATGAAGCTCGGCGGGGTAGGTAAAGCTGCATGGCATACTGTCAACAAGAATCTATGATCGATTTCCTTCATTTGAGCATGCTGGTCTAAGCCTACTCTGAGTTCCCTTAGGAGGTCGGTATAGCCACGAGCTTGGTGCTCATTGGATGGATATTCATAGTCCACGTCGAGACCATCAAGACCGTAATCCTCGAGTAGACGAACTGCGGACCGTACGAAGTTGGCACGAAGGGCAGGATCGACAACGATAGGATGGAACTTGGTGGAATATGTCCAACCTCCGATCGAGAGAAGGACCTTCAAGTGTCTATTTTGCTGTTTCAATTTATAGAGGGCCTTGAAATTCCCGTAGAGGTTATTTCCGATTTCATTCCAAGAATCCCCAGGGTAATGAATATCTTTGTCGGCCCATGGGTCAGAGAGAACAACTTCGCCCGTGTCAGCTTTCAGATCAGCGAATGCATAGAGAATGTGGCTGGATGGCCTGTAGTCAGCTTGAAAGTGTAAGGAAGAGAGTGCTTTACGTCAAATCTTGGACAGGGATGAGCGACGGCGGGAACTTGCGATCGTAGATCCCCCTATGTACAAATAGGAGTAATGATTGAGGGAGAGGTCAAGACCTTGTGTAAATAACCGATTTGAAAAGACGTACCAGTTTACGAAGCTGCTAAATAGTCAGAAGTAAATCGTTGTGGAGGAGGCCAACACTTACTATCCAACGCTATACTTTCCTTGGTCTTGCATTTCTGGAGTATCACCCGGTGCTAGTAGTATGGATGTTTGAGATTTCAATGCTTTGATACTGGTTGCAGTTGAGGAGACGGATATTGAACAGACCACGAGAACGCTTTATATGATAAAAACGCGAGGATGAAGATGTAAGGCGTCACTGTCAACGACCAACAGTTCGGACGAGTAAGTGGGTGAGCTTATATGATTCGAGGGAATACAGAAGAGATAATGTCTAGCGAATAAGTGCCCATGTATATATACTAAGCTGATGAGATATGGGGTGCCCAGAGAGGTATGGCATAGCGGTGCCCAGAGTTGTCCAGAGAGGTATATCATAAGGAATGTTCAAGTTAGTTGTGTCATCAGTGTGTCATGTACGCGTCATGTAAGCGTCCAGCTTACAGAAGAACACTGATCCAGAAAGAAGAAGTGTCTTGCGAGATGTAAAACCAGAAGCGGGTTTGGTGGGCAAACTACCTTCGTCAGAAGGAACTGCTTGGTCACTGTTGTCCGAGTCGAAGACATGCACAAGACTCATACATAGCAGCTTCATAAAGTTTGGCATGCTGGCCAAACTCAACTTGCAACTGGACCCAAGCGAGGACGTCCGGGAAATGGAAACTCTAGGTCTAGGTCCTGTGGGTGTGCCAGCCGCCCGGCCAGATCCAAGAAGAGTTCAATTCGAAATCGGGAAGATGTTGGGAGTCACGACTACAACTGCGCCGACCCCTATCTCGTCTAGACTCGAGAGTCGACGATAACCAGTCTGCATAGCGTCAATTCGAGATGGTGAGACAGTCAGACTCAGTGGTCGAGGCGAAGCGAGGAGTTTGAAATTTGGCAGATGCCGGTATGCCGCTTTGGGTAACAAACTCTTTCGTTTAGCACAGTATCCTCTCAAATACAACAGTACATCGCGCCGGAGCATTGATTATGTGCTTGCCATCACCATTTTCCATATCTCACGAGTCCAAAATCAGATTACACCCCCATACGATGCCCAGCCGAAATGGCTGCCAAGCTACCTTGAAGATGGAATGCTTGAAAGCGACAATAGTGAAGATGAGTCTCAAGTTCTCGTACTGAGGACTTGTACAGAGGATAGTCCTCACTACGTTCACGTACACATAGCCCCGCCTAGTACCTACCTTAGGCAAGTAATATCGTAACTATTAATGAATTAATCTTTTGCCATTGAAATTTAATTTTTCCTACTTACCATTTGTAAAACCTAATATCATTACTGGCGAGACGGCCTGACGTCGAACCTTTCTCTCTCATGGTACCCGATTGGACTAAATTTGGTTTTGTTTTTTTGTCTCTTCAGTCTTAGCCTGCCACCTCTGCGTCGCCTCGGAAGCCTCAGTGCAAGTTGCATCTGCAGCAAATGCATAACGAGATCATAGAACTCACCGACTCTGATTCTGATTCTGATGCTCGCCTGGTGAAACAGGAGCCAGATTCAACATCGCACCTCAATCCGAAGGTAGCCACCCTCAAGGCAAACCTGACAGCCAAAACCAAGCTCGCCGCGGAACAGGGCAAGGAGTTAACTAAACTCCGTGAGGAAAACAAGCAGCTCAAGAACGAACAAAACCTTCAGACCGCTGAGATTGCAGGGCTTCAAGACGAGTTGAAGAATATCTTGCGTCAGCTAGATGAACAAACAGTCCGTATGTATACGCTCACGAAAAGCCACTCATATAATACCTTCAAAAGGTTAAAAATCTTAATTTCAACATGATTAAGCTCACGGATTCGAAGTTCAATGCTGTACGGGTAACCGACCCTTTTTTCGTTTTGGTGTTAATACTGACCACTGCGGGCAGCCAAATGGGACGGTCGCCAGAGCTACAGGCCATCATGATGTTGACCAAGACATGTCCGACAGCTTCGCATCAAACCTTCTGATGCCCGAACATCCTCCAGACACAGCGCCATCACAGCCCTCAAATTCAATCGCCTCTAGATCTAGTCTGACCGTGACACCAGAGCCTGTCCGAGTCGATACGACAATCGAAGTGGTTATCAAGTCAGAAAATGAACCAGATCTGATTGAAAGGTTGACGTTCGTCAAGGGCGAAGATGGCAAAGCCTATATCTGGAATCTCGACAACCTTGGTCTCGGACCTCCAGTTATGGTCGAAGAGCGCTTCCGCATCGGATTTAGGCGCTCCGTGATCAGCGACGTGAGCTCCAGGTTTCCCTATCTATTGAAGCAGGCTAACCCTTGCTATTGCTTCAGGCCCTTGGTGGGGGTTACCAAACCACGTCGAACAACTGGCAAGGTCCTACAAAAACGGATAAATACCCCTAGTGCGTATTTCGATTCTTGACTCAACCCGATATATTGCTAAGTTAAAGCTTCTCAGCTTGGCCATGACGCGATCCTATAATCCACACCTCCCACTCGTTCCAGGCGGACACGGTGTCGTGTTTTGTGAAGTGAAGTATTTCGGTGACAACTCGCCCATTACCGGGGCAATCGACCTCATCGCTTCTGACAGGCCAAATCAATGAATATGCCTTGGTTCGTATGAAATCTCCCGGTGGGGCGAAATTTCGCCCCGTCAACTCAACCTACTCCAACCTCTGGTCATTCAAACATGGGTGTCTAGAGCCCTGAAGAAAGTGTGGGGAGGGAGTTGGGTCGAAAGAACGAATGCCGGACTCGTAGATAAGGGGGGTGAAATTAACCTCATCGAGTCTACAGAAGACGGTATTCGGGAAGCACTCGATGATGGTAGGCTCGCGATTAACTTCACCGTCATGAAGTGTGTTGGATACCGTACGGAATGGTTTGAGCAGTTCTTGCATTACCAGGCGCATCCGAAAGCCTCAACATCATATAAAAGGAAGAAGAAAGTGAGCTCGGGAGCTAAGAAACCCTCTGCAAAGAGGGTGAAGGGAAGCGAGCACCGGAAGGAGATGTCATCTGAAAGTGTCAGTGATGATGAATTGGAACCTACTCCGCCTGGTAGTGACGAAGATTAGATCAATACCCTCACTGCATAGTCGAACACTTACTATATCTTTAAGATTTACAATACTTGCGAAATGATTTTCATGATGTTGATGATCTCGCCTACTTGGAAGGCAGTGGGATCAAAGTGAAGAATCATTCTTTGTGACTGACAAATTGGAAGCTGTAGATCTATTCCTTCAAATTACAAATAGATATATCCAGGTACTTGTGAATACAATTCTTCATGACACACTCAAATAGTTATTACAATCAACAGGCCTCACACTGGAGGAAAAAAATGAGTCCAACTGTCTGTGATGGACTGCGACAAGGGGAGGGTGACTAGTGGGTGAGAAGGACTGCAGATAATCTCTTCCTGAGCGAGGAAACCTAGGACGTCGATAAAAGACCAGCCGGGCGCCGCACCATAATCACGTTCCCCTCTGTCATAACAGACGAGTGATAACACCAAGTCCCTGGGAGTGTTGATCGTCAGAGGCGCAGTGGTAAGTACGGAACAGTCGTCAACATACCTTGGTCTTACCCTCGCGGAATAACAGCTTCATCCCGACCTTGACAAACTCCGGCTGTGTAATGAACTCAAACTGAACAGTGGCTCGATCGCCAGTCCGTAGGACCCCCTCGGGGTTATCCATCGATATGATACGGACGGTTTGGCGGACAGCCTAGAACTAATGAGAACTACAATAGGCATCAGAAGATTCTACTCACCCCACAATGAAGCATGGCCTATGCGCACACTGCATCAGCATGGACCTCAAGAACAGCAAGTCCATCATACCTGGTAATTTCGTTGCATGGTAGTATTGTGGCTGCAAATTCTGCTCGGATCATTACATTGTGCGAGAGGTGTACTTGAACTCACTATAATATAAGGACCTGCCCTTCAAACTGCCGTGTTGCTGTGAGTCCTGATGAGTTATCGCAAGAATAATGCCAACAAATAAAATATTGACCTTTCGGGGGAGTATCAGTCTTGTGCACTATGACCATACCCTTCCTGACGGCCGCACGTTTCACTCGCTTGAGAGCGAGGGCAACGCATTGGCCAGCATCTGCTGTCGCGACATCAGCCCTGTGGAAATTCAATGCCCACAATGAATGCCAACAGAAACCGAGAATACCGTTTTCGTTGCATGCTCCTCACAACAGTCGACTGGAAATGTCCGTTGGAGTCTGGCCCAAAGAGAACGGAGTCACCTGTCTTGACACTTCCACCGTTGAGAATGCCATTGACGACTGTCCCCACGTATGGGACAGACCAGACGTCAGTGATCGAATACTGTAGCAAAAGAGATCAGTTGCACGCTTGAATGTGTGCCAAGGGTCGGTGCTACCTCAAGTGGCTGATCAACTGTGAATGTCTCGGTGTCCGCTTCGCTGGATGGAAGGAGATTCAAGAACGTGCGAAACTTCAGTCAAGTCAGAACCCTCGCAAATGTGAAAGTGCCCAACGCCTACATAGTCAAGGCCTTCTCCAGTGACATTGGAGACGCGGAAAATAGGACATAGTCTATGTTCCATGAGCATCAAAAATTCACGATCGAATACGAATAGGCATACTTGAATTGCGCAAATGTCTGCGACGATTCAACGGCGACTTCCATCGAGTTCACGAAGACTGGTATTTTCCTGCGAAGTAATGTCATGTGAATTCGAGACGGAGTAAAGGGTATGGTTCACCTGCATCCAGGGCTCTTCAAAATCTTCACCACCTGTTTCGTGGTCTCATTGAGAATATTAGGCGGGGTCATATCAATCTATGGGAAAATTAGCTCAGCCGAATGGTTATAGGTTATCTTTTACCTTAGTGATACAGACAACGACAGGCACGCCTAATGCCAGAGCTATTGCCAGATGTTCTTTCGACATGCCAATAAGCCCGGCGTTGGCACCCACCATAAGAATCACACACGATGGCGCCCCGGACGTCAGCCCGTACAGAGTAGTTTTCAAATATCGCTCATGACCCGCAAGATCTGCAAAACGGAGGTGTATGTGAAAAACAGAGTCACGTCGAACAGACTTACCACTGAAAGAAACTATCTTGGCCGACTGTGCTGAAATTTCGTCCCAACCCAGTTTATCGCGTCGGATCACGTTTGCGTCAGCAGATGGTAATATATTTGGAAGGACCGGGGTTCCAGCTGTCGAAAAACCAAGGATCTGTGTGAAAGATGTAGAATAGTGTAGGCTTATAAGGACGCGCAACTTACTTCCATCCCTACACTAGATGTCCGTCCGGTCTCAATCTCGTGTTTATGCCGAAATAGTGCTACACGAGCTCGGCCTCTCCCGTCATCCAGAGGACCTGAGAAGAAATGAATAATTGAAGCACGCATACATGCATTGTGTATCATACCGCGTGTTAGAACGCCTAGTGTTGTAGACTTGCCCGAATCAACGTTCCCGACAACAGCACACCGTACCTCGGGAATTAATTCAATGCTGGGGGGAGGTAATCGTAATAGTAGAGTTGCACGTGGATAGTGGCCGTCGGTAGTCTCAAAAAGAACGGATATCTATTGAAGATAAACTCATGCTACCTCTTTATATATAAAACACGCACCTTTCCCCCCAGCTCTTCCACAACCCTTTTAACTGATGATTGCAATGAAGTGATTTCGACGTCTGTTCGTGGGACCCCCGACCATCCTGTTGCGTCGTCCACACATTCTCCGGCAAAGAGTGATGCATGGGATGGTTGACAGCCAATGCGGAATATGTATTCGCCTTTGCGTCCAGTGATGAGTTGTGCCATCGAGGTACGTGCTCGGTCATAGTCATGGATAGATAGCAATGCCTGAGAAGAGTTGAGTGAATGCACAACATGATAATGGAAGATGAAGTACCAGGACTGCTTCGACCTCATCCTCAACTCTGGCATTCCTGGACGGAGGTGGCTCGCCGATAATATTAGATTCCTCGAGTATGTGTATTTTCTTGGGATTTACATTCCGCGAAGCAGGCGGGGCCATGCCACTAGCTTGGCCGCGTTGGCGGGCAAGTTCCCGTGCGTGAATTTCCTGAATTTCGTGTTGAAAGCTCTTTAAAGACATTATGAGTTAGCGAGAGGATAAGTATTAGTCCTAGCAGCTCCGACTCAGTCTTTATGGGTGCCGAGTCAGAATGAGTGAGAGTCACGTCACCCTCGATGCTGTCACACAGGGGGCTGTCAGCCTGAGTGGTATGTAAACCGCTCAAAGGGCTCTAATGATCATCCGTTTCCGAGGAATATCGATTATTTAAATGTTGTCCGATGAGAGCGTTCAATGTTGGCAGAACTGGATAGTTTTGCCAGCTAGTTTGGGAAAAACTGGTTACAACGTGCCTGGTCCACGGCAGAACTTGAGAGAATGGCAAAACAAGCTGGCAGAACTCCAGAGTTTTCGAGACGTACTTGGATACAAATCACACAGATATTGAAGTAGTTCTCCCTAGTACATGGCGCAAACTTGAACATGGCGTCCCTTGTAAGCTTGACACGGTGTTGCTCTCACGTGACACTGAACACATACGTCACGCGTGACTTTGTCTTTCTTCCACAGCTTCATTGCCAACGACCGGGACTGCAAACGCTATCATAGAGACTAGCACTCAACAGAATGACACTCCTTATTACACTTGGACGTGCCCCGGGATGGGGCTCTTCTAGCAAGCGTCCGCAGGCCCCTAACTTCCCCCCCCCCCCCCCAATCCATGAGGCTTGACTCGGAGCACTGAGCATTGGCGCTGCACTGAGCCACTCGTCCCTACATTGAGCAGGTAACAAGAAATTACCTTACAAGGCAAAAAATGCAAAGTGTTGAGACACAATCGAATCCTCTTCCGGCTCTTTTGCCTTTCCCGCTAACCGAGTGGCTCGTCCCTTATGCTTAGACCATCGCACACGATTGCTTCGTGCTTTTTGCCTTTAAAGGCAGAAACGCGCGCCGCAGAAAAGCAATCGTACTCGATGTCCATAGCATGCCTGGCGCTTTAAAAGAAGCGCGCAGGATGTGTGGATTTGCCACAACGCACACACTATTCATTCACTTCAAGTATATAAGCTTCTACCCCGCAGATCAATTTCCAATAACCCATTCCCTCCTCTCAAACACTATCGCGAGATGCCTGCTGTAGGACGTAATATGGTACGTTTTCAGCCTACCTCGCATCACGCGTTTTTTACTGAGAACACTTTCTCCGCAGACACCTGTTAACTGCTCTGTCTGCGGCAAGACCATAAGCCGCAAGGCAGATCTTCCTAGGCACATGCGCACGCACGATGAAAACAAGGAGGCTTTGTACGTACTCGTACCTTATTATCTCAGACGGTTCCTGACCGATTCACTATCTTGATCAGTATGCACGCATGTCCATTCCCTAATTGCAATTACAAGACCCTCCAAAAGTCCAACGTGCAGACGCACATCAGGACCCACACCCGCGAACGCTCGAAGACGTGCCCTCACCCTGGGTGTGCGTTTACCACTACCGATCCAGCAAGCTTGACGCGTCACCGCAAGCATGTACACAGCTACGAGCCTAAGGCGCGCAACTTCGGGGACAAAGCTGCTCGACGGTCCGCCGCTGCACCTTACCCGTCTACTCGGTTTATGAAGCCCGAGGAAAATATTCCTGCATCGCTAGATCTGAATGACATCACAGTTTCCGAGCTTGCAGACCTCATTCCCCGTGAAGCGCTCTCATCTGCTGAGTCTAGCGACTCCGGTATCCCCCAGATGTCGAGTGAACTCACCGAACTCTCTTGGGAGCGACTCTTCCCCGATTGTCCTTTCGAAAGCTTCGCCTCCGTTAACGAAGGGCCCTCTCAGCTCCCCACCCCCAACCACTTCCAGCCCCCAACTGTCCCCGTCGATCTCTCCACTTTCCACATGCCACAATTTGACCCGAAGCAGGGCTCCGATGTCAACTCCCAGCAGCCCATTTCTGCCTTCGATGCGGACTTTCAGCAACAGCCTGTCGCCGGGAACGATCAGAGGCCCCTACCAGCTGAACTAGAAGAGTTTCTACAAACATATGGCTCGGGGTATTTTGAAGGCCGCTGTGAGTACCCGGACAATGCAACGTATTCCATGTCCCAGCCCACATTTACGAACGAATCTAACATCTATTGAAATCTTTCTTGACTATCACGCTTCATCTTTTTGTCATTACCTATACATCATCACCATCGGCATTAGAATTACAATTGCATTTGGAACTTGGCATTATCATTATTGTTCATTTACATCACACCACTTGGATCTTTCACATACGTCACTTTCGACTTGTAAAATACATTATGTGTATACACGAATCTCATATGCATGACTATATCTCGCCCGATATGCAGCAGTCCAATTTTCATATCTGCCGACGCCATACAACCACCACATATGTTGAATTTGAAAACAATATATCATATGAAGGGTCGCGTTGGACAAAAATACAAGTCTGACCAGCTGGTCGCTCTAAGATGGGTCACTCATGAATGAATACTATATTTGGCCATCTATAAACTATTGTACTCTCACGTGACGTTAAACACCCTTGTCAGACTTGACCACTCTTAAAATTATCGAATGCTACTAGTAAGGTACATAGCTTTCTTTCATCACTCGAACCTTTTTCTAGAGTCCTTTTTGAACAGTCTAACATTGTCGAATGGGCTCCCAGCCAGCTACTGCGGTACCTTTACATGCCCCACGGACAATTCGTGGCACTGAACCTGGTCTCCTTGACCCGACCCAACCCTCCCGCCTATTGCGTGCACCAGATTCCACGCTCTCCTTCGCGTCCTTCGATCCACGTACCGCTCTTTCTGGCGAAGATATCCCAGACTTGCGCAAACTATCTATTGGCGAGGATCTACCGCCTCCCAAACGTATTGTCATCGAAACAACACCGAAAGGCACGAGCTTTTGGAGGTTTGTGCCGAAAGCGCGCCTGGATAAAGGTGTGCGCGATGAAGGCTTTTGGCCACGAGTAATTGAAATATGCGGGTGAGTGATGAATATCATTGATGTATGTCCTTACAGTTGTCTGGAATGCTATACTTTCAGAGAATATGTGTTTTGCTATCAAGAGCAGTGGGAGATTTACAAGCTGGACCCTGAATATCGGTGTACTGTTCACTTTGGATTTAAGTTTACGTCTGTTGTGAGGGTTGACCCCAAGGCTCAGCGTTCTAGAGCTCCTTCACCACCAGGCCCAAAGCGCGCACGCGCACGCACGCCTACCCCTGAAGCGGATACCCCGCTTCCGAGTAAAAGAGCGCGTTCGCAGCGCGCTCCTGTAGACGGTGACGATCACAGCAGCGATAGTGAATCTGGCGAGGACGAAGAAGTAGAACAAATGGTTGTGGAACAAATGGTCATTGATGGCCTTCATCGTGCCAGAGCCGAGATCTTGTCGAATGCTGTGCGATCCGGAAGGGAAGAATTGAAAAAAGAGCGAGAAAAGCGATGGCAGAAGATTAAGGGAGCTCAAGCAAAATATAGTCAGGAGTCTCAAGATGATGGACAGCCAATGTCCATGGATGCGGAACAATTTGCATCTCAGAGTAATACTGGGACGCAAGCCGAAGAGAATGGCAAACGAAAAAGTTTGTTGCAACCTCTGTCTTTTATAGCGGTCTGACCAAGGTTATAGAGAACGGATTTACCGTTGACACGGATGACGAATTATCACAAGAACACACCCCTACCAATGGCCATGTGCGAAAGCGCCAAAGGACCACATCACCATGTCGGACCAAACAGGCTTTTCACTACTCGAAAATGAAACGGGATATACGAAAACAAGCAAAAGTTAGGGCAATGGACGAACGCCATCAAAAGGGCTTCAAACAAATGTTTGCAGATTATTACCCGCTCGACATCGACGAACTGCGTATGTTACCGTTCTCGCTCTGCTATTAACGATTCATATTTTTTTCTTCAGCGAGTGATCATAATGAGCCATCGACATGTTCCCAGCCCGCTCCTTCGCAAGAACAGCCTGAGTCTTGTGAAAGTGAAGACTCGGACGACGAGGCAATGCGACAAACCGAACTCGCAGAGTCCATTCGCAAAATGCGAGAACTTGATCAGGATAGACCTCTTTGGGAAGAACAGCGAAGGAAGCGTGAGGCGCGTGAACGTGCTGAAGAACAGGAGCGCCAGGCCAAAACTGAACAGCGGAGAAGAGCTGAGGCAGAAAGACAAAGACAGCAGCGTGAGGAGGCCGAACGTCAGGCACGCCAGGCCCGAGCGGAAGCTGAACGACGGGATGCAGAAGAGGAAAGGCGACGGCAAGAACAGCGGCGGTCTAAGCAACGCCAACGCTGGGACTGCGGTACGTGGACGAGTCAGCGAGCCCTGGAACGATACAAGGTTCTCAGTGAGGAGTTTGACTCTGCGAAGTTCACGCCTGATCAGCCGATCGCTTTTCTTGACATCCCGTGGCCTGTGCTCCATCATCCATCTCGTCTAACAGTCGAGGACGTGGACTGGTCCGCGGTGGAGAGATTTTTTGCAACCGTCAAGACCTCCATGCGTCCTCAAGATTACAAAGATTTCGTAGAAAGAAGTCATCGGCGATTCCATCCAGATAGATGGCGTGCCCGTAAGCTGTGGTCAGCTATTCGGGATGACGTGGAACGCAGCTGCCTCGAGGTTGCCGCCAATACAGTCGCCCAAGCTATTACGCCGATCTGGAGAGAAATGAAACCGCACTGATACTAGTACGTCAAAAAAACATCTATGCATAATAGAACGTGCTTCGTGCGCATTTAATAGATACCCTTATATGAAGTTTTGAATTGATCACTGCGATTGGATTGGTTTGTGTGAATGGGCGCGCATCACACACACAGAGCTAGAATTTCATTGACAGACGGAATCCTCCCGAACATTCTAAACAAGTTGGTTTTCTGCGTCAGCCGAGTCACGAGGCTGACACAGAATTGAGTCTACGCGTGAGTAAGCGAAGTGGCGCAACACCTCTTGTCCTGGTTCGCAACAGCAGACAAGTATCAGTCACTCGTTATTAAGTCTCTCGTATTATCTACGCTAAACTTTCGTCGTTCCTTGCATTATTATCTATTTGTAATGCCTATCATCGCAGAAGACCCCAACTTAGCCGTTCCACCAGACTTCGAGTCGGAAGAATACACTCTAGCTCGTGCTCAGCTCATTAACGAAACGACGAACGACCAGCAGGCCGCCGAAATATTGGACAACCTGTGGCATATCCAAAACAATGCAGACAGATGTCGGTGGTCAGCCAGGATTCGTGAGGAAGCTGAAGAAGCCGAAGAAGAGCGCAGACGTATCGCAGAAGAGGAAGCACAGCGGCAACAAACACTCCTTACCGAGCAAGAAGCTGCTGTTTTAGAAGAACGGAAAAAGAACAAATCCAAGTATGCACCAATCCGCAACACTGAAGTTCCGTCCAACCCGATCATCCTTCCATGTCAATATGCTGTCTGGAAAATGAAATCAGGCGACTACTGCGAACTCTTCTACTTCACGAACAGCGGCTTAGAAGAAGCTTCTTGGAACACCTTTACAGCTGATGAAGACGCCCTAATAATGCTACCTACTGCTGATGGAATGCACAAGTGGATTCCGGCCGGTGCCGCTCGAGATCCCAAAGTGCAGATAGTAAAGGATGAGAACCTTACTTGGGAGCAATTTAACGAAGCAGCGCCTCGAATGATTGTACTAATGAAAGAAAATGACTGGCCAGATGATAGGGTAGCCATGCACGTCTCATTTTGGTCCGTATTACAAAACCATCGCTGGAGACACGATTTCGATACTCATAAACAGCGAGTGCTGTTGCTATACCAAGCCCAACAGTGGCGACGCTGGCATCTTTCAGTAGGCAGTTCCAACAGCTGGAGCCTAGCTAAGATCAATCAAGATCTGTTAGACGAGGCCCAAGAAACAATCTTCAACCAATTTCGAATGCAACAATTAGCTATTCAAGTGCGTCTCCCCTTCACCATTAAAAATCGAACACAAAACTAAAGAATTCCTTATTCCTATCATTTATCCTGCGATCACCGCAACCTGCACAAACCCTTTGGCATAACGTCCAAACATCCTCACCTTGTGGACATAATGTTCCACCCCACTCTTTGCATTACAAAATGACCAATCACGGTCAACCATATCACACCCTTTCGGGTTTTCGAACGCTCCGCCAATCATGGCGCATTTCTTCGAAACGCTTGTTCACTCTTGCATTATGGCCATCATGTGCCAGGTTACATCCAATGCACAACCACGAGCCGCGCCGGCAGTGTCGACATCCAAGAGCAATCAGCATCACGCACGCTCATTTAGTTTGCAGAAGCGCTCCCCGCCATCCTCTCCAGACAACAGGTTCAACAAAAGGCCTAAAACCTTTCGAGACCCCAGCGTCCTGCTCCCAGTTTGCGCCATTTGCCTCGGCCGAAACTCTCACTGCGTCATTGATTGCTCTGCAACCCTCACTTGGGATGGAAAACACGCCACCATCGCCGAACGCATTCACAAAGCGCTCTGGACCAGAGCTGGTAAACAACTGTGCACTGCCTGGCAACGAGAAGGAGGATGCAACAGCACCACGCACGACGATCATCACATATGCTCCGGATGTGGCGCCATCACTCATGGAGCTTCAAAGTGCCCTAGAGCACAGGAAGCTTAATCCCATCACTCCGTACAAAGCCGATGCTTGGTACAGAGAGCTGAAGAATGCTAACCTCTTAGCACGCTTCGCTAAAGTTCCTGAAGGTATCCGTTCTGGTTTCATTCTAAATTTCCCTATGATACATAACACCCAATCCCCCGCTAATAGTCAATCTGTTATTACTTACAAGGACCAGTTCGACACCAGTATAAAACAAGAAATCCAAAAATCTCATTACATAGGACCTTTTCCCGCTCTTTTACTTACAAATCTTATAGGACCTTTTCAAACTTCCCTGCTATCAATCATTCCAAAGCCTGGTAAACCAGGAAAGTTTCGATTAATTCAGAATTTTTCATTTCCTCGCTCTCCCGACACCCTATTCCACAACCCATCTGTTAATTCACATATTAATGCTAGCGACTTCCCTACGACTTGGGGAAAGTTTTCCGTTATTTACTTATTAATTTCGAGACTTCCTCTAGGATCAGAAGCAGCCACTTGAGATGTAGCGGAGGCATATTGCACTGTCCCTTTACACCCTTCCCAATGGCCCGCTGCAGTAGTATGCACCTCAAACACCGAGTTCTGTGTGGACACCTGTACAGCATTTGGAGCCACCCCTTCTGCAGGCGCTTATGGGCACGTTGCAGATGCAGGCGCAGAAATCTTCCGCAACCAAGGCTTAGGTCCCTTAGATAAATGGGTCGACGATCATATATTCTTTAGGATCCGTAAGGAGTTCTCAGACGAATACAATCGCAACCGAGCAGAATGGCATCGTGACCTTCTTAAGCGAGGCATGCACCAAACAGGCAGTCGCCTTTGGTATGGTGGTCGTATTTTCGATGATGGATCAATAGAAGAATTTAATGAGGACTGTTCCAAACCCATTAAAGATTTCTCCAGCTCTTCACCTAGATCCGAACATGATGCACTCTTCTGTTACAACCTCCAAGATATAGATGACTCGTCCTCAGATCTAGGAATTTTTTGGCAAATTACCAAAGATCAACCTTTTGCTTCCTCAACCATTTACATTGGTTTTCTATGGGACATCTATCACCGCACGGTCTCACTTAGCCAATCGAAAGTCGAGAAATATCTCATGGCCATTCACACATGGAGAAGGAAGCCTACACACATGTTGCAAGAAGCCCTCGAACTCTACAGTAAACTAATGCATGCGTGCGCAGCAGCCAAAAGAGGAAGAGCGTACCTTACCAGCCTGGAAAGATCAATTGCTGTCCTTCGGAAGAAGCCACACCTTCCTCATCACCCCGACAAAGAACTTGAACCGGACCTCACGTGGTGGTCAAATCTCCTGCAATCTGGTGGTGTCTCTCGTCCAATATACCCACCAGCAACCTTTTCAATCCCTTTAGCCTTCTCAGACGCTAGCTCAGGCATAGGCATAGGCATAGTCATAGGTAACAGGTGGAGAGCCTGGAGACTAGTCCCTGGCTGGCAGACCGCGGGAAATGGAAAACGAGACATCGCAGGGGCAGAAGCCGTTGGTTTCGAGCTCTTGGTCTACACACTCACCGCTCTCCCTAATGTTAGCAACCACATCACTGTCTATGGTGACAACACCAGTGTCGTTGAAGGATGGTGGAAAGGAAGTAACCAAAACAAAGCTGTCAACGAAGTTTTCAAATGCATCCATAAATTCCTTCACAATCTACCCAGACATTGCATCATCCGTACAGAATATGTCATTAGTGCAGCCAACCCTGCAGACGATCCATCCAGAGGGAAATATGGACCAAAGCACCTTCTATTACCTCCCACCTGCATTCCCAATGAAATCAAACACCTCGTCATCAATGCTACGGCCCCTCTGTCTCCAACAGAATTCCGACTATTCCGAAACGGGCAGTACTCCACTCCTGCCGCAAAAGTCATCAACAGAACACTTGTGCGGCAGCAAGCGTTCGAAAGAGCCAGAGCTTCCCGCACCGAAGAGGACCAAATCATCTTCAACGCTCTATCACAATAAACCCCAAAGCCAGCATCACCTACACTCGTTTCAGTGCACCGCTCCCTTCTTCTCACACTTTAGTACCAAACAACCCTTCCCCTTTGCGCTACAAGACAGGATTAGTTCCCATGCCATCTCCATTAAGACCACATTGCTTAGCAAGGGACAGATTGCGGAAGTGGTTGCCAGCAGGAGAGAGCGCACGCCTACCTTCGTCAACGACATCCAGAACCCAAGATATCAGTATATCTGACGAACAGTTGGATCGCATACTAGAAGTAATAGGGTCATCCTGGGCAATGTCCACCAAGGAAATGTACGGAGCTGGGCTCCTAGTTTTTCACGTCTATTGTGATTCGCTAAACATATCAGAAGATCAACGCTGTCCAATATCTCCCACTCTCCCACTCGCCTTCTTATCGAGTTGTGCCGGTTCATACTCGGGTACAACCTTAGCTAACTATGCTGCTGGTCTTAAAGCCTGGCATCTTTTGCATGGATGTCCATGGTTAGTCGACGCCAGAGAACTGAAAGCCATACTCGACGGAGCTACTGCCTTAGCCCCAGCTACATCCAAACATTCCAAACGACTCCCTTTTACTATCAAAATCTTGTGTATAATCCGTGCAAACATCGACATCAATAACCCACTAGACGCGGCTATTTTCGCATGCATAACTACTACATTCTACTCTATTGCTAGACTCAGAGAGTTCACTGTTCCAGCCATCAAAGCTTTCAATCCATCCAAGCACATAACACATGAAAATGTTGTAGAAACCGTCGATCGCAATAATCTGCCCGTCACGAAATTTCGGATCCCAAGCACCAAGACATCACCTATAGAAGGGGAAGACACTTACTGGTCAGCTCAAGATGGTCCTTCAGACCCGAAAACAGTGCTTGAAAACCATCTTCGCGTGAATCAAGGCAATGGCAAGGAGCACCTCTTTGCATGGAAACACCCCAAGGGCATCAGACTGCTCTCGAAACCGCAACTAGCAAAGAGACTCAGTTCTATTGCACGAACTGCGAATCTCGCAGACCTCAAAGGCCACGGTCTCAGAATAGGCGGAACGCTTGAGTATTTGTTGAGAGGAGTTCCATTCGATGTCGTCAAATCTATGGGCAGGTGGTCAAGTGATGCTTTCACGTTGTACCTACGTGAACATGCGGTAATCATTGCACCTTACATTCAATCATCTCCCGTGCTCGAACCGTTTACCCGTCACACAATGCCACCGGTACGGTAAACGCTAATAGTGAGTGCTTCTCCTACTCATCCTAGGGTGTCAAGCTTCGCTATTTGCATCATAGCACTCCTACTCTTATGGGATCACAGCTCACCTTGAAACCCTTAGGTTCGCACGCATGCACCGGGCCGAAAAGCCCTTCGGGCCTTTGCCCAAAAAAAAACCTTCACTACATCAATCAGTTTTTGCATTGCGCTACGTGTACCTAGTTACCTCAAACATATCTTCAACATCCCGATAAACTTCGAGTGTCGAAGGCATAGAATGACAACTGTGACCTGTGTGCAAGGTTTTTATCAGATGTGATGGGATATTTGATTTGGCCACTCTTCATCACATGTGCCCGGTGTCCAGATGGTTCCCGATGGTGGTGGGCGCAGCCAGATGCTTCGAATGTAGGATGTGGACTCATTAATTGACTCGTTTACGGTCGTCAGAAACTCACAACGTAACGTCTGATTTCTTTTTCTTTTATGTGCACCATGTGCAGTCATACATGAGGCGAATCTGATTGCGGCGGAGGAAGGTCAGACGAACATCGAACTACCCCTAATATTAAAGACTGATATTTAGTTACACATGCACACGTAGCCCCGGTAAGTTTAGCCCCATCAATAAATTCCTCTCCCATCAATAATTCTTCCCCACCCGCATCAATGATCCCCCTCTCCCATCCATAATGAATTTCTCTCCCATCACCATGTGAGAGGAGTGATGCGTGACCTGTTGACATTCTGAAATAGATCGGCTCTCAGTTCCACAAACCACATGTTACCATTCGACTGACGTTATTCAGTACTAGTAAAGGTTGGGCCCCGCAAACATGTCGGAAAAAAGGTATACGTACGAAGCTAGATTTTCTATACTGTAACTGAGTCGTCGCCCCACACATGTCGTTGCGACCCAGATATCTCACAAAATTCTCATTTCCACACATAATTTACAACCTTGATCGATGTTTCTAATATAAACTGTTCACGACAAGGTTGAACGACTGATTTTCATAAAGAAATGGTGCTTAAGTTCTTTGAAAGTAGCTGGTGGCAGCCTGCCGAACGTTGCCGTAACGGAGTTCTAAACTAATTCCCGTGACGATTTGTTGGTGAATGCCTGTAGCCGCACCAGCGTCGATTTGGAGCACATAAAATATTCTCATTCGCATGTAGCACATACAACCATTATAGCTATGATCACACTCGGAACTATATCCACGTGATGCCAGTTGGTCGCTGACTTCATTGTCGACATTTAGGCATTGCCGCGCGGACTTAGAAATGGCAGCCGAAAAGCGTTACTTGACTACAACTTAACCTTGAAGTATACTTAGATTCAGCTGAGAAGTCCGTGGATAATAGTGACGTTCACAGTGTAGCGTTTTCGAGGCGTTCTCGATGCCATTTTCGATTCTGTTTTCAATTTCGGCAGTGACGACGGGGGCGTCAGACTCTGGAATTCGGTACAAACCGAGCCGTCTTCCTAAATGGTAAGCCTTGTCACACACTACTCTTTCTATAGTTCTCACGCTACAATATTAAGGAATCATCGCATTAGTTCTCCACTTACATGTCGTCGTTGTGCTACTCGTCGAGCTCGGTCTTTGCGTTGCCTTTTTTCCCTAGTGCCTGTGAATGCCGCGATCTTTTTGCATCCTGCCCGTAATTCTCGACATCAATCGCTCCTGCCCTTCCTGACACCTGATACTTGCAGCATAGCCATGCCGTCCACGCCGCCGGTCGGTTTCTTTTGTGAAACAGCGTATTCACGAGCGACCACTCTGGGGCCCCAGCACGTCTGCACCAAGAATCCAAGATCTAGCGCCAGATCCCCACCCACTCGCAGTCAATTTAATCCTCTTTGTCAATTATCGCTGGCGCAACCTCGAGATTCTTTCTTCAGTATTTTCCTTCTTCTAGTTTACAGCTCCACCTCGTACTATCAATGCCAGCATACATGTTCCTGTCATCGGTAGACATAATTTTATCGCATTCTCATCTCAGAGATACGAGAATTTAAATTCATGAGTAAAAATCCATTATATGTAAAGCATTGTCAGGGAGATACCTGGTTTCTGAAACATAGAGAGCCGGTCTATTTCGGAGTGTCACACTAAGCTTCAGCGATTGTCCGCCGAACAAAATATCATCATTGCCATGAAGGTAACCACGTCCCTGAGGCCCTATATCATATGTCTCCAAGGGAGAGAACCGGATTGTGATGTGACCAAAATTCTTCACGTTCTCGTACTACCGATTAGAATTGTCGCTGATCATACTAAAAACTAGTCGGTAACCAGAGAAGCCGACGACGTGAAATTGCTTCTTCAAGCTTCCTGCGGTATGATAGTCGTGTGATTCGACCTTTATATTCGATAGTCTGCGGCATCAATCCATTACAGTGTTGTTATCATTGGATATCAGAAATTGCGGAAGCCGAAAGAAGACTTCGTCTCCAGTGGGTCCGAGAGTGTCACGGTAACGCGGTAGGGCCAATTAAGAGGTGACCGTCTTTTTCTGCCGTGATCTCTGCCCTGGCCCCTTGATCATTCACGTCCCCACCGCCGGTGAGACCTCACCAGCACCGCCATGCTCATGACCCTACATCAACTTTGGACTTTAGTTATAGAGCGCATAATAATTTTATTAAATCAATTTATCAGTTGTCATGTATAATGGAATATATCCCATGTAAACATGAGTTTAGTAAGAGGTGATGAGATTTTGGTGAAGGGGTCATCATCATGATGCCCGTGTGTGTGTCCAAATTTGAACTTCGTCCCTTAATCCTATGTTTGTGCAGATCCATTTGGTCAGAATCTCAGGGTCTACTACTAGCTATATGTAACTGTACGCAATCAGTTATTTTGGTATCTCGACCGGCTGCCAAGGATCTTGCCTTGTAAACGTATAAATGCTGACAATGCCTGCCATTCGATCTCTCGCAGCCCCCTTGGATCGCACATTGATACCACTACTCCAATGTCTTCAAGCACTCTCACGCCAGCTGAAGTCGCCGTCGCTCTGGTCGAGCAGGCTGTAGCCAAGCACAACACGCGATTGGACAAGACCTTCTTCAAGGCGGTAAGTAGCAAGTACATCCATCTGTTATTTAACATCTCATTCTTGCTATCAGGTTCTTGCTGGTGTTATGCTGTCCTTCGGTGGCCTGTTGGATCTCATCATCAGTGGTGGCTCTGCAGGCCTGACAGCTTCGAACCCCGGAATTGTCAAGGTCCTTGGTGGTTTTGTATTTCCTGTCGGTCTCGTTATGTAGGTGTCAACGTCCTCAGCACCATCAGACTATGGCTTAATCGTCGTATTTCTCCGCAGGATCGCGCTCCAGGGTCTTGACCTGCTCACGAGCAATCTTATGGTAGGCAGTTTAGCGTGGTCCACTTCTCACCCTTCATTGACATGCGACTTATAGATTTTCCCCATGGCTGCATTGAAAAGAGCAATTCCCTGGTGGGGCGTTCCCCTCAACTGGATTGTTGGTGAGTACCGCCAAAGCGTCTTATTCACATAATACTGAGTATATCATCGTGTCAGTATTTTTCGGAAATCTTGTTGGCAGTCTATTCTTTGCAGCCATCCTTTCCAAATGTCAGTTGGTGTTCATTCGCTCGGACTATATCATATTGATTGACGTTTCCAGACGACGGACTGATGGTAGATGATCCTTACGCATCATACGTAAGGGCATTCGCCATGTGAGTCACTTTCATACTAATCTGGAAGTCCCACCGTCTCAATAACCCTCGTCTCAGTACGAAAGCTATCACACCTGGCTGGTATCAGATCTTCCTTCGTGGCATTGGTTGCAACTGGCTTGTATGCATAGCCGTCTGGGTACGTATATTGCAGTGTTGCTCCGAGCCATTACTTACACGGCGTTATTTAGCAAGGAGTTGGGGCCAAAGAAACTTTTTCGAAAATTATTGCTATCTGGTTCCCCGTCTGGGTTGGTAAAATCGACAAAGGTTGCGATCTTGACTCATTTATATTTTCTAGGTCTTCGTCGCTTGCGGGTTCGACCATGGTAAGTTGCAGAACACTCAGATGTAAACTTTCACTAATACTTTTTGCTAGTTATCGCAAATATGTTTTCACTCTCATTGAGCATGATGCTTCACTCTGAGGTACGTCTTGTACTAACTTGCACTTGGCACATTTCTGATTACTTTCTAGCTTACTGTCGACCTGTACATAAGAAAGTATGCAACCAGTCTTTTGTTCACATCTCAACGTTTGCTGATGACTTTCTCAGGTCGCTAATTGCGGCTTTGATTGGTAACATTATTGGAGGTCTCTTTGTGGGCCTGCCGGCCGTGTATTTCTACCTGGATGACTGGCATGCCGGTGGCCTACGTGATGCCGAGGAGGCCTGTATAGAGCGCAAAACCTCGGATACTGACTCAGGAAAGAGCTCATAGGAGTCTCAATCCTGGGACGCTCATCATTTCTCATGAAATGGACGATTATTTATACGCATGTCAGGCAACATGGTTGACGGAGAATCCTGGAGATGCGATCTATACGATTGGGATGACACGCACTGGATTCATCCTTAGGGGATCCTCTACGAGTGGGTATACGATGGGAGAGGTTGGTACTTATGTGTCATGAAACATCACACTGTACAGTTGTAGGGAGAAGAGATCGATCGTAACATAATGTACTGGACGAGTATCGCAAGTACTAAGCTTGCGGTATATCGCAATTTTCGGATATTTTGTGTACTTTACAGGAATTATTATCACATGTTGCTTGCGCCACTTGGGTTGGGATTCTTCAAGGTTATGGAGGGTTTAAACATCCTAATCGGAGCTCGACTTACAAGTCCTCACGGATCAAGATGAGTCCTATAATATCATAGCCAGTAGATGGTGGCTGATAATGACAAGAAGTTGAACGATTTCATCAAAGATGTACGATACCTGAAACATCGGAACTTAGTCGTATGAATAGAAATCGACGTTATCTACCGCCACACAACTCACTCCACCTGCATACTTCTGGTGTCATATTCTATATCGGACGTACTAGGTCTGGAGGAAGCCGGCCAGTCGTGATAGACGCAGGCTGAGTAAGCTTTTGTACTTTAAAAAGGTAACGACAAAATTGCACCAAAAATTCAATATTACAATGCCAAGAGCAGAGGCCACTTCCCACTCCTTCGAGTGTGAAGGCGGCATGCTAGAGTAATAAGGTTATGCTGGGTTTAAATTCTTCACGTGATTTCGGATTCTTCCGCATCCTTAGTGCTAGTGATGTGCATGGCCCAGCTTCAGGCCATGGGCCAGGCCAAGCCAGGCCTGAATAGGCCAAGCCGAGCCAGGCCAAAGTCAGGGCTTGGTGACGGCTTTGGCCTGGCCTGAGATTTTGAGAAGCCGAAGCCGGTGGCTCAAGCCACGGCTTATGTCACACAGAACTGTGCCTGCAGCGTCGCAAACACCACTCACTTGACGACCCCAGAATCCCACTTCTATCCCATTTTAGACTTTCACTTACTGTTGTATGAGCTCATGACAGTGAGTTGCTGATCTTTGTTCTTTCCAAGCACGACATAACTCACTTTGTTGCTGGTGGATAGATCAATTTCAGTAATTTGCCCTCTTTTACGAGTCTCTTGCGACTTGCAAGCTTGGCAGCTAGCACATTTGTTTTCGGACAAAAGGCGTGCATCTGTGATGGTATTTTTTTCATATCTGTTTCCTACTACTTGTCTCTAATGGTTGGAACCATCCACACAGACAGTGATGACGAATGTCATGCACGACCAGTCCGTCAAAAGAAGCCCAGTGCCGCCCTTCTCCAACATTCAGAGAAGGCGGCTCTCCCATCCCAAACCAAGGCCATCAACGCCTTTCGTGCAGCTGAGGCTATGAGGCATTTGCCTGAAATTCAACACGCTTCCAACACGGATCAAACCACCCCCAGCTCAACAGGTGACACCACACCATCAGGTTCAACCCTGGCAACCTCGGCAGCACTCAAAATGGGTAAACGGACGCGTGTTGAAGCAGTTGTTGATGAATCTGATGGAGAGGAATACGAGGATGCACGCACCGAGGAACATGAAGATGCACGCACCAATCCACAACGTAAGTTTCTTTTTCCATCTGCAAATATAAAACTGATACCCTGGTAGCCAAAAGATTGCGCAAATCAGCGCCAATCAATGTAGATTTGATTGACGATGATGGCATTCCTATTGATGTTCATGTCCAACCCATTACCGACACAGCTACGACACGCGAAGGCAAGACTGCGGATCTCGACGCCTTTTTTGGTGCAACATTCGATCGTACAGGAACCAACGGCAAGGTCAAAAAGCACCGAAAGTGCAAGTTATGCGTGTAAGTCCATAAGGTCATGATTGCGCTTGCTCACTCACACCAAATTAATAGGAAACAGTGTATACTTGTGAACGAAGCTACAACACTTCATCGTCATGCCGAAGCAAATTTTGCGGTGCATAAATTTCTTTCATATATTCATTGTGCATATATATATATGATTATACTGTAGGGAAAGTATCGACAATGGGCGAAGGAGAACTCCTTCGAGTCTATGTTACCGGGTGACGTCAAGGCCTGCAAGGAGAAGGCCGAGCAGGCACAGCGGACCATTAACTCGCATCTGACTGAACACAAACTCTCTGAACGAGTCATACCGTACTCGGATAAGTTATTCAAACGAGCTGCAATTGAATGGTTGGTTGCGACAGACCAAGTATGTATGCTTTGCTTGATCTAATAGTATGACCATTGACACACCTTCATCTAGCCCATCCAAGCCCTCGAACACCTGAAGTTTCAGGAGATGATCGATGTTGCTTCACGGGCGACAAATGGTGTCAAAATCCCTGGTCGCAAAGCCACCCGCGCTGAGATCATACAAATATTTAAGAATCATTTGACGAGACTCTGGACGACGTTAAATGTATGTCACAATTCAGCGTGTGCTTTACCACATCTCATCTGCCAACACAGCACTGCTGTTAGCGGAGCAATCAATATCACTTGTGATGCATGGCAAGCCACCAACACTGATGGATATTTCGCTGTCACTGGCCACTGGATCGAAGAGAAGTCAACGATGCAATGGGAGTGTGAAAGCGCACTTCTTGGCTTTACCCAGCTCAACAACGCACACAATGGGAAGCGTCTCGGTGGCACACTGTTCAAAGTTTTAGATCGCGTCAGTATCACACATAAGGCATGTCATTTTTGCATTCTGCTTGGCTTACTAGTCTAATCATGATATATAGTTGGGCCATGTCACTTGTGATAATGCCTCTAACAATGGCACAATGCTCAAGGAGTTTGCTCGACTCTATAAAGCGCATCACAAAAAGGAGTTCCCTTGCTATGAACGAAGGATCAAGTCACTTGTTTCGCAGTTGATATGTGCTCACATAGTGTTCAGCTGTCTCGCTCATGTGATTAATCTCGGCACCCAAGTACTGATCAGTACATACAGCAAATCTCCGCACTATGAACCTCACAATCCCCATGCTCATGAGCCGGATACCACCAAGCATCAAAATCGTGACGAGATCGGACTCATACGTTCGATATGCGTAAAGGTGATTGATATCTCTTCGCACATTATGTTTTACTGAATTATTCAAAGGAGCGATCATCTGCGAAACGTAAGGAACTTTACAAAACAGTGCAAGTCAAGGCTGGCATCTCGCACCCTATGCAACTCCTTCTGGATATGAAGGTCCGTTGGTCCTCGACCTATGTGATGGTCAACCGTGCGGAAAGCAATAAAGAGGTGAGTGTAGTCTGCAGTGTTCAATAATGCAATGTCTAATTTCTGACAACAGCATGTTGACGTCTTCGTGTATGAGATGGGGCTACAAGAGCGAGACTTGACGAAACGGGCTAAGATCGACTTCCTTACGCTGGCGCCAGATGAATGGACCCGTGTTGGTAAATTTGCCGATCTATTATCGGTATGTTACCTTCATTATTTGATATTGTGCCGCCGCTGATTTAATGTTTCAGTACGCAGACGTTGCCCAGCAGGCCTTCTCGTCAGAATCAACTACTACACTACATCTTGCTATCCCTGCACTCGAGACTCTCCATCAAGCTTGGTCTTCACATGCGGAACGGCCAAAATATTCACATTTCACACCAGCATTGCATGCCGCTGCACAAAAGCTCAACGAGTATTATGATAAGACCACTGACTCCCCGGCCTATGTCATGACTATGTGTATGTTCCATTTACCATGTATCCATGATGCTCATGTTCCATGCAGTGCTTGATCCAACGGGTAAAATGTCGTACTTCAAGAAGAACTGGCCCGAGGATTTGCAAGACGAAGTTCTCGCTTGCGTGAAACAAGTGGTATGTTGGACAAAGTTATTCACCAGCCTACAATCACTTACAAGTCATTTAGTTTGAGGCTCGCTATCTTGAATTGGGCCAGGCAGCATCCATGTCGCAACCTTCGCTCGTCAAGAAAGGCAAGGCTAGCAGACTCAAGAAGTTAATTCGCGAGGCGCAGAGCTCCGATGAAGACGACGATGACGAGACTGTCGTCACCCATACAGATCCATCTAGACCATGGTATGCCAGTTTTGAAAACTATGTCGATGCTGTAGAGACGAAACCTCCGCCTGGAATGAGCATAATTCAATGGTGGGGTGTAAGTACACATCCAAGTCTATCTCGTCTCAATACTGACCAGTCTTTGTTGTAGATTAATGGACACAGATATGGCCCAGTATGGACCTCACTAGCTCGTGACTACCTCTCAATTATGGCGTCGTCAGTTTCGAGTGAGTGCACGTTCTCACAGGGTGGTATTACCATTAGCAAGCGCCGCAACCGCCTCAAAGGCGACATCATTGAGGCACTACAGTGTGTCAAATGTGCCCTCCGCCATGATCTACTCTTCCGCGAGCCTGGACCCTCGTCATCAACTGAGGAAGCTCTCGAGGACTCTGATATTGAAATGGATGCTAACGAGAAGCTGAGTGATGTCGAAGATGGGGATGAGGAGGGCTGGGATGCTCTTCTGGAGGGAGATGAGGATTTTGTAGAATCAGATGCTGACTCCATGATGTAAATTATCTGCTGAACATGTTTCTCCATTTTCAGTACTTGGGCCGCGGCTCAGGTTAAAGCCGAGCCAAAGCCAGCCGTCACTGGCGGCTTTGGCCCGGCCTCGAATTTTCGCAAGCCTAAGCCGTCTGAAGCCAGGCCGAAGCCACGGCTTTCAAGCCAAGCCGGGCCGGAACATCATTACTTAGTGCTGTATCTCCGGCGCACTCGAAGGAGTGGGAAGGAGCCTATGCCAAGAGCACCTGGAAATGAGAATCGTTTTGGGAAAGGAGGCACGTGGAAGGAACTAAGTTATCAAGTTCTAGAAAAGTCTTGGCAGGTGGCCACCTGCATGAATACCCCCACTGGAAGACTGGTTCGAGTTCGGCGGAGACCATACAGGTGACCTGGAATGCATTTTATAACTTCCAAGATAGAAGCTAATATCTTCAGCTCATCTTGGACCGCCCAAAAATCGATACAGACATCTTCAGCTTCTTTGGTAGGTGCAAGTGCCCCGATGCGGTCTGGCTGAGAGAAAATAGCACCGGTTCTACATTAACCCCGTAATCGCATTTGAATACAACAAGGCTCGTAGAAGAAAGAAACTCACAACGACGAGACGTAAATAATGTGGTGCACTAACCCCGCCAGCATTGCATGCCCTAAATTCATCTTGGGCACTTAGAGGGCATTGGTGGGAGTAAAGAGAAAGATGGCGACGCCATCAGTATTAATGGCGAATAGCATCTAGATCTAGACATACACGGACTGGACGGGAATTTTTCTCAGGTCGTCGATGTTCACGTTGTTGTTGTAAAACATTAAGAATCATACCGGCACCCACTGCAAGATGGATTTTGTTGGGCTGAGCCAAGTCTTTCCTATGCAGGCCAAGACGAAGGAAGACGAGTCTTCCTTCCATACTAACATGTCAGTAAAGATTCGTGTCGGAAACAATGATCTGACAGTGTTGACCGTGAGTGGAAACTTGTAGAACTTCAAGGAGCTGGATTATTCAGGAAGCCTGTTTCCCCAACATTCGTTGATGTGAGCAAACTTGCCGGATCATCCTGTTGTGAATTGAGCTATATATACTGACATGGAAGGGTACAATCATATAATTGAAAACACTGCCATTGCCAAGCTGGTAGAAACAGAGTGGGCGTGATGGGAGAACACGCGAGCTATAAAAGATTGTGTGCGAGCAATAAAAGACAACCAGTTGGATGTGAGAAACACTGATGGATAAAGGGATAGATGAATGCAAGATAGGAACAGAGTGGCTCGGGGTAGGGAATAGTTCCATGCTGACTCGCATTCAGACACGGGAGAATGAAAGGCAGTGCGCGTTCGAAGTAGGGGTGCAATCAAAATGTGAGTTAGGGAAACTCACCGAAAAAGGTAGTGCACCCGAAGAGACGTCATGACCTTCAATAGTCTCGGGGGATTTGCCGAACGGCGGGTCACTGAAGAGCTCGTAAGGCACTTCGATTCATGGTCCTTCCGGCCATCCTCCTGACTTTTTTTGAAAAGAATCCTACTCCGCAAAGTGTATGTGACCGTGCTGCGGAAGTCAACGTGCACAACCGTATTGATGTACTTATCTGAAAATGAAAGCGAACAGAAAGCAGCGGCTCTTTTGCTGGGATAGATATTCAAGTTTTTTTAACATCCAGAAACTTGGCTTCAGTTTCAGGAGAGCTTCAGCTATTAACGCGTAACTGTGCAAACAATTTGAGTGTGTCATAAATGAAAATGAAGTATGTGCGACATGAGCTCAGTAGATCAGGACTCATTCCCTCACAAAGAGAGGCCATTGTCTTTGAACTAAAGGGCTGTGCGTCCCGCCTAAGACAGACCAAGCGCCGCCATGCACATGTGGATCAGAAATATAACAGGGCCGTCAAATTCCCCTATAAAAAGAGTTTTCAGAATAAGTCATTCTGATCGTTCACGAAATAGTGTCAACGTTCTCTGGGACATGGTCCGAAAGGGCTGGGGGCCAGTCTGGGAGAGGACTCCTTGGAGGAAATTCAGCAAGCGAAGAAGGATCCCAAAGGATGGACATTACTTCCTTATATCCCACACATTTTCGCTGCTCTTCCCAAGCCGTCTGTGAGCCCACCACTCAGCACGGCGGCGGATCCAAGCTTCCCGTTTCTGTTCTGGGTGCATGAATTTCAAGCTCATACAAAATTTGAAGTCCTCTTTTTTAGCTCCACATTCTGACATTTGACCGTATCTGTATAAAGATTTTATTTGAGTCCCGAGCACTGAAAGTGTCATGAGCACAAGCACTCTTGCTGAACGTTTTTAGAGCATACCGTGACATTGCAGAAATTCATCAAACAGGGTCATGCATCCTGGAATATCATCCACGGTAGGATGAACTTTGCGTAGGTATTCTTCCTCTTGCTTGATCGCGGTTTCGAGGTCGACGCTAGCCATATCACAAAGGAGAGAATGACTTGGTCGGCAACGACGGCAGCAGGCTGTTTGCCATCAATCCTTGCGTGGGAACCGAACGCGCTTTAGACTCCGACAATTGAACGCGTCGCGTCGCGTGTTTTGTTCTTATCATCTCTCCGCATCATCGTTCAATAAAGCTATTTACCATGGTGAGTACGGAGGACACAGAAATTAGACTAATGTTGATTCAATTTTTACATTATAGTCCCAGACTCCTAGAGGTGCAAAGCGTCCAAGGTCGCCACCCATTCCCAGTTCATCACCAGCTCAACGTCCTACTCCAAGACGGAGAGATTCACAATCGTCCCTCCCACCATCTTCGCCTCCTGCACCTTTCTCTGACACAGATGATAGTATGGATGATCGTGACGGAGTGCGTGATATAGATGAGGACGATGAAGACGACGGCGAAGGCGAAGATTTGTTTGCAGACGACATCGAAGCGTGCGTGTCAAGGCCTCATATTCTTTCACGTAACTCACTTTTTACGCCACGGAAAATAGAGACTATGCGCCAAACGAGCTACTGGATCGCTACTCCGACCGGGACATCGACGATGAAGAAGAATTTGACGAAATTTCAGCAGTGGCTCGACGAGCGGCTGAAGCAAAGATGAATCGCCGTGATCGCCTCGAGCGCGGAGGAAAGCAAGGCATTCGAGCAGCTAATAGAGGCCGTGCACCCCAGTTCCTAGAGGATGATGATATGGACGATGAAGATGCTCTTGGCGATGATCTCGGCGTTGGGAGAATGAAGCGTCGCACAAGGCGACAATATGACGAACGCCGTGATGTAGATGATGTGGATGGTATGGATGATGTTGGTGGAAATTTTGACGGTCAGCCGGATGTGTACTCATCCATGTTCTTTTTATAGGAAATACCCCTTGAGCAACTGAGTGACATCAAGGCCAAATCTATCGTCGAATGGATTGCCAACGACCGTGTTCGCCGATCAATTGTCAAACATTTCCGGCAGTTTTTGATGACCTACGTCGACGAAAATGGCGCATCGGTCTATGGTCAGCGCATTCGTAATCTTGGAGAAAGTCTGTATCATTAGTTCATACCTTTTGCAGAGTTACTGATGGTATGTTGCAGCAAATGCCGAGTCACTGGAAGTATCTTATCTCCATCTAGCGATGTCTAAACCCATCTTGGCTTACTTCCTGACAAACTCCCCGGCTGCCATGCTTACAATCTTCGACGAGGTCGCGCTAAATGCTATTCTCGTGTATTACCCATCGTACGAACGGATACACTCAGAAGTTCATGTTCGCATTGCAGACCTTCCGTTGAGCTCCTCACTTCGTGATCTCCGACGCTCTAACCTAAATAATCTAGTCCGAGTCACTGGTGTTGTAACTCGACGAAGTGGTGTATTCCCGCAGCTTAAATACGTCAAGTTTGACTGCCGAAAATGTGGTGCTGTTCTTGGCCCATTCTACCAGGATGCAACAAAGGAGGTCAAAGTTAGCTTTTGTCAAAACTGCGAGAGTAAGGGCCCGTTCCCTGTTAACTCCGAGCAGGTTAGTCACTTTTCGAAGTTATGACAATACTGCTAAATGCTGCATGGTAGACGGTCTATCGGAATTACCAGAAAATGGCGTTGCAAGAGTCCCCTGGATCAGTTCCTCCGGGACGTCTACCAAGGCATCGTGAAATTATTCTCCTTTGGGACCTCATTGACCTGGCAAAGCCTGGAGAGGAGATTGTAAGTAATGCAGGCGCTTTCGATAACCCGCGCTAAGCACGTTAGCGTAGGAAGTGACTGGAATATATAGGAACAACTTCGATGCCTCTCTTAATTCGAAGAACGGGTTCCCAGTCTTCTCTACAATCATCGAGGCCAACCACATTAACAAAAAGGAAGATCTATTTGCAGCATTCCGTCTTACTGAGGAAGACGAGAAGGAGATGCGTGCCCTCGCACGAGATGAACGTATTCGGAAACGTATCATCAAGTCTATTGCGCCTTCAATTTACGGACACGAAGACATCAAAACAGCCCTCGCACTCTCCCTGTTTGGTGGCGTTACGAAAGACATTAACCGAAAACACCGTATCCGTGGTGATATCAACGTACTGCTATTGGGTGACCCTGGAACGGCGAAGTCGCAATTTCTGAAGTATGCAGAGAAGACAGCTCACCGGTCCGTTTTTGCGACTGGTCAGGGTGCATCGGCTGTTGGCCTGACTGCCAGCGTCCGCAAGGATCCCGTAACTCGGGAATGGACGCTGGAGGGAGGCGCTCTTGTTCTTGCCGACAAAGGAACGTGCCTCATTGATGAGTTTGACAAGATGAATGATGCGGATCGGACGTCTATTCATGAGGCGATGGAACAACAATCCATCTCAATCTCGAAAGCTGGCATTGTCACGACGTTGCAAGCTCGATGTGCCATAATTGCCGCTGCTAACCCTATTCGCGGAAGATATAACCCAACAATCCCCTTCCAGCAGAACGTTGAGCTGACAGAACCTATCCTGTCTCGATTTGACGTGCTGTGCGTTGTCAAAGACAACGTGGATCCGGTGCAAGATGAACTACTGGCCCGATTCGTTGTTGGAAGTCACCTCCGCAGTCATCCCAAATTTGAAGCTGACAGAGATGAGATGGATGTTGGCACCACCCTTGATGCTGATGTAAGTTTAATCGGTCCCCGAAGCTGTGGCTCCCTAACAGGCTAGACAGATTATACCCCAAGATATCCTCCGTAAATACATCATGTACGCCCGAGAGAAGATACGCCCGAAGCTCTATGACATGGACCAGGATAAATTGGCGCGCTTGTTTTCTGATCTTCGTCGTGAGTCACTGGCAACAGGTTCATACCCCATCACCGTCCGACACCTGGAGAGCATGATTCGGATGGCTGAAGCCAGTGCAAAAATGTCACTGCGTGAATACGTTCGTGCTGATGACATTGACATGGCTATATCCGTTGCGGTAGGGAGCTTCGTCAGCACCCAAAAGATGTCAATCAAGAAGACCCTTGAAAGGGTGAGAGTACCTCATGATTTGATCAGACAAGGCACTGATGGTTTGGACAGGGCTTCCGAAAATACTTGACACAAGCTCGTGATTATGAGGAACTCTTAGCTTTCCTTCTTGGTCAGATTGTGAAGGAAAAGGCCCGTTTCCACCAACTACAGAGACACGAGCAACCTGAGCTCATCACGGTCAAGATGACTGAGCTTGATGAACGGGTGAGTGGTTCATACCTTTGTAGAAATTACCATGGACTCAATGGTTCTCTAGGCGAAGGAGCATGACATCTATGACACGTCAACCTTCCTGCGCTCGAAGCTTTTTGCTGCCAACGGCTATAAATTGAAAGACCAAGTGATAGAGAAGCGGTTCTCGAACTGACACAAATTTCATATACCTTTAGCATAGTTTCTTGTATTCCATGCGCTATGTATGGTCATATAGGCTGCCGGATTGAGTGGTGAATATATGAGGGATAATTAAACACGATACTCCAAGTAAGATAACGATGCTCTAGATTTATGATGTGGCAACGGGTGACGAAGGACGCTGAGGCTGGGTAGGTTCCTGAGCTACGTTATCGAGAGTTGCGTACTCCGCCTCGGTAATGTTCGCACCCGAGGGCGTAGCTTGACCCTGGGATTCCCCTTCATCATCATCATCGTCGTCCATAATTTCTGTCACGGATTCAGTACAGGAGACTTCCTAATCGGAAGACAAGCTCACCGTCCCCATACACATCGGGGTGTTCCCGGAAACAGGTTTGCATGGCCTTGAATTTTTCCACACAATCAATGCCTTTTGGTTCCTTTTCAGAGTACACGAAACATGAAAAAGCCTCTCTGAACTCTGGGCCGCATGGACCATGGGCCATTCCACCGAGGCACGGGCAGTCCCAATTAATTTCACCTGTCACCGGGTTGTAAGCGCCCCCAGACGACTGTTCTTCACTTTGTGCTTCTACTGGCGCGGCCGGTGGTGTTTTATCTGCGTCCTCGTCCAGCATGGGCACTGACGTCTCAGAGGATGTCTGTATTGGAGGCGGAGTGGAGTCTGCAGCGGGTAGTGAGGGAGTCGTGGAGGCCGGAAGCTTTTTGGGTGCTACGAACGTGTCAGAATAGCGCTTCCTGTTGATATCAATGAACGCATACCGGACACAGGTTGAGCATCAAGTGATATTCGCTGACTATCCGAGCTCAGCGACCAAGCCATATATGCAGCAAACGCGACGGTAGCTCCCAAAACAAGTCTAGGCCTGGTTGAATCACTTTTGAATACACGGGTGCTCGAGGAGGTGACATTCGTATGGAGGCATCTGCGCAGTGGCAGTCGCGTAATAGTCCGGAGCATAATGGGATAGGTAAAAATCAAAATCCGAGAGTTGAATGTCCAAAAAATCGGATTTGTCACTTCTCATGATGACGCGCCCCGTTTATTACGTACGTTTACAAATCCCGAACCGAACCAACTACAAATTCTTTATGTAACATTCTTTCACTCAACCGTCAACCAAGTCTTTGACCCCTTGCTCGGCGCCCAGCCTCGTAGAACATCATGTAACGCAGCAAAATGGAACGCCCACGGCGCAGTCAGAGTCCCCGCAACTCTACTGTGACGGTAAAAATCTGTTAGACTCAGATGGCGGCGCAATCTCGTGCCATATATCGATGAACGCGAACAGTTCCTCTCCGCCTGTGTTTCCTTCCCCTCTCTCCTTCGCTGTGCTGCATGCCTCATATCGTTTGACATTAGTCTTCTCACGTGGTTGATATTAACGCTCTGTATGCCACCGTGGTCAGTGATGATCCTGCGTCGTTTTGCTTTCCCGAAGACCACTATCCCACATCCTTTCCTGATTCGCCCGCATCTGTCAACATAGAGGCGGCTTGCCAACTTCCTTCAACCTTGATCCTGAAGAAGGGTACTGGTCCTGAATCTGCCAAGTTGCACGTCTGTCATCTACGCGCCGAGTTGGACGCTGCACCTAACGAGGCTTTATTTTCTCATTATCTCTCTTTTATCAAACGTCTCTGTATCCTGTCTGTGCGTCACCCCCTATACTGAACTAAGGACCAGGTCGTTCCCTGAACTACGATCCAGACCAGTCCGAATGGCTCTCAAGTGTACCAGATGGGATTGAGGTCCATATGGCTGCCAAGGGCCTCTTCACCAAACCCAAGGCAACGGAGCCGAAAGGGAAGCAAAAGGCCAACGGACCGGCAGGACATACATCGCCTGCGAAGAGTGGGGCAGGTCAGCGTAACTTACTTTGAGTAAGGTCGCCTGAGGCAGCATATTTTTATCCCTCGCTTGGAATTTTCGTGTGTTGCCTTTCTATCTGCCCACTCGCACAAAGGTTTAGGATCGCACGTCACACAACAGGTTTGTTCCCACCGCTGCTGGCAGGTGCCATACGCCATGAGTGGATCATTTCATTGATGTACATAATAAAGTTGACGCAAGGAGCATTTCAGTAACTCATTACCGTTGTATCCATCAGGTTATCTACCAAGGTGAAATGGCTGCCGTACCTCTCCATGGTTAATTTCCGGCCCCTGTTGCACTACAGCAATCTTGTGTCTGCTTGGATAAATACAACTGGAATCAGACCAGGTTCCTTCGTCAATGATCTGGCGACAGCACATCAGCATGGCTTTAGATTTACTACAAGTTCGTACGGTCAATGACTGGTCTTTTGTTTTCAATAATTCATTTTTCTTCCAGGTATCGCCGCAAGGCATCTCCTACATCTGTCTTGGTGGGTTTATAGTGTTGGTTCGTTCTAACTCCTTCATTGCTCTTGCTGGCTACAAGTGGTCATCATCGGGTGCCGTCTACCTGCCTCCACGACAATCGTCGTATAGCACAATATGCTAACTATTGACCACAGTTCTCGCTTGTGTCCCTTCTAATCAAAGAGAAGGTGTGCAATTACCATCAACTCCTTGACAAATGACGCATGTTCTTACCAGCTTTATGTCAATGAAGTCGTCCTAGGAACCGGCTTCGGGATTATTCTTGGTCCTTGCGTTACCAACATCTTCGCACCCCGTTCGTGGGGATTTTTGAATGATACCATAACGCTAGAGGTCATGCGCATCGTTCTTGTAATCGGCTTATTCGCAGCTGGAGTCGAATTACCACGTGCATATATGAGAAGGCACGCCAAGGGCTTACTCGTAATGGTTGTGCCAACCATGGCGTTTGGCTGGGTTGTAGTGGCTGGTAAGTCATTGCGGATGTAATTGCATACCAACTGATCATTAATATTGTTGTTAGCGGTCATACATGCGTTGTTCCCGAAACTCGATTACATCTCAGCCCTTTGTATCGCTGCTTGTTTGACCCCTACGGACCCGGTGACATGTGCTGCCATCACACGTTAGTTCTGCCAATCATTATCCAACCCCTGATAATTCACATCTGTTCCATAGATGGTAAATTTGCCCATCAACATGTTCGCGAGGATATCCGCCACATCTTGTTGGCTGAGGCCGCAGCCAATGATGGCCTTGCCTACCCTTTTCTTGCAATATCCATATACCTCACTATAGAGGCGTCCATTCAAACTGCAATCGGCAAGTGGTTTTTGGTGGGATGGCTATGTGTGTGCTATTGGATCTTCGACCCTTTGTGAGGTTTTCAACATTCTTTACTACAGACCAGGTCGTTTTTGGCACCGTTTTGGGAGCTGTTCTAGGTCAGCAATGTCGCTTCATCTGAATTCATTGATCTGATTGTATTGCATTCGTGATATAGGATTTCTGTTCTCCAAGCTGATGAAGAAATCTCATGATCAGGACTTTATAGATCGTAAATCGTACATCATTCAGTACCTGGCTCTCTCTATCTTTACTATGGGAGTTGCGAACACTATTGGCACGGATGATCTTCTTGCAGCATTTGCAGCAGGTTTGCATCTAGTCTGTATGCTTCATCCATCAGTAGTGTCTGACATTTCCACCAGGCTGTGCAATATCCTGGGATGGGCACTTCCATGAACAGACAAGACATGATGATTTCTCTTCTGTCATAGATTGTGTTCTGAATTGTTGCTGTTTCATCTACATTGGTGCTTGGCTACCTTTTCACGCCTACAACTCTCCCGAGTATGGCATCACGCCGTGGAAGCTTGTCCTTCTTGTGATCGCTATCATGGTATTGAGGCGAATTCCATTTTTAATGGTGGTATACAAGTTTGTTCCCGAGATCGTATGTTGGCGGGAAGCTCTATTCTCTGGGCACTTCGGTGAGCGGCTCTTCTATTTATGGTGTTGCTTGCACTTCAAGTATCTGAATACTGTACACAGGTCCAGTAAGTTTGTTGAACACCATCTTCCATCACTAATCAATGCGTGGTAGATGGGAGTCAGCGCAGTCTTCGTGTCTACCCTAGCTCTCAAACATTTACCCACTCCGGAAAACCCGCCTGTGAATCAAGCACAGTACCTCGCCACAACTATTCAGCCTATAGTGTCCTTTGTTGTCCTTGGTTCTATCATCGTTCGTAAGTATCGTGGCAGGTAATCATGTCCTTGTCGCTGATTTCGAATGTACGTAGATGGTTTGTCCATGCCGCTCTTCAGTGTGATCAGTCGTGTCGCACTCTCCCATGACTTCGTTAAGCAAGATCTCGTTGAGCAAGACTTTGTTGAGCAAGACTTTGCTAAGCAAGACATTGAACAACTATAGTCATGTTGCGGGCCCAGTATGTTAGGTGGTCTCCGGATACCAGCATTTTTTCCCTCTGTTTATACATACAATACAGCATCCATGACGAGTCTCGATGTTTATTTTGACCTACACCATATGACTACCTTCGCGACTTGCTATTTAGCTATTGTATTCCACCCCTTCCGTTTCCCTTGCAACAGGCCCCTAGATTGTGCTCTCAAAGGACAGAAATGGAAATAATAATGAATTTTTCCCGAGTGAGATCTGACGGGCGTCCGAGTTTCCCCTGATTATGCAATGTCGGTGTACTCTAAAAGCGCAGGAAGTTCTCCGACCGCATATTCTGAATGGATGTACAATGTTTCACTAGTACTCCTAGCTCTAGGTCTAGCCTCGGGAAAAGAACCCCAAATTGATGGTGAGTCTGTTATGAAAGAAACACTTTATTAACAGGAACTTGAAGGTCCTTTACTGTTGTACACAGTGTAGTTGGAATCAAATAATGCGACATGACCCTTGCGACTCCGCCAGCGTCGTGCAATAAGTTCAATCATAACTTCGATCCTCGTCTAGCCTGTAGTGGGCTGGAGTAAACCGCATTGCCAGGCTGTGACGAGGAAGGGTGCTTACCATATGTTGGGACGCCTTGTTATCCTTCGTCAGAAGATCGTTCAGGCATCGAACCACAATCCCTACGCCTTCCTCAACTGCATTCCTCTCCGATTCTCGCACTCTCCCCAGTACACGACAGAATCGGTCTGGGTGCCAACGGAGCAGAGCAGCACGTATCCTCTCCTTCGGGGACTGCTCTGGGGAATGGCCTGGCGACAAAATGAATGCTACTATTCCCTCCGCAGTGATCTCACTTGGAGTCAACGGAGGAATAAGTAGCGGCCATGGGATATCACGGAATTTCAGAACGATTCCGTCATACACAGCGGATAGCGCTGCCCATCGCAACTCGTACACATTCCAGGCGTCTATTGTTGCTCGTTCCAGCCTCGCTTGTTCTCTCATCACTCTTTCCTTCGCCTTGTCGGCTTCCCGCCTTCGCTCTTCAGCAATAATATGTCTTTCGCTGTCTCTCCGCTGGCGGACTCGCGCTTGGATTCGTCTGACTTCGGTTTGTATCAGGCGGTTCTTCTCCTCCTCACGCTCCCGCATTCTTCGTCTCATCTCTTCTTCGTATGTCATCCACTTTTGCGCTTCCACCTCATATTCGTATAGGAATTCATCCCGCATTCTATGTCGGAGCTCCTCCGTTTCTGTGGGCTTCATCCAGCGGCGCTCGTGATTTGACCGGCTTGCCAGGTGAATCTGATCGTTCACCCATTGCTCTGTTGGATTTTCATGTCGGCCGTGCATGTAGTGCTCCTGCTCCTTGACGCATGCCAGCGCGTGAGGATTTGTGCGTTTCCATTGGACAGGACGAGCGCTGATATAATCATGTGAGCAACTCCGATCTTCATGTTGCGGAAAGCGTAGTCGGGATGCTGGTGATATGGGGGCCGGTAGCTCAGCTACTTTGGCACACCTGAGTTGAGAAAGCGAATTAGGATGGTGAGGACTGCTAAGTGCCCTAGGGCGGATGTGATGTATGTAGTCTGAGTCCATTATCTGACGCAGGTTAGATTGGAAGGACGTAAAGATGAATGATGTGGTGCGTTATATCTTGCCAGTTCACCACCTTGACCTGACGATAGACGCGAATGAGGGCGTGTAGAAAGCCTGGAGTAATTGAACATATCCGAGTACGTGTGTTTACCTCGTTTTCGTTGGAACTGAACACGTTGCCACTTCATTGGCCTTTCCTGTTTTGATACAATTGCCGCGTGCTTGAACTCTGATCAATTCTTCTGAGTGTCTTGACCCTGATAGCGACAACATCAATCAATATATAGCTTCCTCCAAAAGTACACAGCGTGACCCTCATAGTTTCATTACATAGAGCAGAATCCAGAATCGTTAACATACTCCGCCGAGTCTCCTTTAATTGATGTTGCCTCGAGTCTGACTAGATCTGCAGATAACTTGAGAAGAGAAGCATGACGGAAATAAATGTGCTTACTGAAATATGGATGGGCTTGAGCCTCCCGTGCTGTGAGCCGTTTCTGATGGTCATAACGAAGTAATTTGTCAAGAAGGTCCATTGCCTCTGACGTCACAAACTGCTGGTTGTCAGCATTAACAAAACGTGCCCAAGGCTGTCTTGGATAACTGGAACGAGACATCAGCATTTGAATGCGTGATAGCACATGTCACTGACGACAGCAAAAGGACCTCTATTTCTGTTTCAAATGGTATATCATGCGTCTTCAGGTATGCATCAAAACTGTCGGATCCCAGAACTCTCATAATTTTCAAGAGTTGGTCATCATTGTCCGAACCACGGAAGAAATGCTCTTTGCGAAATAGCTACTGAATCATTAGAAGGATATAAGCGGAACGCGAAAATGCTACGCACCATCGAAGCAAGCATGCATCCTACGCTCCACAGATCCAAGCTATAATCGTACAGTTTATACCCCACTAGCAGTTCTGGCGCTTTGTAATACCGTGAACCGACACGAATATGATATGCTGTCCCGGGATGGTAGAATTCAGCCAGTCCCCAATCAATGACTCGTAGCTGTCATTCAACCAGTCAGCGATCTCGCCGTGATTAGGAGTACGCGGAACATACCTTCCTGTGTCTGTGATCAATCATGACGTTTCCCGGTTTCACATCGCGATGCATGATTCCTCGCGAATGCACAAAATCCAAAGCCTCGTGAATTAGCGTGAAAAGAAGCTTGCGGTTTGATTTATGAAGCCGTGGAGCGTACCTTAAGGAGCTGGAAAGTATAGAACTTGATATCTACCTCGCCAAGGATTGGGTATAGTGATTTCCACTCCACATTATCCACATATTCCATGATCAAGCTGTGGTATCTCGATGAAGGGTCTTGAACGACGTCAAGAAGGGCAACAACATTTGGACCTCCAGTGAGGTTGCGCAAAATCTTAATTTCACGGTTGATCTTCTTTGGGGCCACAGGTTTGAGTACTTTGATGATACACGTTTCGGAGTTAGCGGTATCCAACCCTTCGAACACCTATGAACTGGTTGACCGAAAATCTGCGAGATATGCCTATAAAATTCTCACCTCGCTATACTTCCCGCCTCCTACACGATCGACGATCTCGTAGCGGTTGGGAGAACTCCACTCGATTCGGAAATTGTCTGTATAATTCATGCGATGATAGAACTGGGAAAACAGAGTCTACTCACCATAGTCATACCACGAGCGTCCCAGTTGTGCATTCGCACCGGCATAAATACGAGCCATGACCTATCCCTCGAGGGAAAGACAAGAACTGGGACTTGACACGAGGCAGTGGATACGTCGTGCCCTACTGGGGCATCTAGTTCAGAGACTACTTAAAAGATACAGAAGATACTGGACAGTCGTAGTCGCGGAAGCTTTTGAAGCCGGAAAACCGGGAAAAGGCTGTTCCTGTTACTCAGATGGAGTGGCTGTGACACATCATGCAATGTGCCGCATCATCCAACACTCGCGCTTAGTGTGGTGCTTTCCTTCCAGAATGTATCATGAATTTAAGTGTGGTTTAAAGGTGAGAAGATGCGGTAATGATAGTGGACGATATAGCAATAGTGATGTGTAGAATGTAAAACCGGAACGATTGAATATACATGAATGGGATGCGTGAGATATAGAGAACAGATATAGAGAACAACTTTCAGAAGTAAGACCTAGAACAGACCCGAGACACTAGACAGAGTTTTTGTAAGTGATCAACATATACTACAAAACAAAAGTCTCACCAAAACATGACTGTCATTGTGAGCCGTTAGCATCTGGCGTGCTGACTTGCAAATATGCTAGCAAAAGGGCGATAGCGCTATTTTGCTGGCAATACATCGCTAAATCTTTTCCTGACCAGTATTGATCATCCGATTTCAGTTGTGTGTCAGGATCATCTCCGCCATCGTCGCTGCTTTCATGAGGGAAGCTAAGAATATTGCCTTCCGACTCCATCTTTCCAGGCCCATGGCGATGGTACACCTTGCTCCGAGACTTCGAGCGCACTGGCTCCGAGTTCACATCGATTCGAACAGATGTTTTGGATTGGTCGCGGGTATTAAGGCCGGATGAGGTGAGGCGCGCTAATGCATGGTCAACTTTGGAAGGAAAGGGATTGGTATCGCCCGGGGAAGCAGATTGCTTGAGTAGGGTATCTTGCAACACCTTGAAAGATATATTGTACGATGCTTTATAGAACCGAGCCGTCTGCGGGGACTGCCAGCTTATACCATAGGGATGATCAGCAGCTGCGACAGAGGCATCAATTTCCCGTTTGAGCGAAACTGCCCACTCGTGGCGAACAACAGGGTCGGTGACACTGAACATATATTTACGCTTGACCCCATTGTGATCCAGAAATGCCACCTGAAAAGTGTTTCGCATGAAAGCACGTTCCACTGCTATGGTATAACTCTGGGCTAGGCCGGTATATAGTAGGGCATTCGGACTTGACCGCAGCATGGACATCGTTTTCAGTCCAAAGGAGCGCCCTGTCACCCGGAAGGAAGCTTCTGCCGACTTCGCAAATGACAGTACAGGTGGATCGAACACTAGATCGTGCCCAAACAACTCGATACTGAATTGTGGATCTGGCTGTGGGATACGGATGACGACTGGTTCTGATTGGACCCGGTAGGTGAGTCGCGGAGGGAGTGGACGTTTAAAAGTGACAGTGATCTCTGGTGGACCGCCAGACGTTGGGTTGCGCGCTTGGCAGAGGCGCTCACGACGAATGGAATCATAGACATCCCCCAATAACTCGTCCGACAAGCGATTATCATGACGTCGGAAGGCTTCAAGGAAGTCTCTCGCAGTAATGTTCCTTTTGGGATGCCCCATTTGACCCGGTTCATGAGAGATGGTACCATGCAGGACATCGTTCAGCTGCACGATGGCTCTGGTGAAGCGGTAGGCTAGATCTTTGTCGTAAGAAATGTGGACTACATTAGCTTCATACCACCGATTCGCGAACGACTCGAGCAGAACGTCGAGAGGAGTGACACCGTGGCTTCCCCGTTCTGGGATGTGAATAGACTGAAGGAACAGCCGGAGGGCTTTGTCCACCCTCATCCCCATGAACCCGAAAGCGTCAAGGTAATGCTTGAGCACAATACGGCTTGCACGCCGCGACAAAAAATCACCAAGCTGCACCCTGTCGATATGTGGAGTTCTAAACAGGAGCTGCGCAAGTGCAGCAGGATCGTCACGATGGTCCAAGCTGCTGAAGAGCGACGTGACTGCATTATCCGGGTCTATAGAGAACTGCTCAACGAAGGCTTGTACTGCAGGAGTTCTTGGGATGGTTCTCGAACACGGCTCTTCACGCTCGCTAGTGAAGCAGAGTTGTCGCAGCAACACCACATTCTTGACGGTGAACTTCCGATCAGCAGGATTAGGCTTCGTCACCTCGAGGAACGTGTCGGAATCCTCAGGGCGAGGTTTAGCAATGACGAGAATGTCGTTGAATAGGAAGAGGAAGCGATCCTTGCAGATATTGGAATTCACGACCTGGAAGACTGGAGAGCATCGTAGAAACCTTCGCGGAGGCTCATCGATGGCAGATAGCCATACCGGGCTTCTCGAACCTCGGCCCAGCATCTCATTCAAGCGCTCCAACAGTATGCCACCTTTCGCAGGGTAATTTGAATAATGTGAGGAAGTCTTGGATGAAGAAGACTCGGATGTTGTGGGATGGGGGTAGTCGGATAGTGAAGACCAGGGCTCAGGTGTGGTAGACGATGGCAATTCAGGGGGAGAAGGGGTTGCTGGGGTGAGGGGTATTAGAGAGAGATCTGTGACAGAGTATGGCTGGCCATTAGGCTTAGCGATTTTACTGGCTCGGGGCGTCTTTTGAAGCTCGTCACGGATAAAGCTGTCAGTTGGACTAGTTGGGGAGAATTCACCATTCGCCTTCTTCAGTTGCCCATTGCCAACAGAACTACGTGATTTATCACGATCAATATCTATCCACTCATCTTGGAGCTCGGCAGATAAGTCGTTCTCCTTCCGCAATCGGAATAGGTCAGAGAGCGATGGCTTCTTCGACGCTACTGCGGGTTTTGGCTCGGGACTAGGTGTCGGAGGCGAGTTACCTACCGGCGACGGTGAAGGCTGGGGAAACAACTTTCTGGCACTGAGCCATCTCCGGACCCCATCTCGGTTGGTTGGAAGGGATTTCAGCATGATGGAGGATGGCGAATGGGGACTGACATGCTGGTAATGGTCATGAGAGGATGTGGATGCAGAGGCGGAAAGCGGTGGTGCTTGAGCCTTGTAGATATGCAACAGATGGGTATCTGATGCCTGGTGTGATAGCTTCCTATCCCCATTGATCTCGGGAGAGTTGGAAGGGGTATTACTGGAAGAACTCGATGGCAGCGGTATATCAGCCTCAACATGATGCGACAGAATGATATCAGGAGTAGATGAAAAGTGAGGTTGACGATTCCATTGCTCTTGCAGCTTCTTGATCCCGGGAAAAGGCATAAGTTTTTCGTGTGTATACTTCGCCAGAGGATCAGTGGAGGGAGTCATAGGAACAGGAGATACCCCGCTACTGGGAGGAGCAGTTTGCACCAATGAATGCACCGAAGTCGACGCTGAGGATGGCTGGCCGTGTGGGTATGTGGTCGAACTGATGCTGTCGTTCTTATCAATTTTCGGGCTTGGAAGACTCACTCCGCTCTCTCGGCTGATGCTAGAGTCGGTGTGCTGTCTTCTCTCCCTTGTCGCAATTGAGTTTGTCCGAGACCGGCGCCCGCTACTTGAAGCGCTCCTCGTCAGGGTGTGAACGATCTTGCTCCATGTGCTACCTTCGCGTCTGGAGGGAGTCTCTGCCCGGGCTGTTTGAGGATCGGTCGACTCAAGCTCAGTGACAACCGGAGATTTATCGCTATGCATGCGAATAGCTACCGAAAGCCGCTGAGGATACTGCTGGGAATCCGATTCATCACTGTTGCGGAGCATGGAAGCGGTGTTAGGCAGGTTGGCAAATGAAGAGGGCGTCGGCGAAGTGAGTGCGGGTGTAGGCAAGGGAGATGTCTCTATTTCCACAACAAGTTCCTTTGAGTCGGATGATGCGCGAGATGATGGTTCCTCGATCTGGGTATTAAACCCTTCTCTTGGCGAATCCGGAGGCGGATGGTCATCTTCATCCTCGGTGATTTGCTGGCTCGGCTCATCCTGCAGCGGCTCGTCATCCTCTTCCTCTTCTGTCTCTTCGTGCACAGGCATGGGGGTTTCCGGCACTACCGCAAAACGGGTGAGATATCCTGATCAACCAAAACAGTTTGAACTCACCTGGCTCTGCTACCCAACTGATTTCTCTGTTAAGACCATCATGGTATGGAGACCGTCGAAAGGCTTCCGTTGGGAAAAATTCTTCTTCCTCCTGATCGCGTTCCTCCTCCTGGTCGGATGACAACGATATCTCCTTATGAGGTCTCGCGAAGGGACTAGAAGGGAATCTAGCCTGCCGAGACGGTGTCCGCTCAAGATGGGGGACAAGGAATATTGGCATATTCGTTGCATCAGGAAGTGGTGAGTCGGTGGAGACGTCTGATGAATGAGGAAGGCGAGGAGACAGGCTAGGATGTGGCCGACTCGGAGCACCTGGTAATCCATAATACGTTGACTGTGGGGGTATCCGGTCTTCGTCATCTGGATCCTCTATCAGGACACTTGTCCGTCTTTTTTTGGACGCGTGATCAAAGTGAGTGGGTGGAACAGCTCGCACGGGAGTGGATTGACGACTGGAGTTGATGGTTTCATTGAGGTTGATGCTTGGGGTTGCAAGAGGATATATCGGTATCGGGGGTATGGGAGTGGTAGAAGACGTGCGCTGGATGTTGGGGGCTAATTCCTCGGGTTGAGTCTGAGGGGTGTTGGAACGGTTTGGCGTGGCATCGGTGGTCGAAACAAGATCGGATTCATCTGTGGTTGACACCACTGGACGATTAGCAGACTGACGTTTTGAACGTCGTCTCTGGCGTCGCTTCGAGGGACTGAACGGTCGAGGATCTTCCTCTTCTATATCCGTCTCCTTTATCATCCTCTTGTTCAGTTGAGCCATCATAAGCCTTCGAGCAGTGCTACGTTCGCTGCTTTCCCCACCAGATACAGTATTATTCCGACCAAGTTTAGTGCCAGAAGGCGGAGGTGATACTGCTGTGGATGGAAATGTCGAATCCATTGATTCCGTGCCACCCGTGAGCTTTTGTAAAGTGTTCTGTAGAGTTAGCATGCGGGCTGCACCTGCACTATTTGATCGTTGAAGCCCTTGATGTGACACCAGAGCCTCCAATGTAGGAAATCTAGGGATAGGAGAAGAAGCACCAGAAGATAGAAAAGGGTTCTCTGCCGTTAAGAAACCAGGTAATATGAACGGAGAAGTGGGTAACGGATTAAGATGGGAGGGTATTGGTGCAAGAATCGAGTGTGGAAGGTATTCGCCTCGTGAGGGTGGTGAATCGTCAGGTGAAGAATCATTACTTGGCGTAACAGACGTTGGCAAAGGAGACTGAGGAGGTTTGAATTTTCTGAGATCCTTGGAACCCCTAGAACGTGAACGTGAACGTGAGCGGCGTTTGCGGGTTACATTCGATGGTTCAGGTGAGCCTGGGCTCTCTTCGGGTTGTATAGTTGGCTTGTAGTCAACATTAGAGACGCACTCGGGAGGCGTGTCCTGCGATGGATCCTGAACATCATCGTGTAGGGTTTTCTCGCCTTCGCTAACAACTTCATTGTGCATCTGAGGCCGTCTTCCATTTTTCAGTCGTGGTAAAGATGCAGCGCGTTTGAGCTTTGCAACCGCATTCGCGCGTTGTTCAGCGACAGACCCTAGATCATTCTCCATGCCCGGGCAGAATGCTAGAGCAGAACAAGCCATCGGTCCACATAAATTTTATGCTTATGTGATTTTCAAAAGTGGCTCACGTAGTTTGTTGGCCGTATCCGACCCGGAAGGTTAGGGTACGCCTCCGTAGCAGGAATATCTGTTGCGAAGGAAAGTCTTTGAAACTTATCAGGGGTTTATTAACGAAAAATGAGCTTGAAAACACACCTAACAATTGAGCTGAGCGCTGAGCGCTGGGTGTTGAGGAAGAGCAAACGAAGAGAAAGGATCTAAACTGCAAGAGACCGAATGTGGCGGAAGTACTTGTATACACACGTGACTAAAAACTTCCGGAGACAAGGCTGTGGAATAATATACGGACACATAAGTGTGTCGGAGTGCGATCTGTCTCAACTATCTATACAAAGGAGCATTAGTTGCCTCGAGGAGTCAGGGCGACTGTTGACTGCGCTTCTTCAAACAGTTAGTGAAGTTAACGCGGTGAATGGCTGGACAACCCTCCGTAATTTTCGTTAACACATGTTGTTCCTGTCAAAAATTGTCGCCTATTCGCTTCAGTTGATCTGCACTGGAAGATCAATTCTTTGTCAAAATAATCCATCATTGATAAGGCACGCGCATCGTGCTCTGCATCGTGGCCTGATCTTCTGAAGCATGTAGCAGTGCGCTCCTCCACGTTTTATGCCTTGCGTTTCTGACTTTTCAATCCATGCGCATCCTTCATTTCAACCTGGTACCATGGGGAAGTGTAACTTGTTCCATGCGGTGAGAGATACTTTCGGTTCATGGTCGCTAGGTCCATAACAATCTGTCACTCTTCTTATGGAAAACAACGTTGTCTTGGCATCTTCGAAATGTTCGCATCCCTCGACCTGAAACCTTCCAAATGCAAACTTATATGCTCTTCTATCAATATGAGCTCGTAACCGTTATAGCGCAACAAACTTTCTACTCCGTTTGAGATGTGACTTGACCTCGTATCACTTTCCAAGCTGGCCTGGAAAGTTCGAAACCTTCACCGATCCTCGCATACATGTCACCGCCTAAGCGTGACACGGCGCGAAGCTTAGCGGGATCAACGGTACCGCTTGCGGTCAAAACGGACTCTCTAACATGAGCCCGCTTTATGAGGCCCAAGACCAATGTATTCGTGACCTTGTCCGAGTTGGGCAGACAAATATCGTATGAATGGAACAACTGTGAAGCCCGTAAGTGAGCATGGCAAACCAACGAGAATGAAACGTATGCCCACCTCGCATTCAAAACTGATGGCACTTTCTTTGACCCACGGGGGCCTCACGTCTATCTATGTAAGGGTGAACATTGCGGTCAATACATACGCGAATATCACATGGCCCACAACTACTGCGGAATGGACTTACGCTGGCAGATCTAGTTAGACCGCTGATGTCCCACTCATCGACATCAGCAGGGGCATCGATACATGTGGTATTTGCTGCTTCTATGAATGGTTCGCTGATGATACTTACGGTAAACTCTTTCGTTGCAAGGATATTTTCTTTGGTATCTTTGGACTTGCCAGTCTGCACAGAATGAGAGAAGGAAATGCTCAATAATGGCGGGTTGTGTGCGACCTTTTAAGTACCAGCAGCATAAACAAATCGTTTTTGAGGCCTTAAATAACATGTCTGACGCACCATCGAAAAATAGCTGTACAGTGAAGTTAGAACAGGCTAATCGGCTAGAACGTGCTGGGAAATACTCCCCTGAATGGAGCAAGGTTAGGTATCCCATCGGAAGACGTGCTGGACACAAGCGCGATGGGGCGAGGTACTATGCATGAAGTCAATAAAGGGTATACATCCCTGTGAGCAGTCCAAGTCAGTGGTATGCGAGCGATAAGGTTAAGTTTGAGAAGTAAAAAGTTCTGCTACTACTACTGGCGCAGCACTACATGAGGTCGCGTACCTTGGCGATATGTCTGAGAGGTTCCATGTCTTCCAACCTTTCTCTTCTTCTGCTTTCCACGACTTTCCAGGTTCGACGTGATCTGGGAGGCTCTGCCTCAGTTGCCAATTGGGGTTTGGTGGGTCAGTAACACGAAATGAGGCAGCAGAGTTGAACGGCTGTCCAGAGTTCTCGCTAGGTTCGTTGCTTCTATCCAGAGACGAGAATAGCTGGATTCTAGAAACACCGTCATTAATGTAGAGGGGATCAAGTCTTTTGGCTATCGAACGTGGGGCCAATGTGGGTAGTCGACGAAACATACCTCACTGCAAGTTCTTGGTGGATAAGTTGCATATGAACATTATTATAATGGTCGTCCACTGTCGTGAGATTTGGAATCTGACGTAAGTTGGAACTTGGATGTCAGCCCGATAGAAGACTGATATAAAATTATATCGTTAACCGTGTCCGCGGTAACATTATTTCACCCGCCAGAAACCTGCCAGGGTCCAGAATGATAGCCAAGCACGTCATGTGAAGTCATGGCCACGAAAACCTTGACTTTTCGCTTTTTCTGAGTCTGCTAATGACTTCAAGTTAGTGGAGTTGGCTGCCGGTGGATAAAGATCCCAATCGATACAATGGTAGTTATAATTATTTATACGAACCATATGTTTGAATTTTGAAACTCCACCGTTAACATATGACTCATCACAGGTATTATATTAATACCTCCTATCTACGATGTCGACTGCCAACAAGACTGTGCCAGCTGGGTCTTACGCATATCCTAACACACTCGAGGGTGTTTACTACGGGCCCAAGTGCGTTGAAACCGCACTCCCAAAACTTTTGGACACTCTTGGAGCCAAACGAGCGCTTATCGTAACAGGAAAGTCTCTCCGCAACAAGGTGAGTCGATGCTTGAATCGCTTCAGACTTGTCAATCAATTTGATTTGATTCGGAGCGTAGACTGGTGTTGTGGCAAAGATCGAGAACATCCTGAAGAAAATAAATGCATTCGGTGCCACTTTCTCGGAAATCGGAGAGCATGCCCCCGAGGCTGGTATCGAGAACGGCGTCTCCAAGTTTCGTGAAGTCGATGCCGATATTATAGTATCCGTTGGTGGAGGTTCTCCCATCGATGCATCAAAAGCTATTATTTTCAAGCTACAGCAACAAAGATCACAAGAATCGTCTGGCAAAGAGCCAGAGTTCTTGCGGCAGATCGCAATACCAACAACCCTGAGCGCGGCTGAGTACACGGTAAGGTCTTGAAGTGATATAAATATCTCACTTTCTGATCTAGATATTCTAGAGCGGTGCAGGTTATACCAACAAACAGGGTGACAAGGCAAGTGTCAGTCATCAAGAGCTTATTCCGGCGGGGATCATACTGGACGCAGAGCTGACTCTTTCGACACCTGAACAATTATGGTAGATCGTCAATTCAGTGACCCCCGGTGTATGCTCACTTCGTTGCAAAGGCTTTCCACTGGCATACGTGCGTTGGACCATGCAGTCGGTAAGAAGATAATACACAACGTCCCATGCGTCTAAATATCTGGAAACAGAGAGTCTATACAGACCCGGAGTGCCCCTACCAATGAAAACGCTCTGCCATGCTGCTATCGCTGATCTTTTCCGTTTTCTCCTGTTATCGAAGAAAGACAGCGAAGATCTCGTTGCCAGGCAGAGGCTGCAAGTCGCGTCGTGGATGAGCTTATGGCCGCGGAGGCTTGAAAGGCACAGGTAAGTTATTGCACACGGGTGTCGCTTACATTCAATCGTCTCTTGTGAAGTCCGATAGGATTATCACACACGCTTGGTCATAAGCTTGGGGCAACCTATGGAATTCCGCATGGTATCACCTCAGTCAGTACACCCCGGAACCCACGCATAATTTCCTAACCACGATCTGTTCCTAGTGCCTGACGCTTGCGCCAGTCGTCAACCTACAAGCCGAAATAGCAAGTCAAGAAGACAAGGAGTGCCTCGCTGAAGCTTTATTATATCTTAGAGAGCCATCAACCGGGACTGTCGATGGAGATGTCAGGAAACTATCGTACATGATCGCTAGGCAAGTGTCTTCTGCCATCCGCTCAGAATGAATTCTCATTTTCCATAGCCTTGTACAAGACCTCGGGCTGAAGAGGACGTTGAGCCAATATGGTGTACCAACGGCCGACATTGAGCAGATCGCGGTCCGTGCAGTTGGTCAAGAGGATGAAGAATTGTTTTCAAAGGTCAAGTATATTTTGGAGAGCATCCACTGATCTTGCTAGAGTAGTAATCAGGGATAAATGGTAGACCCGTTTTCCAGATATTTTGAACTGTGATTAGTGCTGTGAAAAAACCCTCCCTGTTTGAAAGGGTGTTGGGAAGTTGCCAGGATATGCCGATCTTCAAGTAGTTTGGTGCAGATGGCGACAAGGAACATTGATTTTTCTGTATGAACAATATGATTGTGAGTTGAGTAAGGTCATCTCAGTGGTGACGGTGAACCTTATTACTAATACCGATGTCAACTGCTGGCACTGGCAGTTCACAATGCAACAGCTATCTTCGAATCAGCGTGTCCTGGCACTGCACAAGTCATATATTGATCCAACACACCACGACAGGCACCGCCGGTTCTAGGCTATAGGCTAGAGATGCATAGAAAAATGTCGAGAAGCTCTGAATGGTTCGTGCCGCCCGCTTGTTCAATCATTCCATCCTGTATCCAATACATGCAGATGCTACAACTAGGACAAGTCCGACAAGACGAACGCGCCTGCCAGAGCTGCTGACCCTATATATTAATGATGATAACACCCATGTGATAGTTAGCCCAAGCGTCTACAGTCATTCATCATGGTCAATCGAACTTATGCTAATTACCCTCCCTCGATGGATCTCTGTATCTCCCTGAATTGGTGGAATTCAAAGCGCAAGATATCTCGAATGTCACTTTCTTTGTCATGAATAGGTCTCTGGTCACTAGCAGTACTGCTATTTCAAGCTATCTCCCATCCATGTTCCCTCGTAATTCGTCGTCGCCGGCAAGTTGATGCAGAAAACAAAAATGCCATCGTTTAATCACGACTTAGTACTCTCTTGCTTCCCCTATCGACAGAGTCAAAGCGGGCCACGTATCTGCCACTCAAACGAACCAGCTGCAGATTGACGAGATTCTGGCGCTGAAACACCTGTACCCCTCACTCGTCAGTGGTACTCCAAACGAGGCTACTGTCCCGTAATCTTCTCCACGTCGTCTAAGAACGATGTATCGTTCTACCTACACTACTCTAGCAGCCTAGCACTGGCTTCCCCAACCCCACTCCAATAAGTAACCTGGCTGGCATCCACTGGTACATAACACGTGAGTCAGCAAAATAACCTGCACAGCGAACAATGCTGAAATGGAGTGGTGTCAGCGTGTATTCTCGACCTCATCGATGTTCCCGCTCCTACCTGCATCGGTACTGTGCCCTTACCATCATTCCATAGCCATCGCCACCCTGAGCAATGTGTCTATCTACTTGCCTAAGGCTACATCCTTTGGTCCTTCACCCCTGTAGTATCCAACTCCCAAAACATCTCGGACTCCGCATCCAGACGAAATCGAACACTTTGGTAGTCGCTGTGCAGTCGCGTACAGTCCTACAGCGGAGCGTGTCAGCGTAAATCGCAAGACTTCTATAAGTTTTCTTCCTTGGCCAGTTCCTGAATCTGGGTTTGCGACGACGACCCTACTACCGCGTCTACTGGGTCCAACCACGCTTGACCTCAATGTTCAGGACCCTGCTGTATGGGGGTCACTTGAAGAACGTCCGTGTGAACTTGGTCAATAGTCTAAATGCCTAGACCTTCATCCCAACGAGCCCCACTCACCACACGCAAGTCAACACTCAACAACTTGTGTTCAGCCATGGAGAACACGAAGTCGATCCAAGCTCAAACCATTCGAAGGACGTTTGAAAACGCTGTTCTCGCCAGAAGAATTAGGAATAGGAAATCGAGTATTGTTGGGAGCACTTGGAGCGCGCATAAACACCAGCTATCAATTTGTATCTCGAATTCTAGAGTTTCGTGATGGGCAAACATGCAGATATACTTCAAAGTTGCTGTCTGCGACCCTATCAAATCTGGCCCTTCGATGGCTAAGCTCGAGTCCTCTCTGGAGGCACTATGAGCCACAGCATTACCCTCTGAGCGGATAGTGCCTCGACTACTATCAAATATCGTTCTCAAAGCCTCGTTATGCAGCAAGCGTGCATCGTCTTCGTCGAGCTTCGAAACGGACATCCTGCACCAATTGTCGCAGTGCGCATCATCAAGCATCACACAACGATGGAGAGCTTGCAGTATTGCAAAATGCTAGAATAAAAATCAGGAGGAAATACAGGGTACTGACATTGATCATCTTCGCGCTGCTGAGTAGTAAGCATCTCTTCGTTTGAATCTTCAAGGCTTTTTCCTTATCCTGATATTTTGTCTCATCGGTGTGCTCATCGAATGGCCCCCTAAGTGCTGGCACATACCTGTCTAGCCATTGAAGATTCGAGGTCATTTATCTTGTCCATACATTCCTGGTGCATTCTATTCATCATATGCTGAAACGAGGCAATGTCGTAACCAGCTGAATCTTGTTGAGTACAGGCATGATGATGCGAAGATATTGAGACCGCCTACTACCTTATTTTTTTCTGCTTCGGGAAGCTTTCTGTCCCTGTTCCGAGGCCTCTTCCTGTATCAAATGTTGAGCAATCACATCCGACGTCGGTACCGGTGTCTTTGTCCACCCACTGCAGTGACAAATAAGTGGTTTGCTAAGCATCCGAAGACTCGATAACACGCGCTTGTTGTGAAGGTTGTTTAAACGGCACATTAAACGGTGTTTTGAATGGCTGCCTTGAGGTGTGGACGGAACTATAAGACTGCGTGACTATCACGGTGTTGGATGGACTATTCAACATTGAGATGCACATTGCTCATTTAATGCAGGTAGCAAATGCCTCTAGGTTTACCTTCTTCGTGCGCGGACCTACAGGGCGGGCGTTGGGCATTCTCAACCCTTCACTTCCCGCCTGTCCAGAATTGGATTGACCATCAAGAGGCTTTTGAGGCGCTGGACATGAACACTCGACGTCGTCTTCGAATACATATACATCTGCGTTGAAGGAACGTGAGTACGACAGTGACAACGTAGTCCTCTGAGGATATATTCTGTTTTCTGCACAAGGCTTCATCGGGGTATTTGCACATTTGGGGTGCACTCCATCGCGATTTAGGCTGAAGAAGGGAACGGAGAAAATGCACGTCACAAATATTATCACAGTAGCTCTTGACGACCTCCTTGTCGATCGTATCGAATTTTTCAGCAAGATACTTGCGAAAGGACTCGAATTGATTGGGATTAGATCAAATCAGTGACACGAAAGACAAACTCATGCAACCATCGCGGCCCGCTCGTCCTGTTTGGTAAAACTAGGAAATAAGACGAGCAAACTAAGATAGTACTACTAGACCTGTCCATTGATAATACCCCAAGCACGATATGACCTGCGGTTCAATGGTGCTCTTCACAGTAGTTCCCGAAGAACACGCACCTGCTAAACTCTTTAGAAGAGCGTAGTAAATAATATAACTGGGTGACCGGCATCAATATCATACAGACTTCTCAAGAAGAGAAAGCTGACCGAACATCGCTTTTACCAATCCATTCCGAAAATGATGGTTCCGTAGATCTAAATAATATATGACTGAAGAACACGGAGATTACCATTTCCACCCGCTTCTCGTGGGTAATCGATGTGCATAAACAATAGTAGGGGCTCATCTTCATGATTCCAACGGGAAAACCTAAAGAAAGGCGTATGCCAAGGTGGTAATACTATTCAAGTCAGCATGTGATGACGGTGCCGGTGGCTCGTATTCATTGGTAGTAAGCAGGGGATGAATGGTAGACCCGTTTTCCAGATATTTTGAACCGTGAGTTCAATGCAATCGCAGACCAGTACCAGATGCCGGTCTCCAAGTAGTTTGATGACGGTATGGAAGAGTCGATCTGGTTTGGTGACGGTCTGCTTTAGCGTGGTTAATTTTAGTTCTAAACTCCGTCTCAGATGAGTGCTCTACCAATCAGGTCGAAGCTATATCGCGGAGAAGTCGATGTCAAGGCTGGTAGTACTGCTTATGACTATGCCTGGTCCGCATCCACATGTGTATCCTTAGACCACATCTCTACCGTCTCATTTGCGATTTGGACAAGCCTGGGCATGAAGGGAGTTGCTAGCCTTGAGCGCTGCTTGATCAGGGCTGTTCACACGGCTCCTTGCGCTGCAATAGGTGCGACTCGAACTCGGATAACGGGGTCCTTGGCATCATCTCCATCCAATTTGCCTGTTGTCTCCCGGTATTTTTTCCCAAGAGGGTCTTCGCACAGTAGAGTATATCATTCGAACCTACAGCGTCATTATAAGGTCCCTACTCTCGTGTTTTCACATAGTCTCAGGTGAGTGGAGACTAATAAGCTGGTACATCCAGAGTCTCCGAATGAGGAGTACTGACGTGTTGCCAGATTTACGTATTCACCCACAACGTACCTTGGAATGGTAATCCGACGAGCAAACTCGACGCAGCGAGATTCACAACATGAAGAAACTACGCAGAACGACGTACAGCCTCACAATGACGCCCATGACAAACATTCGCATTCGATCTTTCACTCACATTCACACGATGAACATGACCATGCACACGATGCAGCACAGATAGTGCATGCGCTCCAAACGGCTGGTGAGCTGTGATCCCCCTGGTCGGTCGAAGTGTAGCTGATTATTCATTAGGCGACAGAGGGAGTCGAATAACTCTTGTAGGGCTGTTTGCCAACGTGGCTTTGACCGGTGCCAAAGGATTCGCTGGCTGGTATATGCACTCTGCCTCATTGCTAGCAGATGCCGGCCACTCTATGAGTGGTCCGTGACTTCAATAGATAGCTTGGCTTTTCGCACTGACACAATGATTTCAGATCTGCTTGGTGACGTTGTTGTCCTGTTTTGCTGGAAACTATCAAGGAAGCCACCTTCAGCACGTTATCCATATGGATTCGCCAAATTTGAGACTCTCGGGACAACTACCGTGTCACTGCTGCTTATTGGGGGAGCACTGGGCATCGGTTTCCATTCGTATCACCTCCTCTTGGAAGCCCTGGCAACAACTGTCTCCACCATGCCACCCGGACCGCTTCATGACCTCCACCAACAAGCTACGTCTGTTGCTCATAATATTCCTGCCATCGGCCACTCGCATGGTCATACTGGTATCCTCGACCCCAACGCAGCTTGGTTTGCTGCAGTCGGCGTCGTAGCAAAGGAGTGGTTGTATCGAATAACCAAGAAGGTTGCTGACGAAGAACATAGTCCGGTCCTTTATGCAAATGCCATTCATCATCGCAGTGACGCATATTCGAGTTTCGTTGCCCTTTTCGCTATTCTAGGATCGTGGTTATTCCCTGCACTACCCTTAGATCCTATAGGGGGTGAGTACTTTTTTACCAGATCCTTTTTTCTACACTACTTACTACGTTACTAGGACTGCTCGTTTCTTTTGTTATCCTCAAGCAAGGTTTAGCCCTTTTTGGAAGCACGTTCACTGAGCTGACAGATGCTGGCATCTCGGTGAAGTCCCAACGAAAGCTAGTACACGCATTAAAACCTCTTCTTTCCTCATCATCACTGCCATCCTCCTCTGTCATCAGCAACGGTTCCCATGACACTGCAGAACTGCTCGCCGTTCGACATCTCCGAGCTAAGCGTGCAGGCTCCATGATGTATGTGGACCTTACAGCTGATGTCCCGAGTAATATGTCAGTCTTGGCCACATCAAGACTGGAAGTCAAGATCTCGCAGACGTTGAAGGAGGCGCGGGAGGAGATCTCTGAGGTCCGCGTGAAATTTCACCCTGTTGACACGGACGCTCCTCGTGATTGATCGCTCTTGTGAATGGCCGTATCATTTATATATTCTGTGTTTTCCACACTATGTATTTATTATTTTGTGATTTGTGCGTGACCGTTGCAACACGTGCGAGTGTGACAAGCGCGTCGAGTTCATCCGACAATGACAGCCACTCAAGACCCATACCACAATGACTGAACTAGATGTCAGATTGTCTGCGGCCACTGCTCAGGACACGGGTTCTTTCAGGCTTTTGGAGCTTCCTCCAGAGCTGTGCCAAATAATTGAATCTGCCTCTGAGAAAACTGCTAGGTGGATTTTCATCTCGACCGTCAACTATCTGATTTGAGACTGTAACACCCAGCCTCTTCATCAAAGGGCACCCCACTGAGGATGCGGTACTATGTACATTAGAAAGGACATATGCTGTCCGTTCCGTCGTGCTGTCCAATACTGTGCTAGTTGTGACACCCTCCAGATCGGATCCAGATGGGACCGTGCACATCCGAGATCAATTGCATGAAATCTTGGAGCTGGTGCCTATGGTACCGAAACTGCACAAGCTTTCTATTTTGCTGAGGGGCATGGAATATGATGAAGGAGATGAAGATAGGCAGGTGGGCCAGCATGCAGTGTGCACGGGGCATATCGTCTCATCCATGTTCACAAGGCAACCATGCCAAAATACAGCTATGAGCAGGCTCGTAACGAAATACAGGCCTAGCGATGCTGAGTTTTTCCGCGGTTTGAAAGAGAGACGCATTCTCGTCCTTGAAGGTAGGAGCAAGATCCCCTAGGATGGAAGTTCCAGTCGTCATATTAATATTATCTTAGGGCAGCTACGGCCTATAGCTCCAGCGCATCTTAGCACTATTCTCGAACTGCTGTTGAACTACTTGATATCCTTGTCCCTCTCACACCAAGCTGCTGCGGTCGAGGAGCTAGTGTCTGTACTTGCTGATGAACATGAAATACCCCGCGCAGTATCGAACCAAGTCATCTCCTGGTTTGGGGATGTACACGAAGGCCTGTGGAAAATGGACGCAGATGCGGTGATCAGAGAGCTTGGAGTAGGAATTCTCCGCCATCATAGGGTTCGTTTGTCCTTTTCTGACTCTGCTCGCCGATACCTGACGCTAGACTTAGCATAACCCTATTTCTGAGAACGAATTTCTCAAGAAATGGAAAAACGTGGTAGGGGACACTTTCGAGTCTTCTGTGAAGCTATCCCTTCTTTCGGTGCGTTGCTCTGCCAACTCTTGGCTGAACTGCAACGACGTGATCTGTAGGGAGATTACCTTCGAAATTGTCCTCAATCGGAGAGGAAGCAACCTTGACCTACTTTCCATCTTCCGCATTGCCGATTGACCCAGCCGCAAGATTCGTCGAGCTATTTCTGACTCGCCAACGATGGAAACATGAGGAGATCGAGCATTTCTTACTTGACATTGCCGTTAACTCCAAGGAAAGAGACAAACTACTGCTCAAACATGCCAGAGCTCTGACTAATAGCGAGGGAGTATGGTACACTGCGAGAGTAAGCTACAACAACTGAAATTTACTATAGTATACTATTTACAGCAGGCATGCGTATGATCATGGTAAATAGTATTACTGTAAGCCTCTGCAGCTAATATCCTTATAAATCACGACACCATGAGACAATCACTTCCTGCCTGATGAGCGCGTTTTTGCCTTCGCGCCTAGACTCTTGATTGGCGAGGGATGATAGTCATCATCGGCATCCGAACCTTTCCTCTTTCGCTTCGTGCCCGTGGAAGTAGATGGCATCGTCAGCATTTGAGAGCTCGCGTCCAGCACTTTCAACTTCGACGGTCCAGTTATGCTATCAACGAAATTCCACAAGGCCTTTCCCACAAGACCATTGTTCCGAACGTCGCGGAATTGTTCTCGTATCCTTAAACGCATATGTAAGATGGCATTTGCTTTGTCTTTACTTGGGTAATCCCGAAGAACGTAAAGGATGACGCCTGTGGAGCATAGGTAGAGCATGTACTGAGCAAATCACTCACTTCTAAAGATACGACACATACCAACGAATACAAATTCAACAGGCGCGACGCGCTTGTCAACTTCGGTGAAAGCGGCGTTGAGTTCATTTTTTGTTGCGATGTGCCAAAACTCCGACAGTACATCGTTGATTTGGGTCATGAACGTCGGTGGTGGGTTGTCCACCCGCTTCAGCCATTTCTCTAGTTTCTGGGCTGTGGGAAGCAGGCGGTCTGGAAGGCCATCACAGCAATAGATTAGCTGTGCAATGCATTGGAAGTCTCTTCCACGTGTAGTGTCCCACTCGAGGACACTGGCTAGTCCCTTGTTGTCTACATTCACATGACGCAGCTCGAGGTCCGAGATCCAATCAGCCCATGGCGAAGAAATCGCTTGAAGTTTCTCTGAAGACGTCCGTCGGTATAAACCGTGTTATAGAAGAAGTAGTACAGCACCTGCGGCAGTCAATTGCACACCAAGCTGCACCCGCTGGAAGATTTCACGCTCTATTTCAGGGGACAAGTTATGATATTCGACTACAGGGAAACAAGGGTGAATGGCTCAGAGGCGTGAAGCAGTCAAAAACACGAACCACACGTAATTCTGGTTTCTGCAAACCGTCGTTTCCACTCTTCTGGTATTTCTAAGCGTGTAGTCTTCTGCTTCTCGGAACGAACGAACCAGTAGCTCTTCTTCGTGCGCGCGTCTCGATCTTTTTATTTGACTTTTCAACAATGGAGGCCAAGTGCCGTCAAATATTACACTCACGAGGTATCTGTTAACGCTCGCGTAGCATAAGATACCAGTAAACGTTGCATGACTACAATGAAAGACTCACCAGACCGTCAAGAAACTTTTGTATTGACGTGAGCCTTTGTTTCCCATCCACGCAAATACGAACGGTCTCCCCGTCATCATCTTTAGTCACGGCAAATATCACAGGGGGGATGTAGAAGTTTCGAAAGATAGAGTCGATGAGACCAATTTGCTTTGTCTCTGGCCAAACGACGTCTGAGAGCAGTTGTTGTTTAATATACGTCAAATTGCGAGGGGTTTTGTTGACTCGCCTCGTTGATAAATGGGGTTTAGGTCAATGAAGCCTTCGTGTATGTATCCTGAGGTCAATAGTATGTAAGAATATGCCACGAGTTGTGTGTTAACCGAGCGTACTTTGTAAGTCTTGCGCAGAGTAGCTCATTGCAGACGGCGGTGTTAATGCATCTCTGACTCTGAACACGTTAGGATCGTCGTCTGACTGATAGTCGTCTTCGAGCTCGTCGAGTTCTGTTTCTTGTGTTGCGTTCAACTCGACCATGATGTTTGAGACAAACTTGAAGAAGATGACAAAGTCGGAATTGTGTGAGCCAAGCACAAGCCAAAACTACCAATTTACTGGACCAATACACAGATTTGATTATTCAGTTAGCTAAACACCCGATCAACGGAAGCAATATGCGAAGTTCGCGAAGCAAGTTTTAAGCGCGTGCGAATGTAGTATTCCGGTAAATAGTATGATGTATCTACTATGAAGCAATTATGGTCCAATATTGGGTATGAAGCTTGAAGTTGTATGTATCATGAATGGTAGATAACCCATCATTTCCACTGCCCAAACTCCTCGTCGTCGTCATCATCATGAAATGGATCCTCCGGATTCTGAGCCAGTGTCGCGTCGGAGGAAATCGAGCGACTGTGTTCGTGTCTTTGTTCGAGATTCATTTCCTCTTCATCTCGCATCAGCATCGATCCCTCTCCAGTCATACGGGTCGTCTTTCCAGCTACGTGCACGCCTCTTGGTGTATGTCCATCACCGACTTGGTCGTCCTCGTCCTCGCTAACATCTCCCACTTGCCATAGCACTGCTTGATCCTCCTCACCCTCTTCTGTTTTTCTCAAAGCTTGCTCTTCGTCGTCGTTCTCGTCGTCTTCATCTATGCGATTGATTTTCGAAGAGGACCGAGCAGCCTTGCGGGACGACAAGCCAGACAGCGCAGTGGCGGCAGGCGCACGAGTTGATCGTTCGGGTTTTTTGTGTGTTAAGAGGACCACACCGGAGATGAGAATCATTATTGAGGCGAAGATCAGGAAGAGTATCCATGGCTTATAGGCGTCAACTTCGTTGTTGAAGACCAATGAATCCAGAAAACTAGGTCGCAGATGAGAATAGGTGTAAGTGAAACCGGACAACAGGAAGAATGAACACACCCAGTTGCAGTATAGACGCCATAGAAAACTGGGACAACGAGAGTGGAATCGTAAACCTTAAGTCCACGGTTGAGACAGATGATCTGAAGTACAGCCGTGATCACGAGTAGAATGATCGTGAATATAGGAGCTAAATGGCCAAACTGGTTTCCAGGGTTCTCATGAGAGAGGCTTCCTGTGAGTAATTTCACGCTAATTCTGAGTCAGAAAAACGTAAAACTGGGAAAGAGGCAAAGGGAACCAACGTGGCTTTGGCAAAAACTAGACACCCTCCAGCAAGTCCACCCCCGCAACACGCCCAACCAATTCCAAGCACCCATGCGACTTGCGTATCATCCTGAGGCGCAGTCCAAGTCTCTAACTTTTCCTTAACCCATGATATCCATACATTCCAGTGGTTCCTGGCTTTTCCAAAATAAGTAGTGCTCGAGTCGCGCGATCTCCGTGCGCTCATGCCCGCAAAGGGTTCCGAGTCCAAGTCTGACCGTGCAGCAAGAACATCATCCAGAGAATTTGCGAAAATTAGGACAAGAATGAGGGCGATAGACATGCAGAAGAAGAATCCGAGCCAACCACCACGCGACCATAAAGCTGTGAGATGGTTGACATCGGTTTCCGTTGATAGACCACTGTTGACACCTCCAAAGACAACGATACCGACTACGCCGAGCACTACGATCATCGTACCCTGAGTCTGATTAGCAAAACATGCGAATAGAGTGAGGAGGAACTCACATAGATATCTGTTTGTGTGACTGGGGTGCCAATTAAAAATCTGGCGAACAGGAAATTAAAGATGAGAGATGTAGATCCGAGGGGCGCGACATATTCTGAGGGGGCAAACTTCAGAAAGTAATGATTTGAGAGAATAAGTGAACGTGCCTGCCCTCATATAATCCAAGGCAAGCGTGCTCCCTATGAGCTGGGATAAAATATACAAAAACATGCCTAGGATCCATAGCGGTCGCAGCCAATCTCGCCTGCGGGCTGACTTTGGAATGGTGCTCGTCCGCACCTGTAAGTTGAGTGTATTAAAATAGAATCATTGATTGAGTCGTGGCACGTCATAGAAACTCACATGATCCAACTTTGCGAGGTTTAGACCAGCAGCATTCAGAATAGATGCAAGTAGAATGATTGCCAGTCCAATTATGAACGCTACCACTGGACTGGCATGACGAGCAGAACCCGGGTTGGTGGTGGATGGTTCTGCTGTGGCCTGAGCAATAGTACTGGTGAGAGTGGGAACTGAGGTCACCAGTGTAGCTGCTGCTGACTGGGACATCAAGCGTTGGAAATTAAAAAATCGTCGATGGGGTCGCCGTAGGAAATTTCCGAGTTCGTTAAATTCGTGGTCTTTTGTATGTAGCTACTGGCTGACCTGAGCGCTCAAGCAAGAGTTGTGACGTACACAAACTTTGAAAACTGGCATGTGATCGTCCTAAAATGGTTCCCTTTCGGGTACTGATGAATTGCCAGTGACCAGGTCGTGCAAGGCTTTGAGCTCGTTCTCAACCAATATGGAGGCCATCCTATCTAAGCTCAAAGCCAAAGCAGAGATTGCTCCAGACAATGCTTTACTTCGAGACACCATCTCATTGCTGACAGATATACAACGCAATGAAACAATTACTCAGCGCATCACTTGGGACAATCTCATCCGGGATTTCCAACGGCTACAGGATCAAGGACTATGGGACATATCCGAAGATAACGCAAATCTTTTGCATACGCTGCGTAGTTCATTGACTACTCAACCGTTCAAGAGGCCAGACCGTAAACCCGCCAGCAATATGCCCGCACCCTCTCATCCAGCTAGCAGAGTATTCGAGGGTTCTGTCTCAATCATCTATCCGGATTCTGAATCTGCACCATCTCCCTTTATTCCAACATCTGATCCAGTATTGCTTCCCTTAGAGCTGGTAGAAATCCTTAACCGCACATACTTCCATCACCTGCTTGCCACAGATCCAAAACGCGTTGTCCCTCCTGGCAAGTCCCTCGTTTCAATGCTGTCTGGCTCACCCAAAGAGGGCGAAGACGCCAGAAAGCCTACTTTGCGCGACAAGGTTGAGGATCTCGTGCATAAAGCCTTCTGGGACGAGGTGCGGCTTCATGTGTTTGGGATATTCTACTATCTGAGGGCTCTCTAGGCCATAGAATCACTCTCGAATCCAGAGCCTTCTTGCCAGATACCGCGCATCAAATCGTTGTACCAAGACCTCCTCATTACACTGACACCTCTTCTCCCATCTCGGAGCCCTGTCATTACCACACTTTCCTCACCGTTACCTCCGACGTCTTCCCCATTAGATTCGGCTATCATGCATTTACGTGAGGTTGTAACGTCTTTGCGCAACCGTTGCGCGCCAGTCCAGGACGAAGAGCTCGATAACCTTCTTCGTTCATTGGACGAACCTCCCCCCCGGTCGTCGCGTCCTATCTCATTAGCCACGCTAGTGGTAGACACGGTGAAATCCATACTGAGAATTGCGGACATTATGAAAGGACAGCTCTCCCAGTTCGTGTTGGGAAACATGACTGAGCAGCAGCTACAGTCTATAATATCTAAACAGGCAAAAACTAAAGAACGCAAGGACATCTTGGATATTTGGAAGAGCTGGCGGATAGAGCATAGCTGGCTGCTATGGCTTGAGAACTATCAACCATCTTTTCAGGTTAACGGCGTCGCCGCTGAGCCGCAATTCAAATGGATTGTGCGACTTGTACAGGCGCTAGGATCATCGACCCCTATATCCTGTCAATTACCGACCAGAGAACCACAGTCCATTGAGAACTCCCTTCCGCCGATTTTTTTCTTCTCTGCTCCTGCGCTGCTCGAAACTCAGAATTACCTACAAGCACTCGTGATCGCTGCTTCTCTACGCACCTTGATCCGTGTGCCTCAAGGTGCACAAGCGAGCGACACGATGGGCTTCATGGAGCGGTTGTGGATCCTTCTCAAAGCCGAAGTTATTGAAGAGCCAGGTTCGGGCGACACAAAGCTCGTGCATCTCGCTGATGAAGTTGTTCGTGCTCGCCAGCTGGAAGGCGCCATGCTCTCTGGAGAGGAAGAGACCAAGCTTCACGCGGCTGTTGTTCGCACACTCAACCATAATGACCCTGTGTTTATGCTACTACAGAAACGGATACTGAAAGCGTTGGTTGACGCACTTGGACATCAACGGTCTGAATCTAGACAAGCTGGAGCACATACAGGACCACCCAGAATGCAGACAGGGCAAGATGGCAAGCGTGCCGAGAAGCGAACTCGGATGATGATAGTTTTAGATCCAAAAGAATTTGATGCGGGACATGGTGCAGAGACACCTGAATTAATAATTGGCAGGGTGCAAGGTTTCGAAGATGAGTATCTGAGGAAGGTCGTCGAGGAAGTGTTTGTAAAAGTAGATGAGTGCGTGAGGTGGGTGGGAGGTGTTTGGCAGGACGTGGTTCGGGCAGGGGTTGTCGATCGTGAGTATGCTGTATAGGTTTGTAGAATATAACGATGCAAGTCGAGCACGATAATCCTAGCACTGTTCGGCTTACTTGGACTCAGACGGACTGTTGTATTTTGATCTGGCCAGTACTATTGGACCTTTTCGTGCACTCCCCAGTCACATCTCCAATACATATAAGAGCTGCGCCGGCAGGCACCTTGTTACCCGTAAATTGCGTAGGTCAACGCCACTTCGGATGTAATGACACCGAATGCTGACAAGGCACGAATTCAAACTCTTTTTGTTACCACATGGTGTCCTACGTACACGTCAAGCGCTCTGGAGTCATCAATATGATATCGATTAGTCAATTAGACCTAGGGCTTCGAGTCCCTTATCTTCTAGTCTTCAATATAAAAGGCCCTTAATCTCCACGCACCACTCCAGCGCCCTTGAATCATCGACCCTTACTATGTTGGACCTTCTCACCGGCGTGCATGGGCTTGAAGTAGTCCTTGCTGTCGTTGCTATAAGCTTGGCGCTCAGAACTTACTTTGCCAAACAGAACAGTGATAAACTACCGCCAGGTCCACCTTTACTCCCAATCCTAGGCAGTGCACTGGCGGTTGATATTAGTGCCCCTTGGCTAACCTACAAGGCATGGGGCAGCCAATACGGTAAGTTATCCCCACAGAATGTAGCTCACCATCAGTGATTAATGTTTTCCAGGTGACGTAGTATATACTCGCCTTTTTGGTCAGGATAACATCATTATCAACTCTGAGCAAGTTGCAAGAGACCTCCTTGAGCATCGCTCACAAAACTACTCCGACCGACCAGAAATCGCAACCAATGAACTGTATGAATTATTCAAATTCTCGATGATTTTGGTTAATTGCTCATCAATTTTCAGATTTGGCATTGACTATACTACCGCCTTCATGCGATACGGTAGTAGATGGCGGCTTCAACGCAAAATTGTACATCAGTCATTCCGACAAGATGCTATTCCTCATTTTCAACCCATGCAAGTAACGAAAAGCTATGACCTTTTATTGAACCTCATGGAGGATCCTTCGGACTATCACGAACATTTCGAAGCGTCAGTGGATTTCTAATCTACCGAGTACCTTGGTATTGAAACAATTCTCTAGCCATTCAGGTTCAATCATCATGTCTGCCGTGTACTCGTATGATGCAGCACGACGTCATGACCACATGATTGAGCGCGCAACCATGGGTCTGGATATCATCCTGAAAGAAATGAGACCCGAAGTAGCTGCCATTTTTAGTGCTTATCCTTTCCGTACGCTCCGACGTTCATCATACACATCAGTTCTTTACCCTCTAATTTGCAGTTCTCCGCCTCCCCTCTTGGCTGCCTGGTATGCGCCTCAAGAGAATTTCACCATTAGCCAAGCAATTGTCCTTGGAGAATTTGGAAAATCCATTTGCATACACGGAGCGTGGTCTGGTAAATGTGCCATTTTGTGAGATATTTCATTCTCAAATTCTTTTCAGGCCACTGGATCCATTTCTCCTTGTATGGTTGCTGAACATTTGGCGGAGCTTGATGACAGCTACGATAATTTTGCCTGGCAGAAGAAAGCGATAAAGGAATCTGCGGCAACGGCTTTCGGAGGTGAGCAAATTCATTTCAGTGTAAATTTGTCAGGCTGAATGAAATTGCCTCTTGCCAGCTGGCACTGAGACGGTAGGCCGAAAGCAACAGCCAGCGATTCGCTCCAACGCTGACAAATATTAGACAGCCAGTGTATTGTTGAATTTCACGCTGTTGATGATCCTGCACCCAGATATACAACAGAAAGCGCAAAAACTTGTTGATAGTGTGGTTGGCCCAAAGAGACTGCCGACATTCCACGATCGTCCATCCTTGCCCTACATTGATGCCATTATACGGGAGTGCATGCGGTGGCGCCCAGTTTTCCCCCTTGGTGTGTTGCTCGCCTTGACACAACGGAACTGGATCATTGATCCATTACAGCGATTATGCATGCTACTGTCGAAAGCGACATTTACCAAGGCTATTACATACCCAAAGGTGTGCGAGCTTCTTCTCATCCCGGGGTCCATGTTCATTCGCAGCACAGGTGCAACAGTCACCCCGAATGTTTGGTACGAAGATCGATTATTCTGTGGTTCGTGACTTAATTCCCCTCAGGGCGATGTGCCATAACGAAGATAAATACCCAAATCCGTCCGAATTCAATCCTGACCGTTTCCTGAACGCAGACGGCACTCTGACAGACGATACTGTGAGTTTTGTGTGGGGATTTGGCCGACGAATATGCCCTGGTCGCCATCTTGCCGAAGCTTCTATATGGTCTGCCATGGTCTGTATGCTTGCGGTTTTCAATTTTTCCAGGGCCAAAGACGAGACTGGCAAAGAGATTGAGATCGAGCCACACTGGCATGGAGGGCTTACTGTGTACGTGGGGTTTAATATCATTTCTCTTGGGAGATGGCTTACTGATTTTTGTTAGGCGACCTAAGTCATTCCCTTGTAGTATCACTCCGCGAAATGCGGACATGGATATCACGGCCTTGCAGCATTTGATCGGGGTATCTGTTTAGTTTGGTCTGTCCTATATTGATACGGGTTGATTTTCGCCGACATGAATTTTTTTTCGTGGTTATTGTCCGTTGGGGCGAGGCCCTATGTTGGACAGTACGTAATATTTGGTCTATTGTGCTGGGCTATGGGGGTGAAGAGACTATGCTATTGGTCCTGGGGAAGCGAGGACGGAGACGCCGTCTGAAGGAAGCGTTTCGGGTGTCGAGGTATCTTCATGCATGATCTATTCGGTCTACTCTTTGTCTTTTGGTGGTGGGGGCAGTGACATCCCCGAACGCCTGCTCTAGCCTTCTTCGCACGATCTTTGTTGTCGTACTTAGCACTATTCTATTTGCTTATTAGTATCATTTCCAGTTTATCTCGCTCCAAGTAATTGAAAACCAAATAGAATTGAAGAAAACTTCCAGACCTGCCTAAGTGTTTCCTTCGGGAGTGTACGGCGACGGTGACGATAAGCGCAACCGTACAATATTTCGGGTGGAAGTGTCTCTCGAAGTTTTCTGCTGACTTGTTCAGTTCATATCCCCTTTTGAGTGTTGGCCGTGCCAAAAAGCACTGAACTCTTAGGCTGCTGCTTGGACCGATGAACAAGGCCGAGCCGACGTGCACCCGCAAGATGAGACTCGGACTAGTGATAAATGAGAACCAGAAGGATCATCATATAGCCCAAGCACAATTGTAGAGAGTGATAGCCAAAATCGGATGTGGTTCCGATGACCTTTGAGTCATTCTTTTCTAAGTATTCATAGATAGTTTTTGATCTCCCAAAGCTCCATTTCCTCACTTTACGCAAGTCCCAGCTTCGACGCTTCAGTCATGGCACCCAGGAATAGAGATGATAATTTCATGGACGTAGATTCTGATTCCGACATCTCCTTGCTAGGTGATGTTGAACACCGCGGGAAAGGGAAGGCAAAAGGCAAAACCGCTGACAAGCGCAAGAAGGATAAGGGCAAGGCAAAAGCGAAGGAGGTCAGCAAGGCAGCATTTCGCAACTGAGCTATATTCACATCTTTACAGCAAGCGTACACCTGGGAGGCATCCTATACGCGTTCATGGGACACAGTGCAGGAAGATGAGGCTGGAAGCCTGCAGGGCGCGGTGGAGGATCTTATGGCACGGGGAAGGCGAAGGAGGTCCATACATTCCACGTCTCCCATTGTAGTTTCGCTGACCTTGTGAACCAGGTTGCTTGCACCTGCTGCTGCTATCCGCCGTACGATCATACGACATTTGATCATTCTTCTCGACCTTTCAGCAGCGATGATGGACCGCGACATGCGCCCGACTCGCTTTGATCTCATGCTTCAGTACGCAAGGGAATTTGTGGTAGAATGGTTTGACCAGAATCCTCTGGGACAGATTGGCGTCGTTGGTATGCGTGCCGGTATTGGCGAAAGGATCGGGGAGATGTCTGGTAAGTCTGCAGGGTAATTCACCGAGCCCACATATTCATTTTATTAGGCAATCCGCAAGATGTCCTGAAATGTCTCAGCGATAGAACTCGACTTGAACCTACGGGAGAACCAAGCCTTCAAAATGCCATCGAGATGGCACGGAGCAGCATGAGGTACATCAGTTCCTTAGTACTTCGACCTTATTTTTGATCTATGCAGTCACTTGCCAACTCACTCTTCACGAGAGATCCTCATCATCTTTGGCTCTCTGACGACGTGCGATCCTGGAAATATTCACGACACCCTGGATGCCTGCGTAAAGCATAAAATACGCATATCGGTCGTCGCACTGGCTGCAGAAATGAAGATCTGCAGGGATCTATGCGATAAGACTGGTGGTAAGCAGGATATTTTATATACATTATATTGATTTATCCATAAGGAAGGTCAATTTGGCGTGGCCATGAACGAGGGGCACTTCAAAGACATCTTGTTCGAGCTCGTTCCACCTCCCGCACAACGAGCTGTCACTCGCGCAGGAGGGCCAGGGTCAAACCCAGCTGCCGATTTGATGATGATGGGGTTTCCCACCCGACTTCCTGATTCATCACCGCCAAGCTTATGTGCCTGTCATTCTGACATGAAGAGCGAAGGCTTCTTGTGTCCAAGATGCATGGCGAAAGTGTGCGATGTCCCAACTGACTGTGACATTTGTGGACTCATGATCGTGAGCTCACCTCACCTGGCGAGAAGCTATCATCATTTATTCCCGGTGAAACCGTATGAAGCGGTGTAAGTGGCATTTATTGATTTTATGTCTGTATCATCGACGCTGTGAACCCAGAACATCAACGGAAGGCGAGCTCGAGCCGAAAGCCGCATGCCATGCATGCGCAAGGGTATTTTCGACCTCGGTGTCAACTATGACAACTTCGGAGGGCATCAGTCCTTGGGGGCGGTATCGCTGCCCCGACTGTCACAACGATTTCTGTACAGAGTGCGATGTATTTGTTCACGATGTTATCCACTGCTGCCCAGGATGTGGCAAATAATATACATAGTACGATGAAAATTGTGCGCTAGTATAGTCTGTTGCGGAACCAGATCGGTCCCATCAGTTGACGTAATAGAATGCCAGCACAACTTTAAAGTAATACAACAGTGTCTCTCTTCTTTGTTCTCGATTTTCTCCGCTGTTATGTTGTTACTATCTCTGACACTCTTTTTTTCTTCATGGCACACCTTCGTTTACGCCGGTGATCAATCCAAAGGCGAGAACTGCACTGTCACCAACAACCGCCTCGAGTTCGGCACATATCAGTTCCATAGCGACTGCGACGTAAAAACGTATTGCTCGTCACAGGGAACTTGTGAACTGAAGGGCTGCAGAAAAGACCAATTTCCATTTGGTTATGCACCAGGTGACTACGTGCCACCGTTGTGTCCTCCTGGACAGTTTTGTCCCGACGAGAGCGATGCGTGTCAGCCTTGGTTACCTGTTGGGACTCCATGCCAGCTGAATCGTGATGGTACGCCTCGATGCAAGTCATGGTGATGTTCTCTAATACCGCGTTAACTGCGCAGACCAATGCGAGCCGCCTCCGAATTGGCAGCAATTAGCTGATACATCAAAATACGGCCGTAATGTGAATGGTTCCGTCTGTCTAAATAATGTCTGCATGTAAGTCGGGACTGGCATCGGGTGACTGTGTGTTGACGGTTGATATAGGTGGGCAAATGTCACAGTCGGCCAGCCTTGTGAAGTCGAGAACACTGCCTACACCGCCTATGCTGGAAGTAACGAGTTCCTTGACGTTGTGTCGAGGTGGGTAGGATTGCAGCGTGCCCCAGGCCTTCTAAGCGTGACGTTTATCTCCTTTTTCCAGAGGCAACTGTCAAATTGGGTCGTATTGCGATTCCCAGTCGTTGGTTTGCATCCAGACAAAACAACTCGACGAGACCTGTGATGCGGACAAAGAGTGTGTCTTGAGTTTGATGTAGGATGCATCGTGATAATTGACTGGACGCCCAGATGTTCGTCCTTTAACTGCTTGCGTAAAGGCGTTTGTGGTCGAGGTTCCGATACTCCAAAGCACTTTGGGACCTTGGTATATGCCGTGGTCGGTGCTGGTATCTTCGGAGGTCAGCCCTAATATTTTGAATATTTAAACGACATCTGATCCGAGGGCATAATTGCTAGGCATGTTTGCCACTCTGATCACCTTGTTCCTGATTCATCGTCGTCAACGTGACCAGGAACGTGAAAAGCGTCTCCAGTACTGGTGTGAACAGGTTAGTGTTCCGGACCTCGCATTTTTATGACGTCTCTCTAATGTGTGTCGTGCAGAATGCCTTCCGCCGGAGTATAATGCAAATGAAGGAAATCGCTCGCACCTCTATCTTGTCTCTCCCTGGCGGTAACGGCAATAGCAACCGGAGTACAGTCTGCAGTCGCGCTGGATCGGAAGAGTCGTTCACACCTATGATCCAGCACTCAGTCCACAAGTCGAGCGGGTTAAGACAGCAATACCTATCAGATGACAACGGGAGTTCATATGATGAAATAATGATGCAAGCGGGTCAGCGGTAGTTGTGGGTATCTTTGCACAGACGCTTGGATTTTTCGACTCTCTTATATGTTAGCGGGACTATTTTCACCACGGACCAACTGATCTTTTCCCATATATGCTTAGAATGGACCTTAATTAGTTTTTTTTTGCTGTGCATTAGGAGCGATAAAAATACATGGCTGAGCTTGTAGTACATATCTGACATGTGAGTATTAGTGCCAGGGTTGTTGGACCCTGAGGTCTGAGCGCCTGAGCACTAACCACAGAGCTCCAACAGAGCTCTGTTTCCAAGTTATGCAGGTGAGCGTTGACGTGCTGCCAAAAGCCAAATTATCACGAGCTCTTTGTACATTTGTAACGAGAATTTTACGGTTTTTGCGTACATGAGAAATTAAGCCACCTTAAGTAAATGTCGTTAGACCCTTTAGCGAAGACAAGGCGGATGCCATCTATGGTATCCTCTTCAATTGCACTCGACAACATGTCCTCTATTTCACCTCCAACCCTTGAAGAGAATCTCAGTCACTCTCACTCAAGGTCACAGGATAATGACCAGCGAGACTCGCAAGACACTTTACAACCACGTTCTAGTACGAGCACAGAGAAGGGGAAGGCAAAACAACTAGACGAAGATGTGATAGAGTACCCTTGCTCAGAATCATACCCCCCCATGAATGACGACGCAGCCGAGACGCGACGGGTAGAAGAGGTGCGCTATTTTTGCTCCTGCTCATAACTTTCATCTCGTCTCGTGTTCGGGTCATTGAAACATTGCTTCCATCCTGGCAGAACCTGCGTCGATGGGAATTGGCCGAACGCGAACGACGGAGAGCCGCACGAGATTCCGCTCACGTCAACAGAAGTGGGAGCGGTCCGTCTTTACTCGGAGAAGTAACACGCAGGGCAAGCGTGCTCCTGTCGAAGCGGCCGTCAGTCAGATCATCTGCACGAGGGCTGGGTGACCACCGAGCTCTCCAATCAAGAGACTCCATCGATGTAGTACCACTCGACGACATCGAAAGTCCACCTGCGACTGCGAATCCGTTCATACACCCGTCTGAGACAAGACCGGGGTTTATCTCCCCACCATTGTCCCCCTTTCTTAATTCAAAGGAGCGGTCTAGCGTGATGACTGACTTGGACTCGAATACGCACTCTTCGCAGCCAACTATGCTCCCTCCGACGCCAACATTTATTCCTCCCCCACAGCAGCTAGGATTATCGGCGCCCTTAACGCCACCACCTAAATCACGCATGACTCCAATGAAACCCACGCCTCCACCAATGTTGCATCGGGAACCTATTGAACCCGAACAGGATGTGAGATGGTGGCACGATTGGTTATGTGGATGCAGCGAAGGACCAGACCGGGGAGGGGATAACCAGGTGAGCAAGATTCGATTCTAACTCAGGTTGTTGACTATACTTATGGGTTCGCTTCAGGCTGGACGCACGAATCCTTTTGAATGAATGATTCACTCCAGTTGATTTCATCGTCTCTACGTACACCTCCGTATACACATACTATATCAATAGTTCATACCCAGGGCTAACCTGCGCCATTGCATATGTATCTTATAGTTTAGAGGTTTTATAGTGTTTGGACCATTCGCCGCATACATACCCGCTTGTTTATTCATCCTCTGATCATCCACACTTGACTATCCTTTGCACGGGCATTGGTACCCCGAGGGGTAACATCTTTGCAAATGTGTACATGTCATTATTCCCACCCCAAGGGAAAGTGGAAGGTAAATGAACAGGGAAGAAGCAGTAAGGAGTGCAGAAGGGGAAATATGGGTTTCAACGTGGCCCGTAGCGTATCGTATGTAACATGGCGAATCGTGACTATGGCGCAAGTCAATACAATTTATGCACGCCAGTCCACGGACATTTGGTAGTTGTTATTGAGCAGACGGGATACGCACAATCTGAATCCGATTATCATCCAAAGCACCATTATCCAGAATCACTGGTCCAGGGGGTTTGTTGACAGTGTCAACCTGCAGCCAATTTAGTTTGGTAGACTATGTATAGAAAATGAAACACTGGCCTGCACCAGTTCTGGAGAGAAGTCATCTTCACTACGACCATGACGTCTGGTCATGACTGAGTCGATATCCGCAAGAACATCCTGGAAGGTTACGACACCCGGGGGACCAGTAACTGGAATATCCACAGTAGATTCAACGGTGTCTTTAGGAGTCTTGGTGGAGCCTCGTTCTACATCTTCATCCACAGCTGACTCCACAATATCGGGAGCACGGCGGGCCCAAAGAATCCAATCCGGGACTATAACACGATTACGGCTGGTCCATGAGGTGGTCAACGAAACCGTGCGAGAGCGTACGCCGCGGCCTATGTTAAAGAATGGGATAGACAAGCCATCTTGTATACCTTGTAATTCAGGGACAAATACGAGAACACTGCCCACGATGGTACTTACGAACGATAATAGAACCGAGCACGACAAAGGAGACAATAGGCTGGATAGTTGCTGCGAGGTACTGTGCTTGATTCGCCGGTGGGTGTTCCGGGGTGGGTAGACGCGTAAGAGCTAAAGCAGACACGAAAACTGCGCTGACTCCCATCTAGGACGAATCAGTGAACAATTAGAGATGGCATTCAGCCGACTTACTGGACCTATACACAGAATTTAGGTGAGAGTGACAGCACAACTAGAAGCGCTACTCACCAAAGTGGCCAGAGAATAATGCTTCCTTCCAGGTAGCAATCTCGGGGACAAACTTGTAGAGCGCCAATAAGGGAGGAATTCGCCTCAGAACCAAAATAACAATCACAAGGAGAACGAGCCTCCAAGGCGTGATACCATATTCGGGAGAGTTGTAGGCCTCAAGAGGTAGCCAAGCACCAATGTAGATGAAGCAGCCACAGTTGAGGACATAGTCTATCACGGAAGAGAATACATCATTCTCTGTTTGTACATTGAAGTGACCGTCCCAAGAAATTGCAGAACCTAAATGGATGTCAGACCCTAGCAATCATGCGTGCAGTCTAGACTCTGACCTGCTGCGAATGCTGCAAGAAGATCATCTGCACCGATGGTACTTGCGATTCCGATGGTGAAGATGGACAGAGCCAAGTACTGTGCCACATATGATTCACGATCTATGAAGCCCCTATTATGGGATATCTTCATGAGCTTCGAAAATAGAAGGCCTAGATCACAAACATAAATCAGATCAATGTACAGATAATCAAGCGACTTCGCTGACCAAGAACGGCGCCTAAAACAGTGCCAAGTATGACCTGGTCTAATGTGGGACATGATCAATACCTTACGAAATGTCGAATAAAAGAGAGCACGAACATAGCCATCCGACCAGGAACCACTTGCCGAAAGCGGTTCGAACGGACGTCTCTACAGTGAGGTATATGGATATCGCAAGAAACGGGTAGGCAAGACCATCATTTGCTGCGGATTCCGCAGACAATATCCGACGGATATTCACAGGGACATGTTTAGTGGCAAATTTACCGCCTGTATCACAGATAAAGATAAACTTATATGCCATGGTTGATGTGACTAACGGGTGATGGCAGCACATGTGACGGGATCCGTAGGAGTCAAACAGGCAGCAATGCAAAGAGATGAAATGTAATTGAGCTCCGGGAAAAGCGCCTGTATGACGGCTGTCATGACGATCAGCAAACGAAATTTAACTTTGGGAAGATATACATGCCAGCGACAACGACCCAGCCAAAGGCCATGGTGGGCACGACGATTACGAGCAAGCTTTTTGCATGTTCTTTCATATATGCACATGGCAATTCGACTCCAACTGCGAACAAGCCGGTGGCGAGGACGATGCGCATTACCTCCAATGTTATGGTGTTTTCCAAGGCACCCCATGTGCGGGGTGTGAATACATTGGCGACGTAAGGGCCTATGATGACTCCGAAGCCGGTTCCAAGAACGACTTCGTTGATATAAAGCTGAAGAGTATGTATTATTATCATGAGAATGCATGGAGATAAGAAGTCAAACCTTCTCTTTTACCAGGAGGGATATCATGGAGAACTGCGGTCAAGAATCAGCATATGCAGACATACATACGAGCAACAGGTTGTAATGGCAAAGACAGCGGCTAATAGATATATTAAAAGGAATACGACGAACCAAGACTACAAAACCACCAAGACAAATGTACGCCAATGATGGCGGGGACACCTGCAAAAACGAGTTTGTGATGATGGCAAACAGTCGACAGCAATACGGACTTGCAGTAAATCTAAATCCATTAAGATTGAAAGAAATGGGTGATAGAATCTTTGGATGAGCCTTTTGAAGAGGTGATGAGTGTAGTAAAGAAAAGAGCCTCTCAGGCTGTCAATCTTACCAAGTATTTATTTGTGATACCAAGCTCACCACGTGCAGTAATGCCGTGAAAAGCCCTGCCATGAGATGGCCCTGCAAAGTCGTCGAATAAGTACGATGCCTATGACTTTGAAAGGACCCTAACGGCAGTTGAAAACGAGACCGAATTCATTAGCGATAAGAAGACCCATTCCTGAAATGGTTCACCCAGGTCAGATTCTCCGGACCAATCATCGTCCTCCCGTGTCTTATCATCACAGCCAATGGCGCTCATGACCTATAAAGGACTTTATCTGGTCTACAACCTTCCTCTTCATCTTCACACTGTGACGAGCGTCAAGTCTTGCAACCATGGGTTCATCTGTATCTAAGGTTCCTCTTCAAGTTTCTGGCACCGGAACATCTTCGTCAGAAGTGCTCGACGAGAAAGGCTTTGTTCGCCCGCGCAGCTCCACGTCATCACCCACAACGGCTTCGTCGCCTTTGGCAACCGACGGTTCAATTTCCTTGTCTAATGTCGATACTTGGGAGTCCGCCGCCGCCGCGGACCCAAAGATCCAACTTACCCGCACAATCCTTACTCATACAAACATAAAGTCGACCCTTATCAGTCGTCCAGCACAGGTTGCAATACCACATGTTTTCAATCACGAGGTGGAGTTCAAAACTGGGCCTGTCACAAACCAGAAGTCCAGTGGTAGATGCTGGCTCTTCGCAACTACCAATGTCATTCGGCATGAAGTCATGAAGAAGTTGAAGCTCAAGGAATTCCAGCTCTCTCAGGTGACCATTTATGATCATCAGTTCTCACCAGCTCTTGCTCACATAGTACCGTAGTCATACCTCTTCTTCTGGGATAAGTTGAACAAGTCCAATTATTACCTAGAGCTTTCCATCGAGAATGCAGACCTGCCTGTCGATGATCGCCTGGTCAACTTCCTTGCGAATGACCTCATTAGCGACGGCGGTCAATGGGACATGGTTGTCAACCTACTCGAGGTACGCTTTCCTTAGACAATAGTATGGCATATATTTAACGTCTCCCAGACATATGGTCTCGTTCCTCAGCCAGTTTACCCTGAGTCATACCATTCAAGTGCCTCGAGCCCCATCAACAGCCTTCTGAAGTTGAAGCTCCGAGAGCATGCCCTCACTCTTCGCGCGCTCTTTTCGTCACTGAAGGCCGATCACAACGTCTCGCCGGAGTCTGCTCTTTCGACCCTTCGTGCGAAGAAGGAAGAGCTTATGCAAGAGATTTATACCATCATGAGCGCAACCTTGGGTGTTCCTCCTAAGCCCGACGCGCCCTTCACCTGGGAGTACTACACTGAAGATGGTAAGTATGCGAAGTGGGAGGGTACCCCTCTGCAATTCTACAAGGCTTTCACAGCCAAGTTCTCGGTTAGTACATGTCACAATTTTGACGAATGTGCATTCACAAATCTTAAGCCGGCGGAGTCTTTCTCCCTCATTAACGACCCGCGGAACGAGTACGGTAAGCTATACACTGTGGACAAGCTCGGCAACATCTGGGGTGGACGATCTGTTCTGTGTAAGTTGTATTCATCGAGTTTGCATTACGAGAGCTTAACCGCTAGCAGACGTGAACACTCAGATCGATGACCTCAAGCAGGCCATAGTCCGAGTAAGCAATTTTGGATTCATTCAATTGCTTGGCTGGGTTCTGACCCCATTCACAGTCTATCAAGGCTGGTCAGCCAGTCTTCTTCGGTTGTGATGTAGGCCAATTCTCCGACTCCGGCAAGGGCGTCGGTATCATGGACACTGACTATTTCGAATACGAAGTAAGCGATTTTCACATACGAGTAACAGTCTTCTAATTTTTTTCCTATTACAGCAAGCATTTAACATCACACTGGGACTTACCAAGGCCCAGCGACTGCAGACAAACGAGTCCGCCATGACACATGCGATGGTTATCTCCGGCGTGCATGTGGATGAGAAGACTGGTCGTCCCGTCCGATTCAAGGTGGAGAACTCTTGGGGTGAAGATAGTGGCGTGCACGGTTTTAATGTGATGAGTGATAAATGGTTCGACGAGTTTGTGTTCCAAGTTGTGGTGCACAAATCTTTGGCGACCAAGGAGCATGTAAAGATCTTTGAGTCGGGGGAGAAGGTGGTGCTGCCTGCTTGGGACCCCATGGTAGGACATCATTATTCTGCAGATGCACGATGCTGATCATTTTACGCAGGGTGCTTTGGCATGAATACCTCAGGGCCTCAGTGTAGTCTTTATGCCACATATGTACATACCGTTTATTTTTGTGTTTGCAGACGTACCAGCGGCTATAAAACGTCGTGGTTCGTGTACTTATTGAGTGGACGTGGTACTCAAAAGCCGGACCGAACTACAATGGTGGCCTCATGCCTTGCATATCTCGACACAACTCAGGTCCATGACAAGATTTGCACACCTTCGACATGCTCTCAGCGCAAATGAGACACAGTAGCTTGAATCTAATTTTCGTACGTCGCCGCAACGGTGCCATAATGACAACTTGCCTAGCTCTTCTGGGATTAATTGCTACATCAAATGTCAAAATCAAGGACGGCTTGGCCATGTCTGAATATGATAGCAACTATCATTTGATGTACATACCAGTACATGAGCAACGATGAATGATGCCCTGTGACATGAAATCCCTGATATTGACTAGCCGCATGTTCAGTTGACGTTGATCATCACGGGTGCTATTAGTAATGAGACATGTGACTTGCCACAATCGCAGCACGAGCCATTCCACTCCGACAACCATGTCTTTTAGAAAGATCGACATCGACGCATATGACGAGGATGTCCTACTGGAGAGTGAACTTTGTGAACCAGATTCACGCGATCCCGCTCAGGTCTTGAGCGATGCGAAACAGAAGCAGGCAGCAGTCCGGAGCACATTAGCCAAGTACAGTCCATCTCGCTACCTTTCAACATGATCTAACATCATTCGTGCAGGGGGGACATACCAGGAGCTCTGGCAATTGCGCTGGACAGTATACCATATGGGCCAAATGTCGAGGAAGCAAAGGTGATTCTCTTATTGACGACAACGCGTCAATAAAGTACGCTGACATTTGCGCAAGAACCTGACATTGCAGACCGTTGTTTCGATCCTGAATAGCACGAAATCGTCAGAGATACACAACGTCGTGAAAGCGCTTACCCAGGATTCTCAGGACACTTTGATGAAGTACCTTTACAAGGGTATGGGGATGCCGGGGTGGGGTGATGTGAGCGGCAGTGTGCTCTTGGGGTGGCATGAGAAGGTGCGTCTAAAGCTCGCCTCTTATATAAACTTCCTGACCACAAATTTGCAGCTGACAGAAGTTGCCGGCACCGGCTGTATCGTACGAGTAATGACCGATCGAAGAATTGTATGAATGAGCATACCGCTGCTGCTAATCATGCATCAGGCATACATATACATTTACGAAGAATTTCACAAGATTAGATCATGACGAATGGCTAGTTGTTTATAGCCTGAAATGCACTTCAAGTACGTTCTATGACACTTCGTTAGAACAATAAGTGAATTGTAGTTAGAACTAGTACTAATAGTGGCTCGTTCAGGTTCTTGAATTCGGACATCTTTTTCTTTCAGTGTAGCGGTTCAGGCTGTCGCGCTTCAGAGGAAAGCGCTGGCTTTGTGCCCGGTCGGTCACACACATCGGTCTGGGTCATTAAACAACCTCGCGAAGTCGACTCTCCTCCCGCTTTGACCACCGAGGCAACGACGAAGACTTGGATGAGGCTATCGCACTTCACAGGGAAGCGCTAGCTTTGCGCCCGGTCGGTCACACATCGATCTTGGTCATTAAACAACCTCGCGAATGGACTATCCACCCGCTTTAAACATCAACACAATAGAGAAGACCTCGACGAATCACGAGAAAACCTACGCTGTGCATTGACTCTGTTGACGCAATATGATCCTCGTCAACTGGTGTTCCATAAGTCGCTAGCTAAGGTCTATCTATCATTTCATCTATCAGGACTTATCTGCACGTGCGCGGGCGAAAATACAGACAGTTTGGATGCTGCCATGCATCATCTCAAGACAGCGGCAAATGTTGTCTCTGCAGGCTTGCGATCTCGCCTGCGGGCAAGCCTACGTTGGGTGCACCATGCTAGTGAACATTTACATGGTACTCAACTCGAGGCTTATGCGACTTCTATGCAACTCTTGCACGCCTACATGTCTGTGACGGCCTCCGTATCGTCTCGTCATAATACCATGAAGGAATTCCGAAGTACAAGTACACTTGCTGTGGATGCTGTATCATGTGCCCTTCGCAGTGGCGATGTGCATCTTGCTGTTGAGTTGTTGGAGCAAGGCAGGACTATCATCTGGACTCAGACGACACGACTCCGCACACCTCTTGACACCCTACAGACTCGCGGGGATCGCGCGATGACTCTGATGAAGAGATTCAGAGATCTCAGCTCCCTTTTTGATATTGCGAACTATCTAGATGACATCTCAAAAGTCGATGTGGAAGCCGAAGCGACCCGGTACAGACGTCTAGTAGGGGACTGGGACGAAACTGTAGAAGAGATCCGGAAGATCGAGGGCTTCTCTCGCTTTCTACTTCCCCCTTTGTTTTCCGATCTTCAAGACGCAGCTCGTGATGGGCCCATCATCGTGCTCATCGCAAGCAGATCCTCTTGCGATGCCATTATTATCCCACACCAGCAACCTCCCACTAGCATTCAACTCCCTACCGATTTCTGGAAACTCGCCAATTTGGTAGTCGCACTCCAAAAGGCAGTTAACAAAGAGGCCGGTCCTAAAGGGAACCAAAGAGCGCTGATAAAAGTTTTGAGAGAGTTGTGGTACGACGTGGTCGGCCCGGTGGTCGAAAGTCTGGGCGGAATTGCACGACAAGGTTCCCGAATATGGTGGTGCCCGACGTCTCTCTTCAATTTCCTGCCATCGCATGCTGCTGGCGAATACAAGGAAAAGGGACATTCCCTTTCGCAGCAGTACACCTCTTCGTATACACCATCACTCACCGCGCTGATCGAGGCTCGCAGAAGTCACGAAAGGTCCCCGTCGGTGCTTTTCGTTGCCATTGGTCAGAGTTGCCCAGCCGGTGCCTCCTTCACTTTGGATGCTGTGGAGCCTGAACTGGAATTAGTGCGGAGCCTTTTGCCACCTCCCCCAACCGTTTCGTTCTCCAAGATAACCAGTGTTGATGCCACGAAATCGAGAGCGTTGTGCGCATTGCGAGACAATACTTGGCTCCATCTCGCATGTCACGGGACACAAAAACTTGACAAACCCTTTGAATCGGCCTTTCTTATGCGCGACCAGCCGCTTTCGCTCCTTGATATCACACAAACGGATCTATCTCGGCATCAATTTGCATTTCTTTCTGCCTGTGAAACTGCAGTCGGTGACTTTAGTACGCCCGACGAAGTGATACACCTAGCGGCTGGCCTACAGTTCGCCGGGGTTAAGAGCGTCGTTGGCACATTATGGAAGGTCAACGATAGTACTGTGGAACGCTTAGTCAAGGCATTCTACGAAAACTTGTGCGGGGATGGCAAAATGAATTGCAAACGAGCTGCCCGGGCGCTGCACCGCGCGGTCCAGTCGTTGGCCTGTGACACGGACATGCCCTTGGACCAGCGCATAGTGTTCGTGCATATTGGCATATGATGAATTCCGTGCGTCCTCCCACCTTGTTGATTAAAGCATTCTTGAGACAATCTGACGACTTTGTATCTAGTCATGACTACGTGCAAGCTGTTCCCAAGGACTTCGATATTCCAGACTTTGAGACTGTATACGTACACAATATGTTCACCGGATTCCTACTTAATTTTTATTTTCCAGTTTGTTGCATCGGTGTCAGATATGATCGCTCCCAAGGTGCACCAATGATTAGCGAAGTTGCACAACGTCAATCTGGCATAACACCTCATGTGGCAAGACACAATTTGCGATGAACATGATCGTCGAGTGTCCGAATTGCGCGAGGGCATTGAATGCATTCCCACTCATCAGGCAGCACCGAAATTCAATGCTTATAAAGAGTTTGACCCTGACAGACCATGGACGAATGAGAATAAATAGTAGTTGGATCGAGATCGAAACTTACCTTTCGACGACATTGTAATACGGTCTTGCACGGTGAGGGCTTCTCTGCTTGACAATGAAAGGCCACCTACAGTTGGTAGTAGTAGTGTATTATAGTACTACCACCACCATGTGCAGCTGGTCGTAATGATCAATGCGATTCTAGCAGATCTGGACCTGGGCATTCCAGACCTAGCCTAGAGTGTTCCAGTGCACTCTAGAATACCTTTCGATGGTAAGTGTAGTAGTTCAACGACACCACAAATGCAAAACGTTTACGGGCCCAGAACGCCAGCTGGCATCAGCTTATTGCAGAAATTATTGGACGTGATTATTTATTAATTTGGAAGAACTGCGACTGCATCCTCTGAGCCTGAGAGGTAGGTCCGCTTGCAACAAGGAACTTTACTTTTCTCATTTGATTATTCTTCACATTCAGAGGCCAGGACCAGCCTTGAGATTATCCATCCAATGATGATTGACGCAACGCTCACCCATTTCCGTAACAGCCAAAGATGAACTCTTCGATGCACAGATCATGTCATTCGTAGGTATGTTTGCTGATTGTCTAGTTACAAGGACTCGCCTTCGGTCGGCTGGAGGCCCTCGTCCTGTATTCATGGAGTTGCAAAGGTGTAGATGCCATTTTAATGTATTTACAGTAGCAGGTACAATATGTGCACAGTTTTGATCTTCGTTCGCCTCTGAAAATAAGCACAATGTGTCTCTTCGCGTCCTTACTTTCGATAACGCTGTATACAGTTGACTGTGAGCAAAAGGATCTGTTCGCAAATCGAGCACGGTTCGTGCTAGCGTCAGTCCTTGACAATCATTAACGTGGTTGCATATGCGAGTCACAGATGGAACTGTCTTCGATTTACTGTCCACCGTGCGATGAATAACTCAGATGGAAAGCAAAGTTGACGCAGGGAATGCATTGGATCTCGAATGTATTGAATAGTTGGATTTCGACGAATCTGCGATGCAGTGCAATCACGCGTTTCGTACTAATCCCTTCTCTACCGAGAGGTTTCGTTGAATGGCGCAAATGCACGAACCGAATGCGCTGAAAAGGAGACACGCACAACACATCATGACGCAGAAAACGGATAGAGCCGCGAAAAAGAGAGTGAATTCAACGACACAGCATGACGTGGTGGACAACATGCCGGCGGTTATGCGTGCTTAGATATTGCACGCGACAAGTATACGCAGTCACGCTCGTAAGGCCGACCAGTCTGACAGAGCGCTTGTAATTTCATGCTGGTATTCAGTTCGCGTCTCTGGGACTTCTCTTAGTGCATATGGTATCCTGCGGCTAGATTAACGCATCATCAACCAATACTGTCAACGCTGGTGTCACACAAATGGTCGATACGGCCATGTCAATAGCCACTAAAATGATCCATAGGATGTGCGGTTGCTGTCAAGCAGCGATACTCTTGGGTCTAGGCTCGAACTGATGGCCAGTTTAGTATCACACGATGTCGTGCTGTAGGCAAGATTGAATCCTACATGTTATTCTCACATGTGGGGGACATCAGCGGGAAGGTTTCGATGTGCACCAATATCCGATAACCAATGAAAATTACTAGCAGAGCATGATGAATGTTGCCAGGGCAAAAAGGCACGAAAGGCGATGGACGTACCATTGAGGAGACCCATCTGCTGCTTCATGAAGCGCAGAAGGTGGGACTCGGAACGTGTTTTTTTGGTGTGCGACTTGCTTCCAGAGGGGGGAAGGATTGCTTCCAAAGAGGGACAGCCCCATCCTAAAGTATCAAAGAGATTTTTTTTGTCAGTTGTCATACGATTTTCGTTGGTATATCGTGAGCTGAAGACAATATTGATATTAGTATTATATCTGTGCCTGCAGACCTCTCCTAGTCCAGGAAATTAAAACGAACGGCCCATTATTTTTGCGAATTCCCAACTTACAGCAGTAACGATATACAAAACGTAAAATTGATGACTCCATGTAGAAAACGTGTTTCTACACATAATATTGACGCGGCTTGTTCAAGTTGATAGCGCAATCCTGCCCATCGCGTCTTCTTCGCCAGCCACGTGGCGTGAGACGCGAGGGAAACTTTGTTCTGTAATAACCTAGGGGACATATGGGTATGTCGGACCGTTAGAACTGTGGAGTTCGGGTAAGGGCACGTCGTCATGCGCTGATATAGAAGAATGACACTGCCTGCACCAATTCATAGCGTCTCTGATAATCATATGGGCATATGCCCGTCAAGAAAGAAGTTTGGTTTGTTGTCAAGCATCGTCCATATCACTTACATACTTTGATTGTCCAGCAGTAACCGAAATGATTGTACGCAAGCCCGAGTGTTTTGGGGTTATGAAGCAGAGCTTCTATCCTGGCCCGAGAAGAAGTTATGGATCATTTTTCTCGAAGCTTGCAAGGGCTGGATCAGGTATCGTCGACCGGTGAGAAGCTGTACCCCTTGCTAACACAGTTGCATGTGTGTGTCCAATATTCAACTAGAAAGTACTCAGTATGCCGTATATTATGACAATACAAAATACGTGAATTATACATTACGAGATGACCAGACTCGGACTTTCAAAATACGGAGCAGCGATACATGTCGTCACCATATGTAAGCCTTGATTTGAAACAGTTTAAAAATTTGAAAGTAAATTGGGACCGGGGTGAGGGGAATATTTGATGATGCTGACTTGAAAATGTCCTCGAGGTCATTTTAGCCAGACTTGTCTCAACCAGCGGATTGTCAGATACTGTTAGATCTGGTCTATCTTGATCGCTGCTGATAGACCAACCACATCCTCTTCAATTAGTCGTTTATCGATATCTCCTCTGGGTTGAGGGTAGACCCACATGATCATGACGCACTTGCCGCGGATCTAATATCCGGTTTGTAGAACCCATGTCGCTCTCTGTCGCTTTGTATTTGTATTGCTAGACAAACACGAGAATGTTCGTTGTCATGTGAGTATAGACTCCAAAGCGATGCGCTATGAACGGATCTTGGTGAAAAAAGGTTCTGCGCCCAGCGAGTGTTGGGGATAGACCATAGTGATGCATGGACGGATCTTTGTGAAACCAGTGAGACGTCATCGTAATAGATTTGAGTAACCCGCACCTTGTGGAAGCGATTCTCAGCTTCCGAGAACAAATGGTAGAGAGGGGGTTTACCCATTTCTCTCCTGATACAATTTGATCTCATCTCCATGCGTGCATTCAATCCCGAGGAATAGTGTCAGTCCCGGAACTTGAGAATTCAGCTCCGGACCGCCGGGTGCAGGCGGATATCTTCCAATCGCTGCTACGGACGTGGAGAATATAGAATTGCGACATTGGTAAAGGCCAAGCAAGTACGATATCCTGTTCAGAGGGCGAAAGGTGAGGGAGTACGCGATCGAAAGCCTTCTCCAAGCTATACCATCTTGTTGCAACGACACCTCTTGCGGCCCTCTTATTGACACCTTGACCGCTTTTGGGTGAATGGAGAGTACGCCATGTCGGACATTCAAAGTATCAGATGTCAAAACCATCAGCGGGACATTTCCTGCCTATTCGGTGTAGATCAGGAGCATGAGGGGCAACGACATAGATCAGAAACCAGTCGCATGGTACTCACGGTGCAGAGGGGAATAAAGAACCTTTCTGTGTCGAATCGGAGCACAAAAAGTCTTACACGGGTGTTAGGCACTCGAGGTAAGGAAGACCTGCTCTACTTTTGTCAAAGATGATCTAGCTGATTGATTTGCGCAGTGACAGAGTTCAGGTTTTTCCGCCGAGTTCGAAGGCTGGGAGATAGGTTGGATCTGTCATCGGATATACGTGATGGTCGGAAGAGAAGAGCAGGACCTGCGACCCAATGTAATGAAACATCGCTGTCGACGCCTGTGGGCAACGCAGTTTACACGTACCATCCTGCATAGAGTAAAAAAGGTCAGGGCCACATCTTCGATTTAGCAGCAATAGGTGGTTAGTTTGAACATGAATGACTGTACCTTCCCAAATACTTGGTACAGCATTATCTATTAAGAATACGAGTACGTTAGAGAGTAATAGCGTCAACGAGTTCCCCAGACAAGGCACGCAGCCTCACCAAGACCGCTACTGATCTCATATCGATGAGGGCCAAGTGCTCAAAATGGCGAGATCTCGTGATAACCAAATGAAACGTCAGGGGTAGCGGATGACACGAAAGGGGCAAGTTTCAATATACTGACCTTTGACGCCCAGTAGTACGCATCCGTCTTCGTGGCTGATTGGCAGATTGTCCACACAAATAGATTCATGCCGTTCAGGGTAACCAGACCCTCAATCAAGTATTATTGGGTACGTAAAGGCTGGGGGATGTCCGTGCATGAAAGTAACGTGGAACAAAAGTATCCGTGGAGGTCATTGAATCTCGAGTAGGCGAAGAACCTAAAGTGGATGACCGACGAGGTTTGAAGATCAGGACGATGATCAAACCAAAAATGATCAATAGGAGAAGGAAAATAAGCTTCCGACGGCCCGTATTCTTCTGGTATCTGTAAAAGAGCGTGTCAGTGCGCTACGATGACTACTAGTACATATGGCTCACCGCGTTGCATGGTTCAACTCTTTCACAGCTTCGGTCATTTCTACCGAAGTCTGTTCAATGTTATACTCAACACTGTCAAGAAGGGTCCCTTGATCTATCACAAGGACGGATAAATCCTTGAATAATTCTGCTAGAGAGGCTATCGAGTTTGCAATTTCTGTCAACTCCCTGTCGCGGGCACGGAGATGGTGATCATGTGTGTTATCTAGAATCTGAGCTTGCTACACGGGGGAATAACAATTTAGCTATACAAGAGACATGCTCATTGATCGTTGCTCACCGCAGCTTCTACATCTTCATCAACAGCAGTCAAGCCCTCGGATCCTCTTGAGGAAATAGTCCCAGACGCAATCAGGAGATCTTGATTCTTAATCGCGTGTCCTTGTAGACCTGACGAAGGCGAAAATGCGGTCGTAGAAATGATCGGCTCCCGTCAACATGATGTGCAAGAAGACTTACGTTCCATATAGACACGCTGTTTCTTGCGGAAGGTTGAGCTGAGTTCTTGAACCCTCACGGCTAGGCCTCGTTGCACATTTTTGGCCGCGAGGACTTGAAACTGAGTTTTCTGAGTTGAAGGGGGAAATGAGTGATCCTGTTCAGTACCGATACGCTGAATCAAAGTATGACATCTTCGAAAATCCTATCCACGAGAGGGAAAAAAGGAGCGAGTGTAAGCACGATATGGACACGAGGAAGTCCATGGATGTACTTTGGTTATTTCGGTGGTCGCCGCTTCGATTCCTTTCTCCTCTGCCGTCCGGTCCGCAAAGCCGGGGAGAACATGCTTTGCATGGAGCTTCTCTAAAGCGACAACTAAGGCAAAAAAGCACGGAGATGATGTCATTGAAGCCGCAAAGAGACTACATCGGGAACACACTTTTAGCTTGTGTACCGCTCAAGATCTCTTCCACTTGTTCGGAAATATCAACCCTTTGATCAAAATGAGTAAAAGGTTGCGTGAGGTAGAGGATGAAACGTACCATTTGGGAGGCAACTCAGGTAGATGTGCGGAGCTTGGATGTATGAGTGTTTCATTTTCATCATAGGGTTCATCTGAATAGGATGAGTGTAAACGAGAGAAACGTGTAGATGGTGCTCTTGAATCGCGGAAAGAGATGAAGAGCAAGGTCCTTGAGCGCGTCGTTGGCGATGACGACGAGGCTGCGGTGGACATCCCAGAGTGAGTTGTGTATGTGGTTGTTTGTACTATTATTTCTTGTACAAATATACAATAATAAACTACGGCATTAAGGCGCTTATTAATTTCAAGTCTACTCATCGGCTAAGAGAAATTCCATGTTGGTGTCGGAACCCGGAGTAATGATTCCGTGGAGTACCATCAATCACGCCTCCGCTTGCCTTCCCATGTATTAACTCGTTACTACATCGTGCCCGATCACTCCTTAAAGTTAATGGTCTTGTGATTTATCCTCCCTGTCACATCGGTAATCCCTTCCAGCTATTCAAACTCGTATAAAGTTCCCCATTCATATCCTTTGATCCCCCATTCTTCTGCTCCACTGGTCTCCCCAAGCACCCCACTTCGGTATGATCTTCCCTCCTCCATTTCAACTCCCCAAAATAATTTCTTTCTAGTAACGCATTTCGCCGGTGTCCCTTCACTATCTCGTCATTCAAAATGTGCAATCTGGAAACGTGCGTGACCATTACACTGGTCTAGGCCCAAGAACCATGCTGATTCAGACCCTTTTTTTAGCGAAGGAACAAAATTTGGATGCGGGGTAAGTGTCTCACGCCATACACACCCATTCTCACTCATGCTTCCTTTGTTTTAGCATTACAAGGTGGTGCGTGATTGATGTCTCCATACTACCAGGACTATTTCTGACCTTCTTTCAGACGCGCAAACTGAGGAAGATCGATTGCTTCAACCAGTATTGCATCCACTCCGCATGTCATCCAAGGAATTGTCCTGATTGCCATTGCGAACGTGTGAGTCGTATTACACACTCTGTCTGTCCCAGCGCTCAATCGTACACTAAGTATTTCGGCCCCGATGCAAGAGAAACAATCACCCACCGCACAGCCGATTACTGTGTTTCATGTCAGTACTGGTTCAAGGACGGAGCCTCCCAGCGTCGTTAACCTTGATGGTTTCCACGGCCCCGGCAGCTTCTTTGCTAATTCTATCGAGAAAGCATATATAATGCCGTTTTATTCTAATAATTATCACTCTAGTCACACCTTGCTTTGTACACCACTTTGTCGTGTCATTTTGTAGTTCTAGGTTTTGTCGCATATTTTACTTACGCATTATTTATCTAGCCACTGTCTTGTAACACCATTCAGAGTGAAACGACATACAACTTTATTACCATTTCACAGCAAGTCCAACTACCTCGCTTTCAACAGCTCGATACTGAGTCCGAAAGAGTTCACGCCGTCGTGTCTCCGCTCCTTCGTCCATAATGGAAGCCCAACTTTCATGCAGGCTTCCGTCCGTGGGGTAACAAAGATCGATCTTGACCTGAACAGCAAGATGGTCTACGCAAACGGATGAGGATTCAGGACCCTGATCATGGGGTCTCGGTGATGGAGGCGGTGTAGGCAAGTCATGCCAATACACCCTCTCAACCTCCTTGGTCCATTCCTTGTTTCCCCATTTGGCACCTTGCATCGCACTATCTTCCACTGGTGGCTCTGACACTGGCATCTGGACACCGCTTTCCTGCCAGGTCCTCGTAAACCCTTCCTCATCCTCTTTCTGCCCTGCCGCCTGTGCAATAGGTTTCAGCTGCCCACCACCATTGACGCATCCCCCTGGACACGCCATGACTTCGACATAGTCATACCCCTTCTCGTCTTCCACACCACGCTTCTTGGCACGTATTCCAACCAACCTTCCAGCGGCACCCCTCCCAACTTGCACCCCAGCCTCACGACCTACCTTACGTACGACGTTCTGGAGATTGCGGAAACCATAACATTTTGCGCCTTTAAAAAGCACCTCGCCGGTCTCCCGAGCGCGAAGAGTGAATTCTTCGTAGTCAGATGTACGGACGGATTTTATGGCAAGGTCCACAGGAGACGTGTGGCTTGTGGTGATAGAATTGATGAGAGTGTGCAAGTAGGATCCAGAGCTAGTCCCAGGGTGAGATAGGAGTTCTGGGATTTCAGCGTCAACATCAGGGACACTTTCGTTCTCTACTGGCTGTGAAAGATCCCAGCTTCTGTCGCGCATCATAAGCTCGAGCTCCCCAGTCGTGATCACGCAGTCCACATCCCGAGTCGAATATAAGTCATTGTAGAAGTCCTGCCGAGAAGCCTCTAACTTCTTGTCATAGCACGGCATGACTGACACATGGTAAATTTGATCCGGTCTATCACGTCAAATAAATCAACAACCATAAAATAGAAGCGATCAACGTGACTTACTGCATTCCCCAGCGATTTCCAAACCACGACTTGACCAGAGTTCCCATTACCTGCTGTGGACTCTTCGTCCTAGCGATAAAAGGTAACATTTCGGAGTGTGCTTTCTCAGCATAGCATATCCATCCCGGACAAGCACTAGCTAGCATCGGAAGTTTCCCGTTTCCCTTCTTCCGCTCAAAAAATTCTTGTGTGTGCTCCAGCAGAGCAATATGCCGAGCAAAAGTAGTGTCATAAACATGCTCGAACCCAAGTATTCGTGTAGAGAACGCTCGCACTCTTCTTAGTATTTGACGGAGGCTCACAGGGGAACCGGATGATGACGAAAGTGACGCTGCAAGTGACGCGAGGCTCTGTGGTGCAATGGAGAGCACAGGAATCTTGTGACCTAGCGTGGAAACCGGAGGATTGGAGTCCAAGAAGTTAAGGACCTCCGTGTGGGATTGTAACGTGATCAATACAGATTCGGCCGATGTTATACAACCGCTGAATATCGGGAATATGGTCAGCAGTCATGGCTGGAAGGAACTACATAGAGACAGACCTGCAAGCAAGGCAATCATTCAAGCTGATCTGGGCTTGCTGGAGCTTTCGCTCTGTCCCCCTGGAAGATGCATTAGTGGATGCACCGTTTGCGGAGACTTCGTAGTATGATCCACTGGAGTCAATTACAATCCCTGTCTGAAATAGATAATTAATAGTATCCTTGACATGCAACTCGCTGCATAACGTACTGTAGCAGCAGCAGGCTCAATGATCTCCTGCGGCTCCTTCACCTGCTCAACGGGTTTGATACATGCTTGAGATGGGGTTAGAAAGTCATTAAGATCAGTCAAGGTCTGCTCTGCGTAAATAAGACGGATTGTATAGTTTCAAACACTGGTGAACACGCACAAGAGCTCCAGAGAATGCCATTCAAGATAAGTGGAGGGAGTAGTAGACAAGGATTATATCATCACAAAAATTGCGCAACTGAGAGATTACCGGACGCCGGTAGTGTGGCTGAACATATGACCAAACAAGTCCGTGTGATATCATCAACACCCCGACACGACCATTTGATTGAAGCAAGTCTAAGGAACTCAGCCATGTTGCACAAAAGGTGAGTATATGCGTATATAATGTGTACTGATATACTATTTAGATGAATGCTATCATTAGTGGGACACGTTCGGATGATGCAGTATTGGTTTCATATCTACTACCACCAGTCGTTCGATCTCCAAGGCTCTTGCAGACGGCCCCCATCCCACCAAAGTCACCTGCACCCAGCGAACTGACACCAGACAACGCAGAATATACACTGCGGAGGAGACTGTGGCTTCAATCAAAGCTTCTGAGTGTTGGCAAACAAATGGGCCAGAGACAAAGAAAAGACGCAATGTAGGCGACACTCCCATGTCTTCATCTTTATCTTCTCAGCGCGCCCACATAGAGTCAATTGATGTCGACATGCAGGACGCCGACATGTGAATGGTGTCACCAACAGCGATCGCACACCAGCCAATAAAGTACACCCCGCTCGTGCAGGTTCAATGTCCTTATCACTCGACGGACTTCCAAGTCATATTGATGCCGCAACATTCCTTCGGTCATTTGCAAACGGAAGCTTGAACTCGGCTCCCCCAACATCGCACATCGAACACATGGATTGCCCAATGTCCGGGAAGGCTAGCACTGACACTTTAATGATGAGCCAGATTAATAGTAGCTTTGATGGCTCGCCTAACTGATCTCCTCTCGTCGTCCCTCCTGGTCCTCTTGCTGCTGCGGCATTCGAAAGCGGCATGAGCGCCGTCGAAGAACTAAGGTTGCTCAAGGCTCAGGTCCAAGATGTCGCTCGTGTGTGCAATGCTATGGCCAGAGGTGACTTATCCCAGAAAATTACGGTTCCTGTGCAGGGTGTGGTCATGATTCAATTGAAGGACGTCATCAATACTATGGTATTTGTCCACAATCTTATCTCAAGATCTTGCTCATGCATATCATTACCATGTCGATAAATTGGGACCGTTTGCCAAAGAGGTCACTCGTGTCAGTCAAGAAGTCAGTACAGAAGGGTAAAGTGACTACTAACCCGGATCTTATACGATTTGCTCAGTCTTCCGTAGTAAACTCGGTGGACAGGCTCTCGTGTTGGATGTCAAAGGTACTTGGCGGGAATTGACTGGTGTCGTCAATAAATTAGCTGCCAATTTGACCAGTCAAGTCCGAAGTATCACAGGAAATAGATGGTATCGGTATGTCCATTTTGCCTTACACTTATGTCGTCACTCGGTTTTCCTTGGTCGGTTTTCAAATTTTCACTTCATCGCTCGTTCGGACTCGGCAGCCCCTTCTCGAATCACCGCATTTTCACACTGGACTTTGCCTCGTTGCACTCATTCTCACACTGGGACTTTCGGCGTTGTGCTCTCATTACCTCTGACATTGCTTTCCATCATGATGTTATCTCTGGATTCTCTGGTGTCCGAGAGACCAAATCTGTAGCGTCACTGCTCGGCCCATGAATATCGCTTATCGGTTATTGAACTATCTTAGTTGTGGAGGATGTATGGATGAGCCGGCAATGCATCAGACCTCTGGCTCCCGACGGCAATCCTCGTTCTTGCCTATATCAGAACCGCGCGGCGATTTCAATCGGGAACACGCCTCACTGGCGACACGGCCGATATCACGTGCATACCACCTACACCATGCAGTCCGAGGCATGATTGGGCCAAGCCTACTCGCCAACAACCATGTGACTCGGTGATTTCTCTCTTTATCGAACTCAATCGCAACTGAATCCTGCAGTACTTCGCCGTCCACCCTGCATACTAACTACTACGCCGGTTCAGAAGCCGAAGCGCCACTCGATCGATTCCGACGCTAACCTCGTCGGCCACTACGGCTTCTTTGGCACCTCGGACCTTCAGTACTCTGGCGATAAAAGCACTTTCCGTGGGGTATAATATCACATAACCTACACGATACTTCAAGTGCACGTAACACATTTAATAATTCAGCTAAGCCTGAAGTGTGCAAATAACCGTGCAAGTGTCCACGTGCCATTCAAGCCTATGAATACACGAAAAGAACAAAAAGTACGGATGTAGACAACGTCCATCCCATGCTTCCAAACTTGCAACGTGAGGATAGTGCAGCATTGACCGTTTGTCCAGAAAGTAAAGATGGAGAGAAGCTGCCCCACATCTGTATATTGCGGTAATAAGTATGAACGGTCTGCGGTGTTGCCCAGCTGGGGTCGCTTCCTGTGAAAAGAGTTACCCTTCAATGCGAATCTGACAAGTATACTCAAAACTGACCTCCAAAGAACGTCCTACATATTTGTAAGGTCAGTAGCCGTACAGTGCAATTCATAAAAGAATCTGACTCACGAGAAGTACAGTCCCCCAATGGCGAAATCGTTGACTGACCTGAAGTATAAGTTTTGTTGTGATAACGCTTGAACGTCATTAAAGCTACGGCGATGAACTGTACATTAGGGCTATCTGAATAATATAACACTTACTATAAAACAATGTTGCCATTCGCAACGAGAGACTCGTTGTTTAGTTGCACAAGAATTGTGATACGGCTCCAGCTGCCACCCAGTCGTTAGCGAGCATGTTAGGATTTGAAATGGCCTTGAGATACACACTGTCCAGCCACGAAGTCAAATGATCCTCGGTCGATGCTTACTCCGTAGTCAGAGTTGCAAATCATGTTGCTATCCGAACAGATTTTGTTAGGAGTCAACATGTATGCATAAACTACATGCAAGAGTTTAGTACTGATAGGAAAGCATGACCACGTTTATACCTTCTCCTTGCGCATTTTTTCGCCACATGAGCCTGGTACTGAAACAATTTGTGCCATTCGGTTGCACTCCGCCAGAGCAATCGTTGACATCAGGACCGCCTCTAAGCCCAGGAAGTTTTCCCCCTTGAACCCAGTTAAAATTGGAATCGAATGCAAGCTCGTAGGAGAGTAGCATGCTCTGAAATTGAGATCCATCTGTTGTATTCCAAAGCGAGTACCACTGAACACCAGAATCTGTACTTCCGTAGGTACCAGCAGCATATGTCACTTGCAAGACGGGCCCAGAAGTATTTGACACGGTCATGCCAGGAGCCGGTGAGTTTGGGAAGGGATCGTCCACGAAGGCAACATTGCTACCGCCGTTCTGAATGCGTCCTTTGTTCAACGACCACTGGGATGTAATGAAGGACGATGCATCGGATGCACTTTGAGTAGCGGAAGGAAACAGCATTACAGTACTTGTGGTCAATGAGAAAGACGCAACTACCGATGAGAGAGGAATTTGATCAGCCGCTGAGACACGAGTGTCTGATAACCAGTGAAGAAATGTAAGTAACACAATAGTGAGCATGGGGAGGATGACAGGTGAACCTGTTGATGTGTCTGGTGGCTCTGGGCAGGACGAAAAAGGGACGTTAGCAAGTTACTGGTCACCACCAGGACCAGGCCAAGGGTCACCGGTCACCGGTCACCGTGGAGGTCATACTTGCAAAAAAAAACTCGGAGGCCCCACGCATGTTGGCTGTCAGTCGCAAATTCCTAATTTGGGCTTCAGTGCCTTTCAATTACTCGGTTATCGGCGTTCCCTACATTACTCCTTTACCGTAATAGTAAGCTTTCCACTCCTGTGCTCGTACCATCACCATGATGCCCTCAATACCCTGGTCGGCAGTGCGGAGGACAGAACCAGGTGTCAGATTTCAGGAAGAAGTGTAGGTCATCGGTCCACCTTTACGGTCCATGATACAGAGGCGGGAGGCGGGTGCGTATCTTCCTGCTCATAATTCATCACACCTTATCAGTGCCTACACAGAATATGAATTGGACTCGGACGACATTGATGATGCTTCGCTAGCTGATATTTAGCGCGAACCAAGGCGCTCTCATGGGGCTACGGGACGAGAACGCACCTTGATGACCTCGCTGAAAAACAATGGTCAGGTGGAGGTCTACTGAACTCGGTTGCTAATATGGCAAATTCAATCCTCGGAGCTGGTAAACCATTAATTGCTCATATGCCCAAGGTGCGCACTGACCATTGATGACAGGAATTATTGGTTTGTCACGTTGCAATTTCAGCGATAGTTTTGGCTAATAATGTGGTAGGTTTGCCGTACGCAGTCAGTCAAGCAGGCTTCTTTCTTGGCATCGTCCTTCTGGTCGTTATTTGCGCCGCCACCGATTGGACTATCCGATTGGTTGTAATCAACGCCAAGCTCAGCGGCAGAACATCTTACATCGAAGTCATGAACAGTTGTTTCGGCCCCAGTGGCCGCGCAGCCGTTTCATTTTTCCAGTTCTCATTTGCTTTTGGTGGTGAGTAACTCGTATCTACGTCGCTGTTTTTACGATTGACCGTTCCTTCAGGGATGTGCGCATTTGGTATTATTATTGGCAAGTGCAGTGTTTCCTAGTGCATTATACTTCTGCCTTACATTTTTTCCAGGAGATACGATACCCCATGTCATTCGTTCAATATTCCCCACTTTGCACACGATACCTGTTCTCTCAATGCAGGTCCAGGACAAAATTTAACTCAACCGTTTCAGGTGATCGAACAGTACTTCTTCTCTCACGAAAGCTATAATGTTCAGCAACACGTATTCTTCACCTCCACCATTCTCTTCGCATCGATGCTTCGTAAGTCCTTATGCCAATCACCACAGTTAGAACTAACGCGGATCCTGAACCAGTCTCGTTGATCACCTGCGATCTGGGCGTCACGTTGGAGATCACCGGCGGTGTCTCAGCCACAGCGCTTGTGTACATATTTCCCGCTGCATGCTATCTAAAACTGACCGATCCACGTGTTCCGTGGTACTCCCGTGCGAAGCTTCCAGCTGCAGTCTGCTTTGCGCGCAAGTAACCTCACTAACTCACAGGCTCAGTGGGACACATGCCCGTCAATGACAAATCTAATATAGTAGAATACGATTAAACTTTATTATCTATATCTGACCTGTAGGGTGAAATATCAGTACCATACAGCTGAAAAATATAATTAGAATATAAATTTAAGCATAATGTGGACACTCACAGAATATTGTGGAGGTGGTGTCATAGCTGGGCCTGAAGCCAGGGCAGCGACATTGGACATGTGACTGCGGCCAAATAGCTGACTAATCCTCTGCGCGAATCCTCCAATCACTGATTCCAGATAATGTAAGCAAGGACTCGAGTTAGACAATGAATTATACATACTTTGAAAAAAGCCCTGGCCTACATAAAGCAGGGCCCCAATCAGCTTCTCAGCCCAACCTTGAACATGTGTGTACATGCCCAGCTCTTCATCACTGCACCTGTATGCTACAACTCCCCAAAAAACTGTAGCCCCTATCACCATCACCAAGACAAAGCCAATGACCACAACAGATATCGAAGTTGTGGGCCTTTGGACTGAGTCTGAATTAGCAAAGTTAGTCCAATGTAGGTTAATAGTGCACTTACCTAAATACACATCAATGTAGTAGTAATAGGTGATAATTGCATGCCAGTTGAAGGCTTGTAGAAGCACCCCAATGGGGTGCCTGAATCTTTTCGGCAGCCTGGTGAGGATCCATGCAAAGATTAAGGTTGTGATTATCGCCGCGATGATGATGATATGTGGCAAGAAGGTCCGAGAATGAGGTAAAGGTAGGTGTGTAGATATGATCGTGAGAAAAGCTGGAACGATGAACATCGTCACAGCCAGCAGCGTGGCATAATTGGACTCAGTGTTAGGATCATGTATTTGGGTAGTCTGTGTGCTAGAATCACTATGTAGTGGATTAGGTGTCATGGGTGTGTGTGGCAGAGGTAAAAGTTAAGGGGCTTGACTTGAGATCTCAGGTATTACCTAATGTATTTGATTTCTTAGTAGTTAGCCTGAATCAGCAGTGTAGTCGGCCAATTTAAAATCATTTGGACCTGTATGTTGCCCCACAATGTTAGTGAGTGTGATCATGGATGTGTTTGTGAGCCTCTGGAGTTCATATTTTTTCCCTTCATGGTCCATGGCACAAGGCCTGATTCAGATACAAAAGGATGCATTATCCAGTACTATGATAGATACAAAAATACACAGTAGATACATCAACAGCAAGAACGACATCAATATAGCGAGCATATTTGAAAGAGGTGACATGAGGAAGGCAACATTTAACAACCCAGATACATTGTGCTCCAGCAGAGCATCCCTGCATATCTGCAGACCCATTTTGTGCAATCCGACCACAGTGCGCTGATGAAAAGGACTTCAATCATCACCCATGCTGCATGCAACATGCAGGAGAATGTGAAAGAGGTGTGGGAGGGTGCTAAAGAGGTGCAAGAGGGTGTGGAAGGGTGTGGGTAGCTTAGCTCTATGACATTTGTCAATAGAAGGAAGAAATGAAAGAAATGAAAACTTACGAGCCAGGAAGAGAGTATGAGGTCTTGCAACAAACAAAATTAGCACAGACACAATTGGATGATAGCATCAACATGCTATGACTGTTACGACTGGGATAGTTCTGCTGTTGCCGGTCAAGATAGACCTGTCGGGCGAACAGTTCGTCGGCCTTCCTAATACAAGGAAGGTTTCTGGTGGTTCCTACTGCACGAGCCGCGGCTTCTATGCAGGATCAGCGGCGAGTGGTTTTAGCACTTCTGCCTAGGCGGTGAGTGGTTTTAGCACTTCTACCGCAATCAAGGGTTTCAGGCTAAGACAGTGAGTGACTGCCTTAGAATCAGAGTTCAGGCTACTAAGGGTGGAGACCTTAGTAGATCAGGTTTCAAGGGAAAAACCCAGTAGATTAAGTTAAGGAATACATCTATGGTACATGGGGTTTATATAGGTAAAAGGAAGCGGCGTAGCCGCGACAAGACAGGTAACAAAGATAGGAGAAGAGTACAACCTATCAAGATAGCAAAGATAGGTGAAACCGCCATGCGGCGCAAGATAGTATCTATGTTACAATCAAGATAGAAGAGAAGTGCGGACAGCCCGCTTGATAAGAGAATAGCCGGGTCTAGATGAGTCTAGAGTCGGCGGCATAGTTACAAGAAAAGAAAAAGAAATAGGAGTAAATGTTATTGTAACATTACCCCGGTGTAACCGTTGAAGTCTCCGACTTCAATCCATTCTAGCGTCGTCATAGTAGACGGGGTCTGCTTCGGCGTTGTTATAGTCATCAAGGTCCGTAGAGGAGCTTGGCTGGTTGCGATAGTTTTCATCGGCTTGTTCGCATTCTTGTTCATAGAATGCTGTCTGGTCTGCCTCCCAGTTGCGGAGGGCTTCATAGAATCCGTCATCTGTATAGACGATTGGAAGCGGGTAGGTTCCCCTAAGGTCTTTGCAGTAGACCGAGAGGTGTCCAGGGGCGATGGCGTGACACTACTACGCAAGAATACTGAGGGCAGTTTTTGTGTCGGTGTCCGACTTCTTTACATACTGCGGCATTTGACGTTGTCAAAGCCTGGTTTCTTGGTAAAGGTGCGAGGAGGTGGGGATGGAGACGTGAGGTCGATAACCTCTCTTTCTTTCTGCTTATCTGCTCTCATACAGCGCCTTCGAGCAATCTGGTATGCGGTAGGTTTCCTTCCTCTAGTGGCAACCTGCGGTTGCGGTGTTCTGATAGGGAGAGGGGTAGGAGACGGGTCACGATCTGGTGACTGATGACGGGAGAGAGGACGAGGAGGAGAAGGCGGACGAGCGACTTCAGTCGCGGTTCGGTTGGCAACGATGTGTATAACTGATAGCAAGTCAGGCTTAAGGCTATCAGGGAGAAGCTGAAGCGCAATCGATCTGATGCGCCTCTGGCACTGGATGACTTCATGGGCTTCTTGTGCAGAAGCAAGGGGGATTCGGTTTGCGGATAGTTCGATCAGGCGGGTAGTCCTGATGATGTTGATAACAGCAGCGATTATTGCTGCGCTCCTTGCTGGGCGCTCGGCGAGCTTTTTCTCCAGCTCGAGTGCGTGTTGCTCAGATAATAGCGTTGCTTCAAGGAGGGCGTCTCCCTCAATACGATCAATGACGGTGAAGTATAAAGAGGACGAAAGTGATACGTCGGTATCCTCTGACGATTGGGAGTCGGAGGTGGAGGATGCAAGGGAGGAATGTTCATCTAACACAAATCGTTCAGTCTGGGAGATAGGGACAAAGTGTTCTTGGAGTTCGGCAGAGTCGAGAGTAAGAGTGGATGGGGCAGCGGACATGTTTTTCTTTACTGAGGTTGCTTGGGTTTGCTGTCCTTCAAGCCAATTTCGTTCTCTTTTTATACGCTTTGAGAAGCGTCTGGGAATTTTCTAGGTCATCTTCTTTGACCCATTCGTTGCTGGCAGATGAGTATCCTTTCCAGGATACTAGATAGCGACGGCGTGCCGCTGTTCCTTTGTGTGCGAGGATCGCTTCTACTTCGTACTCCTCAACCCCATTGATAATGTCAGGTGAGGGTTCAATGAAATTCGGGCCGTGGACCTCTGTCTCCCGATAGGAAGATAGTTCAGATGCATGGAACGTGGGGTGGACTTTCCATTGT